AACTAAAAAAAAAAAAAAAAAAATTGTTGAAAAAAAAAATGTTACCTAAGAATCAAGATCCTAAGACAACCCAATGTGGACTTCGCCAGGACAATCCACTTTCAAGTACTTTATTTGTTATTGCTTTAGAGCCACTATTAGATAAAATCAGAACCAATATTCAAGGTATCAAAATGAAAAGTTTCTTTTCAACTCAATATATCAAGACTTCATCTTTTGCTGATGATGTAACCACGTTTCTGAATGATGAGGAAGATTATCAAAAAATGCAAGCTGGAATATCAATTAAATATTGTTCAATTTCAAGTTAAAACCAAACTTTATCTATTGAGAAAAACTGAAACCAACCCCCTTTTTGAATTTCCGGTCAACCGCGAATTACTAAATTCCGAGGTTCGTTTTGAGTTCGGCACGTGATATGTTTAAACCGAGATTTGATATATTGATGTTATAAACTGGACTTTATGTTTATAACTTGAACAACAATTGAAATGATAGGTAATAGCACGTTTGTGGCGTCTGACTATTATCCCGAAACCTAAGTCTTTACTCTTAAGTGTAATACTCTCAATCAGTATTCTTGTAAATACAATAATGTATCAGTTAAATGTGTAATAAGTATATGTAATTATACAAGTATATTGTAAACAACATTAAGAATAATAATTCTGTTGTTCATTGGAATTGGACGACTTTGGAGTGCACCACACAGTTTCTTAGCTGATTGCAAGAGGTTTGACCACGCGTGGATGGCTGTTCTATCTCTCAAGATTAATTCATCTTTGCAAATTCCCATTCTAATTGATAAAGGGTTTAGAATTTAAGAATTCAAATTCAAGGAAAAAATAGCATAATGTATCAGACAACATGAGTTCTTGTTCTTGACATCTCAACGTCTGAAACTTGAAAAAGAAATTCAACACTTCTTCAAGATGAACATTCTAAAAACTTGATCTTAGCTTTTTACTAATTGCAGCATCTTCACCTTCTCTCAATTCATTGATATTCAAATTCAAACTTTCAAGAATTCTTTGGTTGATTCTCTACCAAAAAATTTGTAGTCATTTGATGATGATAAACATTGAATATTGTAAACACAATATTTTGACAATTGTTATTAAGCATATTCACAAGCACTTCAGCTTTTGATACTCTTATTATCACCATCATTTTTCAAATACTTAATTTTTGACAAAATTGTAAAAGTTCCAATATGACCAAACATATCTTGCATTAAGACAGTAAGAACCAAGCATATAATTTCTCTTAGTGCTCACAATTGAACCTATAATGGACCTTGATACCATATGTTAAACATTAACCAGCTTAAAGTGTTAACTTCACAACCAAATATCATGAAAACATAACATAATTCATTACCTGACAAGTTGAACTATAAAGATGAAGCTTCAATCCTCCATCAGACCCATCTAAACCCACACCAGGATACAAGAAAAATGCAACTTTCGTAATATATAAGTGCTTTGTGAACCCAAATCACTATATGTGAACTTCCCAAAGCTGAAATATATACAACACATGTAAGCTCAAAGAATAAGCTAGATTTCATTTAAGAGCATCAAAAAACCTCAAATTTCGCGTATATTGTTGAAATCAGTAAAAGACAAAAGCCCTAATGTTGTCCTTACCGGTTAACAGTTGGTTAAAAAGTAGTAAAACTTTTTATATCACTCAATATATAGGTTTATAGAAGAGTAAGCAGATGAAGTCGAATTTATAGAAGTTATATTGTGTTATAAAGACCTAGCCTATACTGTTACGTACCTGATCCAACTACTAAACAAATGTCTAATTAAAACATATATATAGACTCTAGAGAGTTTTATAGGTAAAGTCCAAAAAATATAAATACACTAGAGATATCCCGAAGATTGTATAGTTGTATAACGTTTATAATAAAGTTTCGATTATTACATTTGCTAGAGATGAATGCTGATATTATTAATGCCAAATCACTCGTTATCCAACATAAGTATCGCATTGTTCAAGAGTCAAAGGAACATACTATTAATTGTACAATATACGGATTTTTCTAAAGTCACTTTTATTGACTAAGCTTCATTTTATTGCTTTGAATGTTTTTTGGAAGATTCACTTCAGCTGTTCAGGTAATCAATGGCTTTGATGTTTATCTGATCATTTGCACATTCCATGTCATATATTGAATACGATCTATGGTGATCAGATGAAGGATTTTCAAGCTTCATCTTTTCAAAAACAAAAAAATATCTCTTTATAAAGTCATCATTAATGCACTCTTCACGCTGTGACTCGAGTGGTATGAAGAAATAAACACAGTTACGATGAGGTATAGTCCCTTTAATGTTATAAATATATTTTGAACTCTGTTTTTGGATAACTTTACCGATCAATCTATACTTTCGTGAACAAGAACTTGTTTCTAAAGAATTATTTGAATAAAAACTTAATAATTTGTGGAAACACTTAAAGAATTTGGGATTTGAAATCAAAATCAAAATCCTTGGAAGTCTTTCACTGTTAATTTTGCAAATATCATCATCAACATCTTTGTCAGATTTCAAAGAACCAACTTGATTCAAATAAGTTAAAACATCTGGTAGATTTAAGTCTGGTTTCATAAATATGGTAAAGTGGTGCGCTGATCCACAACTATCAAGATAGACTCTGATATTCCTGATATTTTCCTCACTCAATGCTTTTGTGGGATGGATTTTCAATTTCAACTTAACAGAAAATTTAATATATTCAACATTTTGAGGCTCCACAACTTGAAAAATTTCATTTATTTTGTATTCAAAAGAAGTTCTTGGATCACATAGAGCAGCAATAAACCGGTCAGATTGATGACATTGATACAGTCTACTTGTTACTTCACTGTCCTTGAAGCTCGCCGACTCCAAACATAATGTTCCAATTAATTCTTCATCTGTCAGACTTAAAATTGTATTATATCCTTTTGTTGATCGTGCTGCTAAATCATCATTCATTTCAGATGGATGTGAAGTTCCAATTAACAGGTTTTTAAGATTTGATATCATCTTTGATAATCTTACCATTTCATATTGTAATTGTAAGAGCTGTATCATGTTCATATATCATTTGAGAGGATCATGAAGAATATTTATAGCTAGACGGTTCTGAGGCGTTTGATTGTAAGAATATTATGATAATATAACTGACTTACATTAAACTGAGAAGAATTATCCCATATCAATCATTTCAAGCCGGGCAGTCGATCATAGGTTTGTACTTTGCTAAAGTACTATTCAACGTTAATTTTAACTAAAAGCTTATCAAAATACATTAAAAACTCTCATACTAAGCGATTCATTACCTGCAGTTTTATATTAGAAATAAATTGCTACCTATAAGATATTATCTTTGAACTTCCTTGAAATTAAAACTTCTCATCTTTATCACTCAGCTCCATACAAATGTCGATATGTCTATTTGTTGACGGGTGGTGCTGCGTGAACCATTTCGGATCAAAAGTATTTTGAAGTTTAATTAATGCAGTGGATTTTTACACCAATTTTCAATCTTTAAAATCAGTTGAAATCAGACAATTTTGGTGAGATTCATAGACATTCAAGGACATTTTCATACCAAATTTAGTGGTATTAGTATCATATAGAGCACATATTTATACTCATCGAAGCTTGTGAATTTTTCTGTTTTCAGAAGGTCAAAGTGGCCATCATTTCAATATTCCATCTCAGTCTGTCCAGTGTTGCTTGAAACAAACAGAAAGAAGGTTGTCATAATAGAGGAATATAATCACAACATCAGTTATTTGTTACAAGCTGAGTAATTTCAAGGATGTCAGGAAAGACTCCATCACCATTTTCACCAGATACCTCACAAACCTCCATATCTTCCAATAATTCAGTTTCAAATTCATTCCCAAATTATAATTTACATAATGTTACACTGAATCCATGTTCACATTTATCACAAGTTTTAAATTCAAATGCTAGGGATACAGTAATAAGGAATTTTTCATTAGCATCTAAAGTGGCAAGCTTCAATACATTATCAAGTTTAAACTTACCAAATTTCATAAACACAAAAGGTAACAAAACTAAAATTGATCATCACAAAATCTTAAAATTAAAATCTAGAGCGGTTAAATGTCGAGATTGTTCTTCAGCGCTAGGAAATACATTCATGTGTTTACAATGTCCTCATGTTGGTTGTTGGAATAAACACCATTTCATAAGACATGCCAAATTAGCTGGTCATATTTTTGGTGGGTATAAATTATATTTCATCCATGATGATTATTCGTCGGATGTATAAGGCAAAGTTTGTTTATTTACTAACATTGGTTACTATAGGTATTGATGGACAACTGGGTTACTTATTTTGTTTCAAATGTGGTGATTATACAAGTGATCCACGATTAGAAGCTGCCCGCTATAATTCAAAATTAAACAGTACGTTGTCTTGTTTTTTATGATGTTTGGTTATTTTTTTGAAATGGTTACTAACAATCTTGTGTTTTTAGATCCAATTGAAATTAAGAAGGAAACTCAAGAAGATTCAATAGAAGATGAAGATCTAATTGCTAAATACTCACATCCAACAAGTTTTAAGGCAACAACTGGTTTACGCGGGTTCGTGAATATGGGATCAACATGTTTTATGAGTAGTGTTTTACAAACAATCATACATAATCCAATAATAAGAAATTATTTCATGTCAGAAGGTCATATAGATTGTTTGAAAGGTAAAAATGAATGTATAACATGTTGTGTTGATGAAATTATTACAGATTTTTTTACATCAAATAAAACTTCAGGATTTGGACCAACTTCTTTATTATCAGCAGCTTGGAAATCAAATAAATCATTAGCTGGATATTCTGAACAAGATGCTCATGAATTTTGGCAATTTTTGGTTAATGAATTACATCATGGATTAACAAGTGGTGATAATCATAATTCATCAACTTGTGATTGTGTTGTTCATAAGGCATTTTCAAGTGATCTACAAAGTTCAATTACATGTTTAGAATGTGGGAATATAACAAATGCAACAGATCCAATGATTGATTTATCATTAGAAATTTCTGGTCAAAATGATAATGTTGTTGATTGTTTAAGAAATTTTACACAAACTGAACAATTAGATATTAAATATAGTTGTTCTAAATGTAATCAAAGAACAAATGCAACAAAACAATTATCAATCTTGAAATTCCCAAATGTCTTATCATTACAATTGAAAAGATTCAAACATAATAATCAATCTATTAAAATTGAAAGTTTTATAAAATTCCCAATGTTTATAAACATGTCAGAATTTGCTACAATTTCAAACAATGTTCCACAAGCAGGTGCATTAAATTATGAATTATTTGCTGTCGTGTGTCATATTGGATCTGTTAACACGGGTCATTATATTACAGTTATTAAAAACAATGAAGGTAAATGGTTTAGATTTGATGATTCAGTTGTTACATTATTAGAATGGGAACAAGTTTCAAAACTTCAAGCATATTTATTGTTCTATATGATTCATCAATTATAGAATGACATTAGCATCATAGAGTACATATATATAATAATGTAATCTTAACATCATATAATATTTGTAGTCTTTTTTAATTTACCATATAATAATCTTCATACTTTATATACAAGCTCTGCTGACCCGTGGAATTTATGACAGATTTCCCCATTTGGCTAAATTTCCAGATATAAAATATTAGCTAATATCTAGCTTCAAATTAATTTGAAATATACTGCACTGATATAAAGCTAACTGATCCAATTATGCTATTCAATAAACTAAAATTCAACTGTTTTCAAATCCTTAGCCATTCGTTTAAACGTCTTTATCACTTTCTTTACATTTCAAATGCGCCTTGGAGTTGTTGAGTTGTTGCAGCGTTGCAGCACAACCCGGGCTCAAGATTCAAGATTGAAGATTCAGCTAAATCATACACCTCACTAGTATTCGCTTTTTCCTCTCTGATCATAAACTAGAGGACCAAAACACAATACAGTATATCCAGATATCTTGATTGAACTTATTGCATGAGACTCTCTCACATTCTGGTTTCACTTATTGCACCCATAAGCATCATGGTTCAATGTTTGGAGTTCGAAGATGTATTGAAGCACGAATTGGATAAAAATCAGGTGAATATTACAACCAGAGATAATATGATTCCATTTATAAACCAGTATAGATTGAGTACCCAAGAACAAGTAGGACTTGGTATGATTCTCTTCGGAGAAGCTGGTATTACACTTGGTGGCATTATTCCGTATTGTACAAATAGTAATTATGGAGCAGCTACGTTTGGGTCTACAACTAATTGTGCTATAGCTTTGTTTTCAGGGTTGGTGATGTTTAATGGTATTTTGTTGGGTCTTTTTGGTTCAAAGCTTGATAATAAGTTGTTCAATAATCCAAAGCTTGAACTTGATCCACCTATTTTGAGTAATAACTGGTCTAATATCACAAAAAGTGCTTATGAGAGAGGTTTCGAAATTGATTATCTGTATTATAAAAATTTGAAATATGACAGTGGTGAAGTGCTGCTTTTGGAAGATTTTTATGTGGTATATTCAGTTGATGGGCTTCAAATAAACCACAGATTCAATAATGATGATCTTACATACAAGGAAATTGCATTTAAGCCGGTATCATTTCTAACATCAATGAAGCTTAAAGTGAAGAATTTTTTGAGCCGATTGATGAATACTTGATCATTGAGAACAACTTAATTTGAACTATCATGAAATACAGACACCCAGTGATCTACTAATCAACGGTATAATGTCATTAGCATCATAGAGTATAACATGTATATAATAATTTAAGCTATCGTATAATATATCTGTAGTATACCATGAATGAATGAACATTAGCTTATATGATCTGTTAACCCGTAGAAAATATGACAGATTTCCCGATTTGGTTAAATTACCAGATATCGAGAACGATCAAATTAGACACATTTTTAAATTAATCTGAGGGTGAAATCATTTAAATGGCCATAAGAATCAACATATGTTTAATAAAAGGTCCTATTAATCAAATTAGCTTCTCTTTAGTTCCCTAGCTACCTCTTTAAACGTCATCATTTGCCCTCATCAACCACTTCGTAAAGTGCAAAACATCAGCTATTTTCAACTGATAGGCAGATAAGAATCGAACCATTTCTCCCTAGTCTTAGACAGAGTTCTGCCTGTGGCGTTATCAAGCTTGAATGAGAAGCTAGCCAGCATCTTCTGCCCTTGCGCTGGTAACCCCTGTCTGGCCGCCTGGCCGTCTTGCCACTGTCCAGTGTGGCCTCCTCCTACGGCAACCTGGCTGGAATTAGGCTCGCTGGCTGGATATTTTAGTTTGCCGCTTTAAAGCAACCGATTTCCTTCCCTACGTTCGCACAATTTTAGTTTTTTTAATTAAAATTAGAATTAAAACTTGTCTTTCTCTTTAACTGAATGTTTACAAGATTAAGAAGCATATCAACTAGAATCAACATGTCCAACAAAATCACTTCAAAACCATCCATGTTCTCCTTGGGCGGTGCGTCTGTTGCTGGTGGTCCTGCTAGCGCTGTGGGCGGTGGTGCCAGTGGGCCAAATACTGGGTTTGCTAGAGGTCAAAGACCATGTTCAAATTGTACTTGTTCACCAGGGTTATTATCAAGACAAGGTAGAAGAACTTCATTATTCATGAGACAGGTTAATAGAAGAAGATCAAGTGGTACAAACCTTCCTACAAGAAAATCTCTGTCAAATGAAAGTATCTATTCTTCTGATAGTTTATGTACAACAAAGAATGTTAATACTACTGAACGTTTATTACAATTAAGAAACAAGATGAAACAAGAAGATTTAGCTGTTTATATTGTTCCAAGTGAAGATGAACATCAATCTGAATATGTTAGTTCTGCAGATCAAAGAAGAAGTTTTATTTCAGGTTTTACTGGTAGTGCAGGTATTGCTATTATTTCAAGGGATTTATTAAATTTTAATGAAAAACCAGAAGGTAAAAGTGCTTTAAGTACTGATGGTAGATATTTTAATCAAGCTACTCAAGAACTGGATTATAATTGGACTTTATTAAGACAAGGTGCTAAGAATGAACCAACTTGGGATGAATGGGCTATTAATGAAGCTATTGAACAATCTTTAGGTATTGGTAACAAATTGGTTAAAATTGGTATAGATCCAAAAGTTATAAGCTATAAACAAGTTGTTGCATTTGAAGCTAAGATCAAGACCTTAATTGATCAAGCTGGTGGCTTAGCAAAAGTTGAATTAGTTCCAATTAAAAATAATTTAATTGATGAAATCTGGGGTCTTTTCGAAGAACAACCAAAAAGACCAAGTTTTGAATTAATAAAATTAGATGATGAATTCACTGGTGAATCATATGATTCCAAGTTAACAAAATTACAAAATGAATTACAAAAATCCAATTCAAAATCCATTTTAATTTCTGCATTAGATGAAATTGCATGGTTTTTAAACCTTAGAGGTTCAGATATTGCTTATAACCCAGTTTTTTATTCATATTTGATTATAAATGGCAAAGAAGCTAAATTATTTTTGAATAATAATTATAATCCATTAATTAAACAATATTTCAATGAAAATAATATTAAAGTTCATTCATATGATGAAATTTGGAAAGAATTATCAGAAACTACAAATATCTTGAAAGATGAACAACAAAGTATATCAATACCAGAATCTGCATCATGGGAAATTGTTCGTAATTTGAATAATTGCAAATTTAAACAAATTCATTCACCAATTGATTTTTTCAAATCAATTAAAAATGAAGTTGAAATTAAAAATCATAAAAAAGCACAATTTAAAGATGGTTTGTCATTAATAAAGTATTTTGCATGGTTAGAAGATAAATTAATTACAAAAGAACAATTAATTGATGAATATAGTGCAGGTGAAAAATTAATTGAATTTAGAAATGAACAATCAAATTATCAAGGTAATTCATTTGAAACTATAAGTTCAACAGGTTCAAATGCTGCAATTATTCATTATTCACCTCAGAAAGATTCATGTTCAATGATTGATCCTTCTAAAATATATTTATGTGATTCAGGTTCACAATTTTTAGAAGGTACAACAGATATAACAAGAACATTACATTTTTCTGAACCAACTAAAGATGAAATTAATAATTATACTTATGTATTAAAGGGTAATTTAGCTCTTGAGAACTTAAAATTCCCAGAAGGTTCAAATGGTTATCAAATTGATGTTTTAGCAAGACAATTTTTATGGTCACAAGGTTTAGATTATAGACATGGTACAGGACATGGAGTTGGATCATTTTTAAATGTTCATGAAGGACCAATTGGTATTGGATTCCGTCCTTATTTATTATCATATCCATTATCTAAAGGTAATATAATAACAAATGAACCAGGATATTATGAAGATGGTAAATATGGTATTAGAATTGAAAATGATATGCTTGTTGAAGAAACTTCATTAAAATTTGGTGATACACCATTTTTAAAATTTAAAAACATTACACTTGTTCCATATAATAAAAAATTAATTAATGTTAAATTATTAACATTAAAAGAAAAACAACATATAAATGATTATCATAAAGAAATTTGGGATTCATTTAATTCAAAACTTGATAAAACTTCAATTGAATATTCATGGTTGAAGAGAGAAACTTCACCAATATAATAATACAATCGTTAGTAATTTAATCAATTTATTCATTTTATTTAATATTTAATATATATACTTGGGCATTAGTTTATAATCAATATCATCAACGTAGATAATATTAACCATAAAAAATAAAATCTGGAGTAAATATTATATCCAGAAGACCGTACGCGGTAAAGGTGTCAAACTGATATGACCTAGTCCTTCCACAGTCCCGTAGTCCCAGGGGTGAATGGGTAGACTTGGAGACTTAGACCCTGACTCATTAGATGACTCCCTTTTAGAATTTGTCATGCTGACGATTTCCTTCACTGTGATTGGTCCGCCGCTCCAGGCCCCGAGTCACCGGCACCCGCGAAAGTGTTACCCGCAAGACCCAAGGTGATTTTTTGATCATTTATCGAAAATGACATTTTGTTTAAAAGGGATCTTTTCCCAAATACAAATTAGAAAGTGATTATAAATATCGACAAAAGAGATTAGATTCAAAGAGAAAGCTCTTCAAAGATCTAATTGTTATTTATTCATTGCTTAATTACTACTTCACTCAATTGTCAAAGAATCACATTATCAGGATATTGTGATATTTGCTTTTATTAGTCATTTTTTTTTCCTTCACCCGCTGGCGCAATTTACCCATAGATTTATATACAAACAAGATCTATTCAACAAATACAATACAATACAACACAACATATAATTAAACAAGATGATAAGAATACTACCAAAATCACAATCAAATTCATACTCTTCATTCATAAGAAGACTTTCGTCTGATTCTTCCAAATCAACAAGAAGATTTATGCAAACTGCACCTTTAGCTTCAAATGATGTTTCTTATATACCTTACAAATTCCATCAACAACAACAAAGTTCAAATGCTTCAAGTCAGGCTAATTCAGAATCAAATACTTCATCTAAATCAATCCCATCTGGATGGGAAAGACATTCAATTTCAAGATCTTTTAAAGATTTAGGTAAAAAATCAAGTCCTCAACAACAACAAACTCAACCATCACAACAGCAAACTCAACAAGCATCAACTACACCTACACCTACACCAACTAAAGAAGCATCAACTACACCAAAACCAGCAAGAAAAGTTAGAAGAACATTAAAACCACGTAAAGCTCTTATAACGTTATCACAAACTGCAGTTCAACATTTAAGAGGATTATTAGATCAACCAGAACCAAAATTAATCAAAATTGGTGTCAAGAATCGTGGTTGTTCAGGTTTAACTTATCATCTGGAATATATCAGTGAACCAAATAAATTTGATGAAGTTATTGAACAAGATGGTGTTAAAGTTATTATTGATTCAAAAGCTTTATTTTCAATTGTTGGATCAGAAATGGATTGGTTAGATGATAAAATTAGTTCAAGATTTATTTTCAAAAATCCAAATTCAAAAGGTACTTGTGGATGTGGTGAATCATTCATGGTTTAAGATTATCACATTATCCATTTACAAGACTATATAAATATTCTCTTTTTAATTTTTTTTTATATAATGTGCATTGGGGAACTTAGAATTTCCTCACTATTTATTATGATTGTGCTTTTTTATGTCATTGGTTCATAGGGTTTAATATCACACGGTTAAATGATTATTCAATTGAATTTGTAGTTACTTGAAAGTAAAATGATTATAGAAATCTGTCATTTTCACAAGTGTATTTTCATTCACTATGGATACCATCAACACAAAAATCAAAAAGTAAACAACAAAAATCAAAAAAACCACGTTCAGTTACACAAAAACCAAAAATTAACTCAAAATGATGAAAGATGGCGGCTAATTTTCCATTGAACACAAAGATGAGTTTTCAAGTATATTAATCTGAGCTTGTCCTTTGAAGCTTCTTTTCTTTTACCATCCACTTTATCACACAATTCATCAGAGCAATTTGAAGCGCTAAAGTTGATATTATAGTTACTATTCCCATATCATTCATATTATGTTTACTAAACAATTGTTATTCACCTTAGCCACTTCATTGGCACTAGTTTTTGGTCAAAAGGCTAAAGTTGTTGATGATAATCCAAGTGATGTTGTTTTAAGAGCTGATTTCCCTTCATTTTATAGTCAAAATGTTGTTGGTATTATTCAATTTTATTCATTAAATGGTACAACAAAAGTTCATGTTGATATTACTGGTTTACCAAAAAATGCTGGTGTTTTCTCTTATCATATCCATGAATTCCCAGTTGGTGAAGATGGTGAATGTGAAAATTCAGGTAAACATTTCAATCCTTATGGTGCATCTCCAGATTGTGAAGCTCAAAAAGATGATTCATTATGTCAAGTTGGTGATTTAAGTGGTAAACATGGTTTAATCAATACTACTTGTTTTGAAACTTATTTCTATGATCCTTATATTTCTTTAGATCCAGGTCATCCTCAATATATTGGTAATAAAGCTATTAATATTCATTTAGAAAATTTGGATAAATTAGCTTGTGGTAACATTAGAGTTGCTAAAGATCCAGAAGATTTAGTTTTATTAGATGCTGAAAAAGAAGCTGAACAAGTTAGAAAATATGAAGAAGTTACTGGTGTCAAAATTGAAGATAGACCAACTGATGCAAACAAACGTCGTCGTGATGAACAAAATCCAAATTTAGTTGAAGAAGTTGTTGAAGAAGTTGTTGTTGTTGAAGATGATGAATTAGCTAAAGAAGCTGAAGAAGTTGATGAATCAGAATCTTCAGAATATGATGAAGAAAAATCAACTTCAGATGTTGATCAATCAGAATCTTCAGAATCTGATGATGATGAAGAAAAATCTTTAGATGAATTAATTTATGAAGATATTGAAAAACATAGATCAAATTATGCAGTTGCAAATTCAACTTTTAATAGTACTGTTGGTGGTAATTCAAGTTTTGTTAATGGTACTGGTGATCATGAAACAAGTTCAGAAAACAATGGTAATGTTAATGTTGGGTTTGAAGGAATCTTGGGTTCAGCATTTTTAGGTTTTGTTGTTTCTTATTTATTTTAACTGGACCTATTAATGTTTTGATTTTCCTTTCATTTTATCATCAAGAGGGATTTCAATTCAATTATTTCATTTAAATCAAAATTGAATTATGATTATATTAGCTTTTATTAATCTTTAAATTTATGTTATAGAAATTATATCCAGTTGTGAACAGGGGAATTTTATTAACTTATTATTATTATTATTATTATTATTATTATTATTATTTATATTTATATTTTTATTCTTATATTGTTGCACTAAAACTTTGAAATATGTAGATCATATATATTAATATGTAGTTCATGATCTTTAACATAAATTCAATCTATATATAGAATTACGTCATTAATTATAAGTTCTATACACGTCATATTTGGAACCTGAAATTATAATAATTTAAATAAATAAAAAATATACTTTGATCTAGCTTTAGATCATCTTCATGCATGCATATGAGATATAACTAGCTGCTTTATTGTTTTAATTGGGATCTGTAAGCTGTACTACATTAGCTTCTATAGCTGCTTCATGCACAGAAGTACTATACATAGATTATTAAATTGTTGATGGTATATTTCTTGTTTTTCACTATCCTGTCTTGAATATGTACTATTCCTATAGTAAATAATCGACACGTAAAATATGTAATTATCCAACTCTAATCAATCTAAGCCTAGATCTATAATTGTATAATCATGAATTAAATCAAATATACATCATCAATTGGCACTAAATCACCAGAATCCTGATTAATATTGATCTCTAAAGCCATTAATATTCTTTTAGATGCGCTTTTCTTGATCAATATTTTTTTAAACAGATTTAAAAATTCTGGAAAGATCCAGATGATCAACAGCACGCTCTTCTTTCTTGTCACACATTGGAATGGCAATCATTTTACCAAATGTTATGTACTTTTCTCCTTCTTCTATCTTCACTCTTGATTTTGATTTCAATGGATAACAATAATCAGAATTTTTAACTTCTTGTAATCACTTTCAAATATATTATCCAACAAATCATGTTCAATAGGATAATCTAGATAAATATATTCTTTTAAATCATCTTCTGTTAAATATCTTATAGGATCATAAGCCCTGATTTGTATGGACTTACATTTTTTTAAAATTGAACTTAACTTTGAGTCATCAACATCTATATGAAAACAATGGCTGAAATACAATTTGAAAACGGCAGACTTTACTGTTATGGTCTGAACTTCCCTACCATTACCAACATCAAGCTTTTGTAGTTTTTTATCAGGAATGTTAACTTTGTAAAATCTTTTCAGCTTTTTACTTTCCTTTGGTATGTAAACCTCATCAAAAATATCTTGAAGATTTGGTAATTCTGTATTATCTAACAATTTTTTTCTAAACTCTAGGTGGTCCTTAAGTTCATGATCTACATCATCGTCATCTTCTGATCTAGAATTCTTGACATCATAATTATCAGGATTTGTATTGTCTTCTGGAGATAATTTATATTTATATTCTTGATAAAATCAACAGTGCCATAAATATTTGTTTTATAGTTATAAAAGCATCATCATTTTTTAAAATCATGTGGTGAAACTGAAATTCCAATAAATCATCATCCGATTTATTTATGTAAATGAATTTCTCCTCGTCTGTAAGAAAACCATTATTGCATTTTGAATGTGTCATGTGTTGATTTAATTGTGAAAACCCAGGGATCAAATCCAAATTTCCATCAGTTATTGACTTTGGTAAAACAGATTCTATTTTAAAGATAATTTCTGTTGAGTTCTTCTGATCAGTAATTATTAATATATTAGGATAAACACAGCGCTTATTAACGGAGTTGTTGGACAGCACTTGGAAACGATAACTAAAATAAGGTTTTCCATAGACAATATTATTGGTTAAATTGACAATTGGGTGAATTATTAGTTTCAAAATTTGAGATTGAATGTCATACTTCGACATAATGTTAATTGGACTATTTAAGTGCAATTTTTCATAAGTGTATAAGTTTTCAAAGATGACCATTGGATCCAAAGAGCTTGAGTTGTCACATTCTTTCTCAAAGAAGCCCATATCAAGATATTTACCAACGAATTTCCTTTTTGTTTTGTCATGAAGTGGTATGGAAATTGTATCATCTTCGTTTTCTTTGTTTGTTTCTTTATGAACTTTTTCGCTTGGATGATTTGAATATGTCTTTATGGTACTAGGAAACCCCAACCAAAGCTTCATTAAAGCAATTGTCAAACTTTGAGGATCATCTTTATCATATTTTGTGGTCTCTATGATTTTGTAAAGTTTGAAAAAATCTCTTTGAAGAGCTTCATGAAACTCTTTAATATGATTTTTGTCATGACTGGTATTTGTGACTGATAATTTTGATTGATGACGTTGTAGTTTCCCAGATTCTTTCAAATACTTGCTATAACCCAAGGATGTAGATGAAGATGATGCAATGGACTTGATTTTTTTATAATCCAAAACTTTGTCTTCTCTCTTAGGGTTAACTTTATCGAGAGACACTAAATGATTTGTACTCGTCGACTTTGTGCGATATTGAAAGGTAGGAATAGCTTGAATTGGAACGTAACGCTTGATCAACCTGCTTGAGAGCATCATATTTGGATGTTTACAATACATTGACAAAGAGAATGATCACATAGCGACCTGTAATTATCTTTATTGTTTATAAAAATGTGTCAAATTGACTTTCTCTTATATACCCATGCTGCCCTTACCGGATGATCGTTTGGCTTCGAGAATCAGGTTTCGCCAGCGGCCACTGGCCAGCGTATAATATTGATGGAACATTTAACACACGAGCAAATAAATCAATTTTTAATTGACATTTAAATTGATATTTTCAGTATTTGGTATATATAAAGATAAGAATCTCCTTAATTGTAATACTGTTACCTCTTAGACATATGCTTTTTGGAAGTATAACCAAAATGAAATTGACTTGAGCGGTACTGAAGTGAGCAATAAGCTATCAGTTAAAAAGAGGAAAACTGAAGAGAAATCATTAGCCATGAAATCACATGATTCAGCTACAAAATGAGTAACTGGTGGAATCTATAGCTCAGTTATTCATAGGTGGTACTTTTCACCTATTTAACCAATGAGGAAACGGTGAATGAATTGATTAAACGTGTGTAAGCGGTAAGGCATAATGGCCAGGTAAAGTGATGTTTTACTACATGTTGGATAAATTCCTTGGTGTTCAAACTTCAAACTTCACAGTTCACTGTTCGTACTTGAAAGAAAAAGCTTGTTGTTTGAGCTTAATTACCCATCGGTGTTATAGTACTACAGTTACTGATTGAATTGATATGATTTGATATGATTCTCATAAGAAAATTACAAAGAATGGATATAAAGGTTAAATGGGAAAGATCTTCAATGTATGAAAATTTATACGGATAGTACATGAATAATGGGTGGTAAAATTGATCAATGATCATATATGAGATGATGGGGATTAACGTAAGGGTTCAAGGGTTTAGAGATGTTGATGAACATTGAACATCATTCAGATGGGTAGAAGATGATAGGTATACCACTAGATCATTCAAGCTTAAGAAATACGGTTGAAATTGAAGTTTTGATGGTTTCCATGGTTGATGTACCCCTAGTGGTATTTCTTGGTCATTATTCAAATTTTCGTTAGGGGTGTACAAATAATAATACCGCTTTTGATAATTCCGATTAATCATACTTATGAATTTGGAAATATTAGTATACGTTTTTGGTTAATTACAAACAAGTTATGAAGAATTGGATCAATAAGAATGTTGAATGGAGTTAATATAGACGTTATGATGTTATGAAATTAGGTTGTTCAATTGAGATGTATATGAATATCCGGTTGTTCAAGGATGCTATAGATCCATATTTGATTAACCAAAATCCAAATTAAGCAAATGTTCCAGTACCCCTATAACCCAGATTAACTAGTTAATTATGCAACATTTTTACATTCATGTGTTGATCTTCAAAGATTACAAACTAACAACGGTCTAGTTCATCAACAGCTATTCAATTACTGGTTAAAGTATTGAAGTAGTACAGAACGGGGACGGATGATGGTTACTTTAATGGAAGGTTGTATGTACGATACAATTAACGTATCCCGTATATCTTGATTATTAGTGGATAATCAATAATTTTACTTCAGCTCATTACACCTCTTGGTCCATTTTGTTGCTCTAGACACATGGGTAAAGTTCCGTCAAGACATTATTATTTAAAGTTTGGTATATAAACAAATTGAAATCCCTTATAACCTCAAACAAGTATTACTGTTAAACTATACACAATTCAAACAAGTTCAAAATGGTTTCAATTAAACAATTATTCTTAGCTTCATTACCAACTTTATCAATTGCATCAGACGCTAAACAAAATTCAGATTCTCCAGAAGGTTCAGAATTAATTGCAAATTTCCCACAAGGTGGATCAAACCAGATTCATGGTTATGTTAAATTTACAGGTTTACAAAATGGTTCAGTTCAAGTTGATGCAAAATTTGAAAATTTACCAAAAGAAGGTGGTCCATTCCAATATCATATTCATGAAGCTCCAGTCCCATCAAATGGTTCCTGTTTGGCAACATTAGCACATTTTAATCCAAATCATGGTAATAAAACTGATTGTCCTTCTCAACATAATAATGCTGGTTGTGAATTAGGTGATTTAAGTGGTAAACATGGTTATATTCCAGTTTCTCAAGATGGTTCATTTGAAACTAGTTATGTCGATGAATGGTTATCCATAAATCCTCAAAATGATTATTATTTTGGTAATGGTGATCGTTCTTTAACTTTACATTATGCTAATACTTCAAGAATTGCTTGTGCTAATTTTGAATCAAAACAAGTTGGTGGTTCTAATGGAACAAATGGTTCAAGTTCTTCTGTTCCTCCTGTTTCTACTGCTGATAGTTTAGGTAATAGTGTTGGTATGAGTGGTGTTGCTATTATTGCTGGTATTGCTGCTTATTTGATCTAGATGTTTGAACAGCTTGTTAATATAATATAAAATAATATTTTTGATTAAGTTGAATTGTAGTATATTATTATTGACTTCTACAATATTGTTCACTCAAATATAACTTTTTTTTAAAGTGTAATTAAACACAAGTATATACTAACTAAATCAAAATAAAATCAAAACACTGATATATATAATATATCATAATATTAACCTAATATCCATAAAAGTTCTTCTTAAATTGTATACTTTTATTCATTTCCCAATTTTTTTAAAAATTCTAATAATTGAATAACATTTGTTGAATCATAACCTTCATAAATATATCTTGTTGCAATTGCTGTTGAAAATAATGATTTTGAATAAGCATCAGGTAATCTTTTTAAAATTTCTTCAATTGAATAATCATTTTCTTTTAATAATAATTCTGGAATTGATTTTTTCAATAATTTAAATTTTAATGATTCATCATTCCATAAATCTTTTGAATTTGAAATTAAATCTGCTAATTTATTAATTTCGTTTGATAATAAATCTGAAGATTCTGATAATGTTAATCCAGTTTTAGCTTTAAATTTTAATAATGCAGTTGCTTCTTTTTCTGCATTTGAAACAATTGTTGCTTGAACTTGTTTAACATAAGTTTGATAAAATTCAGTACCATTTTTAAATTTATTTAAAAATTGTTCATCAGATAATAATAATGAAGCTAAAACTTCTAATGATGATGAAGTAACACCACCTTTATTTGTTGAAGCATCTTTAAATAAAACTGCACCTGATTTTTCTAATTGAATTTTGGCAGCTTGTGTAATAAATAAATTTGCACCTTCAACAATATATTTAATAATTGATTTACCATCTTCATTTTTAAAATCTTTAACATTATCAATATCAATTGATGCAGGTCTACCACCACATGGAACAAATAAATCAATTTCACCAAAATATTTTTTCAAATTTAAATGGAATAAATTTCTGAAATAAACACCATTTGAAATAATTTCTTCATTTGGTAATTTAACATCTTTATCATCAACTAAGACAACAAAACCTTCAGAAGATAATAATGATTTATTATAATTTGAAATCATTTTACGTTCATGAGCTAATCTTCTTAATTCATCTTTATCAAGACCTTTTGGATCAGCTAAAACACCTGAACCATCAACAATACCAATATAAACTTCATTATCAGTTGATAATAAAATTTCATTTGAACCTAAATCACCATCTGGACCACCAGTTTGGAATTTTTTAATTGGAGTTTTCTCTAATTGATAAGTTTCATAAATTTTTTTAACATATGATCTAACAGATAATGAAGTCATACCATATTCATCATGAGGAATACCACCTAATTGAGGTGATTTACCAGTAAGGAAAGATTTCCACCATGGAGCACCACGAGATTTAGCATGTAATGTAGCCCAATCAGTAAAACCTGCAGTACCTTCATCTGGACCAAGGAATAAAATTTCAGGTTTACCATATAAATCAACAATCGGTTCTTTAATACCTGGGATATCATTTTTAATTAATAAATCAATTATTGAATCAATATATTTTTCAAAGCCAGATTTTGGATTTTCTTGAGCATCTAAATCCAACAAGATAACACCTTTTGAACCACCTTCTGGAATATCTTTATTTTTTCTTTGTTGAGTTGAAGCTAAATTATAATTTTCATCAAATAAATTACGAACATTAACTTCATAAGCATCTTGAGATCTTGATTTAACAACACGAATACCACCTCTTGCAATATCTCTAAATCTAATATGGAAACCTCTAAAATCAGAACCAACAACAAAGAATAAACCATATGGAGTTTCTGGGTATTCAAATTTTGGTAAGAAATCTGGATTTAATCTAAATGAAATTGCAACTTTTGTTGAAGTAAAGAAATTAGTTTTCAAAATTGATTGATTGAAAATAAATAAACCTCTTAAAACTAATGCATCATTTTCATTAAAGACATTTTTCAAAATTAATTGATTAAATTCTTCTTCATTTTTAATTGGTTGTAATTGAGATAATCTTTGATAACTTAAAGTTTTCTCTAATTTATTTGGAATATAATGAACATCAGCAAATGATCTAAATAATTGTTGAATAATACTTTTATATTTTTTGAAAACTTCCAAAATAAAACTTGTTGTAAAAGTTTCAGATCTTAATCTTTTTTTCAATGAAGATAATAATTCAGCAACTTGATTTGATTTTGAAGCATCTAATAAAGTTAATAAAGATTGGTATTCAGAACCTAATCTATTCAAGAAATGAGTAACGAAAATAGTACCAATATGAGCATAAATTGATTCTTGTAAAGATAATTCATTTGAAGCGAAAAATTCATCAAATAATCCATGTGGGATAGTAAATAATAATGAAGCTTCTTTAATTAATTGAATAATTGATAGCGGATTAGTTTCAGTTGTTGGTTTAACATAAATGGAAATAATTGTAACACCATTTGAAAAATTTTCAACATATTTTCTTGATTGATTTAATTTATAATAATTAATTAAATTTGATAAAGCACTAAAATATTTCTTTGTAGTGTTTTTCTTGTAACCAATAATAATACGATGTTCATCTGAATCATCAACTGGTAAATGTTTAATTAATGGACCAGTTTGACCCAAAACTTGTTCAATTATTTCATCATATAATTTTTTAGTATTTGGACTAATTAGTTTTAGAAAAGTTTGATCATAAATTGAATTTGAATCAAATTGATTCTTATAAACAAAATGAGCACGAACAGTTTTTTTGTCATCAGCATCAAATTGTTCATTATTTAAGATTAATGGAGCATTAAATGATTCAACTCTATAACTTTCATTTAATTGATCTAAATATAATTCATCAATTCTTTTTTCATAATTTGTTAATTTAAATTCTTGAGAATTTGGAATTGAAGTATCAAAATAAACAGCATGATCTTGAGATTCTCTTTTATGATGAATGAATGGTGAATTTAAATCATTACGAGCAAATGCATCTAATTTAGCAGAATATAAAGCATGAATATGAGACACAATACCATCAACAGATTCTCTTGCGAAATAAACATCATCAATACCTAATTGTTCGTAAAACCATTTAGCTTCAGATTCAATCAACATTTCAGGAATGAAACCTTGTTTATCAATAACATCCAGAACTTTTTCAAATTGTTGTTCTTTACCAATGAATGGTAAATTTTTATAACCTGATTTTAATGAAGATATTGATAAAGAACCAATATCTGGTGTTGGAGAAGCATGTAATTGATCATTAGTCATGACGGTTGTTGTTGTTTGATTGTTATATCATATAATATGATGTTGTTGTAAGAGAAGAATAGAATATGAAAAAAACCCTGGGAAATTGAATTGTTTATATACAATTCCATAAATTATTATATAGATAGATCTATATCAAATGGGAATAATTGTATAGTACACGATGCATAGATAGCAATTTACCATTAGATATTATATTCATTATGATCCTCTAGTTAACCGCTGTATGATGGTGGTATTTATATCTTAACCGCTCTATTATTGGTCGTAGTTATTGTATAAACATCTCTATTAATTAAGTCTATGACACATCAATTGATCCTAATTTACCCATTGATTAAAACTTGTACTGATAATCAAAAATCAAAATAAACAATTTTAAACGCCATACAAGAAAATTCAAAATTCAAATGGTAAATTCAACCGAGTGGCGCGCAAAATGACTTAATTTGGTCATTTTTATAAGGGAAACACTTGGCGGGTAAATTCTTAATATAGTGTGTAGTATTACGTAATCATTATAAACTGTGTGGGTAAAAGATCTCCACAAAATTAAGTAATATTAAGAATTTTGTAAAGTGATTTGATTTGACGTGTATTATAAAGCCTTATATGGCATTAATTTTATATGGCGCGCTTAAACTAGTCATTCTATGGCATTAACTACTTTACCCCAGAAGTTATTAAATGTTGTTTATTAAGAGTAACTATAAGCTATAATCATTAAACCTTTAGGAGTAGAACTATCCAGTAGAACTTATCCGCATCTATTTATATAAGCCATAAAATCAATTCATCATATATATATATAATCATAACTTTGCCTTTTGTGGTCTAAGACTCTTTAAAATAGTTTCAATATTTGCAGCTTTAATAACATCACCTTTAATTTTTAATTTACCACCAAGGAATAATTTTTGAGAATTTGATTTACCTTCAACTAATTTTTTAAAATCCAGGTCTTTCATTGTTATAACTAAATCAGAATTATTTAAATCTGATTCATTTGCTTCTGATAATTTACCATCATTTTTTAAATCTAATTTCCATGCTTTTGAACCTGATTTATTCTTTAAATTGAATACAATAACTGATTTGGTCTTATCAATTAAGTTCTTGGTTAATTTGGTGTTTGTTGTTAATTGGGTGGCAATTTCTTTGAAGATTGGTTCTGATTTGAAGGACATGATGATTGTTGTTGATATACTTCTTCTTCTTCTTCCTCTTGTTGATTGTTGATTGTTGATACTTTTTGTTTACTTTTGCCACAGGATTCTCACTTGTTTAAATACAATTCTCACTTTAACCGAACTCCACTAAAATAATTTGACAGCAATAAAAAACAAATGCAAAACAACTAAATACAAAACTTTAAAAGACCCTTTGAAATTAAATTAAAATAAACTTTTCTTAACAAAAATCATTCCAAAAACTTAAATTGGAGAATTTCCTATTTTGCCGAGGTAATAACTACGTACAAAATTGGTTGCACGCGTATGTAATCAGGATTCAGTACCCGCGAATTTTAAATCAAATTTTATAATATAGATCAATATTGTTTAAACGCATTAATTTCATTTTAATATTATATAAACTAATATCAAGTGTCTCTTCATGTGTTATATTGAATAATTTTCAGATTATTATCGCAAATTATGCATCTTATCTTGTTTTTAAGGCATAAAATGTTTTAATCTTATGTGGACTGATTTTGTGGGCATACTTAGTTGATAGTTGATAGTTGATAATCCATCTGAGTGGTTGATTTCCATTAATTAGGGACAACCTTCATCATTATATTATACATGGATTTCAACTCGCATGAGTGGTTATAACTACACATCTCAACAACAATTCTATATTTAATTGATTGTATATATGTTCCTTATGCTTCCCAGCTGATTAAAGACTATTACAAATATATTGAATAATTCATTTTAAAAAATCATTGTAGCTTTATTAAACAGCCGCTGTGTTCAAAATTTCATACTCAACTACATATTATCATTCCATAATATATATTAAACCCATTAATCTGAATATTTAGCAATTATTCATTAGCGCCTAGCATCACCAACTATTAAACACTTTCAAAATACAATTTAATAGCACTACTTAATCTTCTACCAGCTTCTAAAATTTCTTCATCACTATCTTGAGTTGCAATTGTAGTTCTAATAAATCTTGCCTTTTTAGCAAAACTTTCATCTGTAGTAAAATTTTTACCCAAGACAACAATAACACCTTGTTCCAATGCCTTATATCTTAATTGTTCTACTTGATCTCTATAATCTTCTTCTTCATCATCATCATCATTTGGAAAATTAATATTGATTGAAAGAAACATACCAGATTTTGGTTCAATTATATCAAATTGACCTTTCTTAAATGATTCACTAGATTTCAATGTCTTGATTAATAAATTCTTTCTAGCGGTATATTCTTCTGATATCTGAATATTCCAATTTAACCAACCATCAACACCATCAAATTGTTCAATAACAGAATTCACAATCAATTGACTAATACCTGATGGAGCCCTTGTGGAAACATTTGCATGATCAATTATTCTCTTGATGAATTTTGCATGTCCAACTATGAAACCTAATCTTGAACCTGGTGCAAAAATCTTGGAAAATGATTCTAATCTAAGGACTCTACCTTCTGTATCATATTGAATATATGAATTTGGTAAATCTTCTTCAATATATTTATCAACCGAATAGTCATTTGTGGAAAATTTATTGAAATCACCATCAAAATATTCACTTAATTGAATATAACCATATGGATCATCTTCAATGATTAAAAATTCATATTCAGAACTTAAATCATAAATCTTTTTTCTATCTTCATGACTCTGGGTTAAACCTGATGGATTTTGTCCAGTTGGAATAGTATATAACCCCTTTGGTCTTTTAAAATGTTTATAAGGTCCAGATTCCCAATTTTCTAATAATTTTTCAAATTTTCCAACATCAATACCACCTTTTTCAAAATTTAATTCCACTGGAACAACAATACCACCATAATTTATGATATTTGAAATCACGGGAACATAAGTATAATTTTCAATTAGGATAACATCCCCTGGATTAATAATTAAATTGAAAATCTTGTGTAATGAATCTCCTGTACCATTAGTTAAAGTTAAATCCCAATCTTCATAACCTGGTTCATTAACTCTATTAATCAAACTTTTAGCAAATGAAATCAATTCAGGATGACCTTCAGTTGGACCATACTGAAACCCTTTAGTAATATCTAATGTCTTTGAATCTTTCTTACTAATAACTTTTTCAGTAGTATCAGCATTAAAAGGAGATGATGAAACTTCTAATGTAATTTTATTAACTGGGAAAAATCCTGAATGTGGTCTACCACCTCCTAAAGAAATTGGTGATTTATGTTTTGTAATTGAAGTTGGTAATGGTAAACCTGCAAATGAAACTTGTTTACGTTCCAGGGAACGTGTTGAAACAAAGGATAATAATCCATCATTTGTTGATGTTGGTACTGTCATTTTGATAAAATAAACGGTTGGTATAATCACGATCTGTCCAATCCACTAACACACTAGCTTTGGCGAAGGTTGTTAAAAGAATATATTTAAAGTATACTGTGGTGGTTTTATAGTATTTGAACTAAAATTCCTAGTTGTAGTATGCCACAGTTTTATAAGGGTCTTTGATCTAAAGAATGAAACTTGTTATATAATATCGTCTTTTAGAAACAAAATTAGGAAGATATCCACACTTATTTATATACCATAATCATTTAACATTCCAATACCAATAATTCTTTTGTTTGATATCCCTATCTTTGAGATCAGTGACTCAGTGTGACACTGCGCTCCTTAGTATCTTTGATAACAAAATTATCTTTATCGGGATATTTCCTAATTGGGGATAATCACCGGTATATATTCATAAATACATATATTTATAAATTGACGCGCGCGCGTGGTTTTATACAATTATCTTAACATTATAAGTTATAACTACTGGTGTGGCTACATTTTATCTCATTATATCAAATACATCATATGTTTAAGTACTTATTCATGAGCTAGTAATATTCATGTGATATCTTGTTAATCAGTGAGCTGCTATATAAGCCATCTAGTCTACAGCTAAAGCTTCATGAGTCAATAGTGTGGATCACAATGAGTCTAGTCGTGACTCATGTCATGGTGAGCACTGATCCTTATATTAATAATTAGATAAAAACGTACATAATTATCTAAAATTTTGATCGGTTGATTTCCTAGCTCAGGATAAACACAGATGTCGAGACAATATATACCCCAAATTACAAATACTAGTATATTATTGGTATACAGTTGATCATAAACAGATATATTCATAAATTTCATTAATAATTATTTAATAAACTAATACTATAGCTAATGCTTAAACTCCTGGGTACACTCATTTTTTGAAATGTTTATATTTATCTTCAATATATTTTCTTTGATTTGGATCTAATTGATTTGTAACACCTAATAATGCTTTTGAAACAGCTTCTGTAGCTCCAATCATTGGTCTTATAAGTGCAACTGGTGTAGCTTTTGCCACAGCTATTGTTGTATCATGTGCACTACCACTTTCTCCAATCTCTGATCCTGCATTTAAAATAGCATCTTTAGCAATTAAAAAATTTCTACCAAATGAATCATAAGCTAATTTAAAACCTTCTTTTAAATTTGTTGGTTGATCTGCATAAAGACTTATTGTTTTTTGAGTTTCATCATCTTCATCTTCATTTAATCCAACTCCTCCAATTTCATGAAATTCTTCAATTTCAAAATCATCACCATTTATATGAACTAAATCTCTTTGTTGTCTTTTATTTCTTCTCGTTTGTGAATTGGATTCTCTATTTAAATCAATAAATGATTCTAATGATGGATGAATTGATCTTTGTAATGGAGTTTGAGATAATGAACTTCTTCCAATCAATTGTGATCCAAAATTTGCTTTTGAACGATTTCTATCATCAGTTTCATCCAATGAATCATCATCTTCAATGGAATCATCACTTTCATCTTCTTCATAAATAACTTCATTACCACGACGAATTCTTCTTGTTGATGATGTTGTTGCTCTACTATTTCTTGGTATTCTTGATTGTGCACCATTACCACCAAATACTTCCTCTGTATGTTCCAGTAATGTTTGAGTACCAGCTGCAATTTTAACACCAAATTTTAATAATTCATTTGTTGTATTCTTAGTGAAATGTTCAACACCTTTAGAGAAACTTCTATAAATTCTACCATCTTTCTTATATTCTTTCATAGGTACAACAACTAACCCTTTAACACCATTACCAATTTGAACCAAGGATCTAACTGATGCTAAACCTGATAAAACACCACTTAATTGAGTTGATCTAATATCTGGCATCCATAATCCATTTAATAATTTACCAAGTTTTGGGAAACCAGAAATACCATAAAGTGTAATTTTTTTCAAAATCATATCAGCTTCATCAAGAATGAAAAAATTCATAAATTCAGTTGTATGACCTGATCTTAAACCTGAATAATCAATTTTCTTAGGTTTATAATCAAGTTTAATATGAACTGAATTGATTTGAAATTTTTGAATATAAACTATATCTTCAAACTCATCAACTAAATTAAAACGAATATCTTTGAATTCACCAAATCTTGTTAAGATTTCCAATGTATCTTGATCAACGTGTAATCTTAATGGTAATACATTAACATCCATCAATAATTCAGTGGCAGCTAAAGACATAACAGGTCTAACAGTTTTAAAGTTGACAGAAAGCATAGATGCTCCACTTTCTCTTTCTGTATCTTTCATTTCAGTAACAAATTTATTCCAAGTTGAAGTTGGTACATTATCAATGACTTCAAAATCTGCAACTTTAATATCAATATCATTTAAAAGCTCATAATCATACTCATTCTTAACAGTAGAGCTTGAAATTGGATCATTATTTGAAATAATTTTAATGTTGGCTTCTAATTCATGAATCTCAATTAAAATTTTATGGAATTTAGAACGACGAAGCTTTAGTTTTTTAATATTATTCTTACCAACTTCAATACCATTATTATCAACACTAGCTCCTGAAACATCTTCTTCTTGGTCTTTATTATGTAGATCTTTATTAATTTTGGCAGTTAATTTTGAAGAATCAGAGCCAATTGGGAATGCAACATGAATAGAATCAAATAATGTTTCTCCAACAATGTTGTCATTATCTTCTTCATCTTCATCATTGTCTTGTTCTGATGCTCTTTGGTTATTATTGTTTCTTTGAATAGATGATGATGGTGATGATCTTCTCCTTCTTTCTGAATGTTCTCTTCTTTCTTTCTCTTTTGCAGCTTTCTTCTCCAATTTCTTTATTGTATTGCTGATTGTTCTCCTGGTATGTTTCCAGTCATAACCATCATATATTTTTAAAGAAATTTCATTGACATTTATATTGATTGTCATTGGGTATTCAATTTTCTTTGATGATTCTTTCAAGTTATCACTTGAGCTTTGATCGAAATGACTATCTGTAAACATAATTAATGAATCAGATTTATCAGAACCATCAGCAGCTATGTTTGGAGAAGAGTTACTAGAAATACCATTACCTGAATGTGTCACTGAAGTTGGTGAATCATTAGTGAAATATGGATTCTTTGAAAGACTTTTATCTTTTATTGTTAATTCATCGAGATTCTTATCCAAAATGTTTGTACCAGACAGATCAACTGAAGTTTGATCATCAATATCAGAGTCACCATTATTATCATTACCATCATAGTAGCTATCAACAATGTTTAACGGTTCTGGTGCCTTAACTCCTGAATCTTGTGACAATATTAAATCATCTAATGTTGGTTTAAAAGCATTTTCATCAACACCATCAAATATATTCAGCTCTCCTGGAGCTTGTGATTTATATTTTAAATCATTATTAATTGACACTGGTTGTTTCAGATCGTTAAGTAATTGTGTTAGACATTGTGATGAGTCAGCACATAGTTCTATGTCTAGATTATCAGCAGTAATATTCATATCAATTATGCTACCATTAGCCTTTAAACCAAGTTGATTCTTCTTAATTGAAGTATCAATATGAAGTGAATTAATATTAGCAACCGATGTGAAACCTCTATTGTTTAAATTTGATGCTTGAGACCATGATGATGATGGGTTTCTTGAAGATGTAATATTATTGAATTTTTTGGCTTCTTCTCTTGTTAATATATTTTTAACATCATCAATCAATACTAAGACTGCTGAGCGTACTTGAGTCTTAACCATGATAAGTGAAGAAAGCTTAACATCAACATTTCCACTTTTGGTGACCAAATATGCCTTTGAATGCAATCTTCCAGGATTTAACCCTATAGAACATTCCACCAATGTGATGTTGAAACAATTATTACTATCACCATTTGTGGTGGAGGCCTGAAGAGAAGATTCTTCTGATGATGTTTCTGATGGTGTATCCTTACCACTTTGATTATTTAATAACGATATCCATGAAGTATAATATTCAACTGCTGTATTTCTTAAGAAACCGTGGATATTTTTATTTTTTCTTAGTCTAAGTGAGAGTATTGGTGCACTCTTATCATCGATATTAATTGGTGAAATCACATCTTCTTCGAAAAGACCTTTTATTCTTGTAACATTGAAGCTAGTAGAGTGCAATTGAACTTGACCATCTTTCAACAATGAAACACTAATATTTCTCAAAGAAGAACTAATGCCACCAAATTCGGGTAGTATTTCTTTAACAACGAAATTCAATTCTTTAATAGTTATTTGGGTTTTAACAGCTTGTCTAGCTTGAAATACCAAATTATTAGAAATCTTAGCCTTCTTTCTTCCCTTGAACCTGATTTCTTCATTTGGGAAACTAATATTATCAACAAATTGAGAAATACTCTGAGCAACTTGTTTCAAAGCAGATGCTCTTTGTTCAAATTCAATCTTTTCAATACCAACAAAGCAAGGACAAGTTAAGACAATTTCATGACCTGAATTATCATATGACCTTATTTGCTTATCAGTTTTCAGAATATCAACTTTCAAATTGTGTAATGACCCTAATGATACGTTATTTTGGGTAATGGTTGCTTTCTTTAAAGAAATTGAGCCTTGAGATGAATCATATGATATTGGACTGACTGATAATCCCAAGCTTTGATCCTCTTCTAGCCTAAAGTTTATGTTCGTAGATGAATTCTGGAATATTAAGGAACCTTTTGATGCTGTAGCTGGCTTTGTGGACTTTGATGAGCTTAACTTTGTTAATGAATCTAGTATTTGTGGTATCAGAGAGGATAAATCAATCAATTTTTGTGTTGATTCTTGATCCATGTTCAAATTGAGATGTTTGGGTAATAGTATCGTCGTATCACCTGTTTTGATATTGCTTTCAAAGCGTAAATCATTCTTTGTATCATCACCTTCAAATTTTAGTATAGGTTCATCCTTATTCTTCAAGGCGCTCAAGGACTTTACACCTCCAAACATTAAACTTTCATCTCCTTGAGTTACCGTTATCTCTTTGCCGACTAATCTTAGTCCATAAGGATTAAAAAAAGTACCATCTTCTTTAAGTGCAGATGATAAACCTATAATTATGGATGATATAGTAATTGAATCAAAACCTTTACTTGAATCATCTGTATTGATATTTGAGACAGGAATTGGTTGCCTTAATTGATTAAACTTTTTATTTAAACTTGAATGTCTTTTTATTGTGTCTTGAAGATTCAAAATGGCCAATGACTCCAAAACATAAAGTAAAGTAGTTGGTAATGGTGTTGCTGCAATGTTGATCTGGTCCACTTCTAGTTTCAAATTTTTGATGTTAGAAAGACCACTGAAAAAAATTTTTGCTTTATTTATGTGACATAGTTTTGTCGAATGATCATCACTATGTTTCTTCTCCAAGATGTTAGATGTGGCACTCATATAAATTGAACTGGCTTCTTCTTTTGAGTATACAAGACTTGATCCTAAATCTGTTGGTTTTTGTAAAATGGAAGAAGACATCATACCATCATCATCTGAATCATCATCTGAGCCTTGATCACTAATATTGTCATCGTGAAATTCTTCGTCTTCTTCTTCTTCTTCTTCTTCTTTTCCGTTCTCTGATTCATCACATTGATCTTCATTGGTTGGTCTTAGCGTTGATACACTATCTGGTATATTTTCATGTACTTCACTGTTTTCTTCGTTGAGTTCTGTTTGATCACCTGGTTCACAAAACGGTTTAACTGTCAAGACTGAAATCTCACCAAGCTCTATTATTCTTTCACCATCATTCGTAACAAATGATCCATTCTGTATTACCAAATCCACAGTAGCTTGATCCATTATTAGTCGTACCGATATGTCTTTTAATGAAACTTGCAATCTTGCTAAAGCAGCTTCCACTGCCCTAGTCATAACATTACCCATCGGGCCTTTATTGTTATCTGAAGTATTGTCATTATCAACTGAACTTTCATGGAAACTTTGATTTGGAGTTTGGAGATCAGATGTTGATTCTAGATCTTCTTGGGCTTCAGTTTCAACATTCATCACACTTGTAGCTAATCCCATTGTACTTTGAGCTAATGAAAATTTTGATTTCTCAGTGAAACTACCTTCAGAGTTTGCATTGGAGTTTGGTGAAGCAAGTGCCATTGTTAGTTCTAGACCATCAGCTTCTATACTAACGCCCCCGCTCATATTTAATTGTAATTCAAGATTTTTTACTCTACCATTCCTTAGAAAAGCACCAGGTATTTGGAGGGCATCAGGATCAAGATCAACATCTTTTAACGTAACTTTTGAGCTTGAACCAAGTGATACATCTAAATTTGGCAAATCAATCTCTGAAAATAGTGATAGTTGTTGTAGCACATACAGCAAGAGCCTTTTTTGTAAGTTTTGAGGCATCCATTGTGGTGACATTCTTCAAAATGCACTATATAGTTGATGATATTATCTTCTGTGGTATTCCCGCCACGCCACTTGACGTGACTTTGTACTTTGTAGTTGCTAAATAAGCTTGAGATCAAAGGTAAACGATCAAATAATGAACTTATTTAGGTTTCAGCAGACGAAATATATATTTTTGTGTGTAGTTTGGAGTGGTTAAAATCAAGTAGATAGCGAACCTTGGTGACTGAATCTAGTCAATTTCTGTCTGTGTATACTTTAGTTAGACTATATCTTATCGTTTCGGTGTGGCTCTTACCATATCAGTGTCCGTAACCTTTCCTAAAATTACCTAATACTAACAAGTAATTAGAATATATAAATTTTATATCAGAGTTTATAACTACAATTTAAAAGGATGAATTTTCTGAATCGCTTGTATGCCCTTGAAATCTCTTATATTATACATATCAGTTCATTTAACCCCTATGTGGTAGTGGTGGAGCACCTGTGTTGGAATAAGTTGCAGTAGCTCTCCCCGGGAAGACATTTCTTCTTGGTGGTGGTCTTCCTGCCATATCAGGTCTTGGTGGTAATCTTGGAGAAGTTGGACGTGGTGGCAATCTTGGAGAGAATTGTTCAGGTGAAAGATGAGTTGGTGGAGGTCCTGGTGGTCTTTGGAAATTAGTTGATAAATGTGGAGGTGGATGTGATGGTCTTTGGTATGATTCGCTTGAAGGTCTTAATGGAGCTGGTGGTGGTCCTGGAGGTCTGCTGTATATCTGACCTGATGTATTATTTGTACTAAATTGACTTTGTGGTTGTGATGGTTGTGGTTGTGTATTAGCATTTGGATCAACTTCTGAATAAGCAGGTAATGGTTCATCAGGAACAGAATCATCAACACCGGCCCATGGTGGTGTTGTGTTTTCATTGCTAGTGGTTAATGAATTGCCATTTGATGGTTCATGCTGGATTTGTTGTGGGATTGGGTCTGGTTCACGGGTACCACCATTCTCTGTTGATATATTTCCATTTGGATTTGGTGCATTGTTAGTTCCGTTTGATTCAACAGCTGTTGATGATGCAGTAGTTACACTTGATTCCAATATTGATGTATCTGGAGTCCCTGTTGGATTACTTGATATTCTACCTGAATTTGAATCTTGACTAATATGAGATTGGATTTCTGCTTCTGCTTCACTGGCAAATGGATTATTACTCCTTATATTTGTACTCATAGTGATTCAGTTTTGTTGTAACTAAAAGCGAAAATGTGTTCTTGAAAATGAAATCCTATCCAGCAAGAGCTATTATATTCACTAACTTATTCAATTATGTATTGATATTACTTTGAGCTTAAGCTTTCAAATCAACTAGAATCTGGTTAAATTAACGATATCCGTATTCGTTAATACGGTGACCCTCGGAACTTTTAGTGTGATCACGTGCTAGATTTTTTGAATTCCGGCATCGATCAAAAATTTTGGAAATTATCCAACATGAAAAATGAAAAGTTAGTAAATTACATCGAGAGTACAAGATTAATTTTAGATCTTCATCTCACGTTTGAGCTTATAAAACACAAAGTATAATCATGTTGAGATCATCTGCTAAATCAAGCATACAGACACTAAGTCGTGGATTTTTATCTGCTGAACAAATACCATCAAAATCAGGTCCAATTCAATTTGTTCGTGGTAAACGTACCAAAAAAGTTAGTTCAATTTCACCACAAACTCAAAAAATAATTACACAATTATCAGTTTTAAGTGCCAGAAAGAAGGTTCCAAGAGTGCTGAAGTTAAGTAATGAAGATCTTGTTAGACATGATGCAGTTCAAAGAGCTTGGGGTGTTTATCAAAAAGATAAAAGAATCAAAAATAAATCAGATTTAGCCAAACAATATGAAGCTATGAATAATGCAATGACTGATTTGAAATCAACAAATAGAGAATTATATGATCTAGCTAATGTTAGAGAAGTTAATAAGAAGTTCCCATTAGAATTCAGAATCCCAACACATTTCCCACCAAATAAAGTATGGTATTACGATTATGTTCCAAAAGATGAAACAAAAACTACAAAAGAAAATTGAATATTATCAAATAAAACAACAACCATTGTATATAGAAATGAACTGAAATTAATAAATATAAATTTGTAAGATATATTTGCATATATTTAAACTTTGAATTTCCTTAAAAGTAGTCACTGTTTTTAAATTTTATTTGTTTCCTACCAAATTCTTTGCCATAATGTATTGATAGCACCTTTACGATCAATGTTTGGTAATAGAATCCATGCAACAAACATAATTGCGTATGAGGCCAAAAATATTGGATGTAAAACATAAGTTCCAGTTTTTTGACTAACCATACCCACCAAAAATGGCAATGCACTACCACCTGAACTTCCAAACGCCATTATAATAGTCATTGAACATAAACGAATCTTTCTTGGTAAAATCCTTGCTAAGAATGTTATAACCATTGGTATAATTGGACCAATAAATAAACCTGCAAATGATGCAAATACAGCAGCAGCTATTTTTTCAGGAACAAGCCAAGTTAAGATGTCAAAAGCTATAATCAAGAGGCATAATCCAATTATAGATCTTCTACTACCGATAAACTTAATTAATGGACCTGTCAATAGAAACCGTCCTAATGTTACACCACCCCAAAAACCTGATGATATGAACCCAGCTGAATGGGTTGCACCTTTCCTATATGAGATAATGAATGTAACAACCCAACCACCCATTGCAACTTCTGAACCTTGATAAAAGAAAATGAAAACACTACCTAACCAGACTTTCCAATTCTTGAGAGCCGATTTGAAATCATGTGTTGTAGGTTCTGTTGATTTATTCTCAGGATCATCACCAGCTTTAGAATCTGATGAATCTAATGAATATTCTTTCAGGTCATGATCATAATCATGGAATGTTAATCCAATCAAGACCAAATTAAAGATTGAAATACCTAATAGAACAAAATAAAAGAAATTCCATCTAATACCATGATCAGTCATCAAAGTTGCAAATAATGGACCTGCAGTAGCACCAAGACCATAACAACCGTGTTGATAACCAACATATTTAGCACCTAATGGGGGTAAAAAGACATTAAATTGGCCCAAGTTTATTGCAGTACCAATTCCACCAAGAAATGTAGCAATACACATTACTGGGAATTTAGTACCAGTTAAAAATAAAACAGACATTGATAGTAAAGAAACACCAGCACACATGATACTACCAAATTTTCCTAGCTTTTGATCCAAAATATGACCAGAAAATCCAATCAATATATAACCTAACGCGTTACCAAGCCAAAGTAATGAAACAATAGCATAATTTATACCATAATAAGCCTCGATAAAAGGTAATAATGAACCAAAAACACCATCAGTCATACCGGCACTGAAAGCCCAACAAAAGGTTGTTATGGTACGATATTTGTTCTTCTTTGGGAGATTTATTGTCATTAATGGTTTGATATCTGGATTTGTTTCGACTTCAAGTGGAAAGTTATTTGATATACGATGAACATCATTTTGTGAGTTGATGGAAGCAGTAGCTGGTATATTTCTTGTCCTCTCGTGGAAGTGTTCTAAAGGAATTGGTTTGTTTAACTCAGTCATTGTTAACCACTGGTAGACGTATCAATTCATCAAAAAGTCGAACACATGAATCAGACTTTTCAAGTTCTATTTATATAAAACAATCAGACCGAAAAATCAGCCGCTGATACACTTCATCAAAATAATTTATAATCCAAGAATTCAAAAGGGTTCAAAAATTCAAAAATTCAAAGGTTCGAATAACTTAACTGAGGTACATTTTAGTATGATGCGCCGCATTTTTTTTATTATGTAATGGATTACGTGGACTAATACTCAATGTGGAGAAATTATGACATTATTAATACAGATTTCTAAATTGTTCATTAAAGCATTAAGATTATACTGGGTTATATATAGATTTATTGGTTTAATTTCCATTGAATAATTGATCTAATGAAGGATCATATTTGACAAGTTCTTTTATATCCGCTTCTAATTCATTCTCATCAATAACATTTCTTAAAAGTTGAACTAAAATTGTTATCTTCTCTGTTACTTCATTAGATTTGTCTTCCTTTCTATATGATAATATAATCATACCTAATAAATCATATTTATGTTTATGTATCCTTGGCCAACCATTCAGTATTGTAGTGATCAAACAGTCTAATGTTTTAACAAACATCTCTTGATTTAAATGAATGAAAGGATCTGACAAGATCATACCTAAAGTATATAATAATCTTGGTAAACATCTTACAGAAGTTTTACCCAAATTCTCAAGAATTGATATTATTTGAGTAATAAGTATTGGTAAAATTTCAAAATTATCTCGAAGTGTATTGATCCCTTGATAAATCCCAGAATTTAATAATTTGATTAACCGATCATTGGAATTTTCAGTCTTTAAAAACATCTTGATCAGGACTGGGTATGTAGTTGATAAAATTAATTTTGATTGTTTAACTGGTGTTAATTTGGGTAAGTATGAAAGTAAGGGAAAAATAGCATCATAAAAAATGTCAATAAGTCCAGTCATTTGGAAATATTGGTTATCAATTTTATCAAGTAATATGGATAATAATTCAACACCTTTTAATTTTATAGGACCTTCATGATCATCCAAAATGTTTAGAATAGTTGGTGTTATGATCCACCAATTATTTTTCAAATTTGAACCTTCTAATTGATCTAAGATCATTGCAAATATTGATATTGAATCTATATCTTCAGTTTTCCATATCTGTCTATGATCTTCGGATTCCATGAATCCTAATTTTGGTTTAAGACCTTGATTTATATTCAATTTTTTATGACCTGCTTTAGATACTTTATTATTTTTCAATCTTGAGAATTTTTCTTTAATAATCATCACTAGTTCTTGTATAAGATCATCATTAACACTTAATTTGGATAAGATTGATCTTGATATAGCTACACATGATTTATCACACCATGGAGTCTCAATATAATACTGTCCAAGAGTCCTTATCACTTCAGACTTGTTATTCTCAATCAATTGATCTGTAACTTGAACCAATTCTTTCAATACCACTAATAGATTCTTTGAATGTTCTTTAAACTCTAGTTGTTCTCTATATTGAACTTTCGTTACCGTGTACTCATCAATCCACCAGATCCATTCTAATCGAGGCACCTGTAACAACTTCAACACCTTCTTCAACACCTTCTCCTGCTCCTCAGGATCCATTCCTTTCAACCTCGACATCAACACTGCTAATGAAGCTCTTTCCGAAGTATGTGCCAATAGGTGATCCAGCGTAACTTCATCACCAATGATCCGTATTTGATCCTGTTTTAGCCCTGAGATGCCCAATTCCAAAGGCTCTCCCTTCAACAAGTCCAATACTTCATCTTTCCAGTTCATTTCCCACTTAAGTGTTCTAGAACCGTTGGCCATCGTGATGATCTTCACCATATTTTCTTTTAGCCCTTTCAAATACGTACGTGCACCAGGGCCCAAACCATCTTCACGAACGAACCACCGGACTTCAAAACTTCTAAACACACACATCGCTGCAGCAAATCAGCAAATGTTCCAGAAAGCGTGTTATGAGCACAATGGAGAGTGCACTATTAGTGTTTAGTGTAAGCTTAAATCACCTTATATCATTTTACATAGACTGTGTGCCAAAAAAAAGAAGTTAGGAGTCCTATTTATTCATCAGTATAGACGAATATAAATACCCACCATATCGCTGGTACTTCATCAAGAGATTCAATGTACAGGTTCAAATTCAGGATTAAATAGAGTTGGGTGGGATTTTATTTGTTCAAAGGATTCCACTGTTATGTTATAATCTATATTTCAAAAGATAATTACCAAAATTGATTGAATATGAGACTAATCTTTATTGATCGCAGTTCACAACTTGTCAACTTATGGGAAAGACATTTCAAAGAAGCTGCAAAAGTTGGATTAAATTTCAAATGGTTTGATAAGCCTATTGATTTTTCAGTTCAGAGATCACCTTTATGTGAAATCAAAGTTGGTGATTTCACTGGTAGATCAGCTGTTGTATCACCTGGTAATTCACTTGGTGAACTTGGTGGTGGTTTAGATCAAGTTATTGGTGAAATTTTCAGTCCAAATTGGAATTATCATGATACTTCAAACTTATTAAAAAATAAAATTACAAATGGTTATGCTCCTCCAGGTTGTGTTAAAGCATTAACATTACCAGATAATGCAATTAAATCTTCATTAGCTTATGAAAAATTAAGATCAAATACAATTATTCATTGTCCAACTATGAGAATCCCAAGAGATATTGCAGGATTAGGTGATTTACATTCTTATAGACAAGTTTTCGATTGGACTTGGGAAATTTTGAGAACAGCTGATGAAAAAAATCACTTAATCAAAGATGAATCTGATCGATTAGGTGCTATAATCTTACCAGGATTAGGTACAGGTTTTGGTAAAATTCCTTCAGAAGTTTGTTCAAAATCAATGATTGCAGCTGCTTTAATATTCACATTAGATAACTATACAGCTCAAGAAAAGGCATTATTTGCATTAAGATATTTAGGTGAAGACTCCACCAAATTGAATATTTCAAGTGATAAAATTCCAAAAACTCCATTTTCACCAGAACAAAATTCAATAAGTGAATTATTTTTAGGTACGAACACCTCTGCTTAATAACTCTTCTAATGAAATGTCATCTTCTTCTTCTTCTTTTGCTTGTATTTCATCAACTTGATTTTTTTGTGATTTTTTAGGTTTTGCGATATATGAAACTTGTAATAATTTTGATAATTTTTCCAATTGATAATCAACTTTTGATAATAATTCAGGATCTGGTACGGTATCTGCTTTTAATTGTTCACTAATTGGAGGTATTATATCATCTTGTTCCAAATATGATTCAAGACCACCGTCATGAACAGCACCTTTTATAGCTATATCTTTCAATGCTAAATTAACACGATGTATCCCTGTTGATCTTTTAACTAAATTATCATGATTTCCTAATGGTTTCAGTAAAGGTAATTGAGTATCTGCAACTAATGGATTGAAAATTCTTTTATCACCATCAAAATCAGTTTCATTTGTTGAATCTAAATTCATAGTTGTTACAAGATCATCCATCAATTCTTTAACTTCATCACTTGGTAATAATTTATGATTTTCTGTTATAGTTTTACCACTTGTTGTAATAACTTCAGTTAATGAAGGGAATGTAGCAATTTTTTCATCTTCATAAAATGGTAATCTTGTTAAGATTAATCCTCTAATATCTTCCAAATTTTCATCATCATTTTTTCTTTTATTTGTTAATCCACCATTTTTTTTAATATATACAGGTATCAAGACAACCATTTGAACTTCTGCATTTTTTTTGGCAACATATCTTGCTAAAGCAAATGAATCCAACTCTGTTAAAGCATCAACGAATGCCCCCAATGCACGAGTATCTGCTTCACTTTGTTTAGCACCAAGGATTATTGTTGCCTCTGAAGTTAAATAACATCTTGGAATTTTTTGAGATGAAACAATACCTCTTATATCAATACCAGGTTCTGTTAAATATTTACGTTTTTCATCTAATGTTGGAGGTAATACCACAGTGTTTTTACCATATTTATAACCTTTAACTAAATTTTCCTTTTCAATTGGTTGTACTTCAAATGGTCTTGATTCTAGATCTTCTTCATCTGCATTTTGTAATTCATTTTCATTATCAAAATCATTTGTATAAAGATGTATTTCATATTCTGTTGATATTGAAATTGGTTCAGGTTCATCTTGTTTATTTAAAGCAAAAGTTTTCCTTGGTTGTGGTCTATCAATCTTAGTTGCTGGGTATCCATCAACATTAAAACAAACACAACTTAAATCATCATGTGGTTTAAAATCTTTATCTATTAAATTTGCACCAATTCTAAATTCTCCACTAAAAGTCTTAACAGGGCGAACAATTTTAGGGTTTGGATAATTAACAACATTATCAGCATCTTTACCAGTCATTAAAGTTGAATCTGGTAATGCTTGAAATAATGATTCCCAACTTTTAATATTTCTTTTAAAATCTTCAATCTCAGTACCATCATGGAAATCAACACCAATCAGTACTAAATTTATATTTGCACCATTGATTAATTCCACTATTGCATTAGAATATTCTTCATCTAATTCTGGAGTTGTACGAGAATTTGTCACTAATACAATGTTTTTCTTATATTTTAATTTCTTCACAAAATTATTCATATTTTGAATTGTTAACAATAAGGCTCTTACTATACCTGATCTATCTTCATCTTTTAATTCTTTTAAGGTTGGTTGAACATCATATTGTTTTAAATCATTGAAAAATGGTCTATAATTTGTTAGCTATGTTGCTACTTAAAATTCATTTATGTATAACTCACTGTTTGAAGTCACTATGAACAGTAACATGGTCTAATCCTGCTTCATTTTCAGTCTCTTTGAATAACATTTTGTTAGTCCTATAATCATCTTCTATACTTTATATTTTTGACACATACCTTCAGAATTCACCGTTATTAATGAAACCAAATCAGTTTTTCTTCCCTTAATGATCTATGAAGCACACATTGTTAGCCATTATTTCATCTGCAATATAAATAAGACCCATACTCACTTTACTTGCCACCACATCTTTAACATAATTCAAACCGTATTGTAAATCACTAACTTGACGTCCACCATGTTGGGACCCCATTGAGGAGTCAACATCAATAACAAAAGCAGTAACCTGGTGATTGTAAGTAATGGTTCACTATCATAGCTCTCAAGCTTTACGCACTTCTTTATCAGCCATTTTGGTGTTTCAATTGAATTGCTGTGTTCTTTGATGATGTTTGAATTGTACATTTTGTTGTGTTTTCCTTTAAAAAAGTATCTCCGTTATTTTTTACGCGATGATTTGAACAATATGAGATCAATCAGATAATTAATGTTGATATTTATCTAGGTAAAACTACAAATATCGGGGGTTCAATGTTATCAATGGATCATTTCACTACAGTTTTATATGTTTCCCACTTTTTTGAGCTCTTTCGACCCAGATTTGAGCTTTCAAGTAACTTTTTTTTAAATTCATCAACACATTAAATATAAACAATTCATAAAGGAGGACTCACTTTCTTCAAAACATCTTCCACAATCAACTGAGGTGTTATTCTATTCATTAATTCATTCACAAGCTCAGGATCACTCCCCCATTGAAGAGATGATTCGTGTTCAGGTTTAATCATCCTAATTTTAGAAGGTAAGAGTTTCCTTGCAGCTAATTTGATTATAGAAGGTATAACAAATCCTCTATTGAATAAGACACATAGTGCCTTGGATAATAGTTCAATCTCTGTTATCCATCTCCCTGGTAAACCTGTAGCAACACATCTATGAGTCCTTATAAAGATTATAATATCATAAATATATCTTTTCATCTCTGGAACAACCACCACACCTTGTACAGTTTCTCCAACTTGTTTGAAATTTCGTATCATTCCAGTATTAGTTTCAATTTGTTTCGGTGAAATTTGTGATTCTTTAGGTTCTGGATCATGTGGTTGTTTAAACCAAAATTCATCTTGTAAATAACTAAACAATTGTTTGTCTTTACCATGGAAATCATCCAAGACACCAACAACCATGAACAATTCACCTCCATGATATTTCTCTCCATTGAAAACAATCTCCCTAGTTCTCATAATCTCCAATATCAACGTTTGTAACTGTTTGGGCAGTTTATCAAGTCCCAATATTATATAAATAGCATCCATATTAAAATTCTGTGAATCTTGTACAAAGAACTCCAGTAGCTTATTATGATCCCAGTTATGTATATCATCACCATGTATTTGTAAAGTATGATGCCTTATCCTCCATACATCACCAACTATAGTCTTCAATTCCACTTCAGATTCTCTGGGATCACTTGATGATATCAGAATGTGTCTTTTCGCAATGGCTCCCAACATCAACGCCACGTACAAGTTGTCGTCAAACTGCACACCGAGCTGTTCCTTGTGTTCCAATATCTCATCCTTGACAGTCATCCTGTGATAAAGACCCTTCAAATACCTTTATAAAATAGTTCTTCAAAGTGTAATTAATGGCTAAATCAATTTGTTTATACTACTTTGAATTCGCGGATATTTATTTTGTATGGTGTTTCCCGTAACAGACAATTTTTTTATTAAAATTTATTTTAAAGCTCATCTCAGTGAAGAGACATAAAGAAGATAGAATAAACAGCCAGGATCAACAACTGAAAGACAATGCCTAAACTCGTACATAACGTCCAGAAGAAACAACATAGGGAACGTTCCCAACCAGGGGACAGAAAGAAGTTTGGTCTTTTGGAAAAAAAGAAGGATTATCAACTTCGTGCTAAAGATTATCATAGAAAACAAAATACTTTAAAAGCATTAAAACAAAAAGCCCTACAGAGAAATCCTGATGAATATTATCATGCTATGACAAGTAAGAAGACTGATGATCGTGGTCTTTTGATTTCTGAAAGAGATAATGAAGTCTTAACTGCGGATCAAGTTAAACTATTGAAAACTCAAGATTCAACATATATTAAAAATTTAAGAAATGAAGAATTGAAAAAAATTGAAAAATTAGAGAAATCTTTAAATTTTAAAAGTAATGGTAAACATACTGTGTTTGTAGAGGATGAAATTGCCAAAGAAGAATTTGATCCTGTTAAATTTTTCCAAACTGATAAGAATTTATTACAAAATAGAGAAAATAGATTAAAATTAAATCAATTACAAACTGATAAATCATTAGTTGATAGACTTGATGAAGAATTCATGCCAAAAGAAGCTCTTGATAAGAAAAGAATCAAGAAATATGCTGCATTACAAGCTCATTTACAAAGACAAGAAGAATTAAAAGAAGTTGAAGAAAGAATGGATATACAGAGAGAAGGTATGAAAAAAGGTGATAAAAAGAAAGTTATAGATGCAAATGGTAGAAGAACTTATAAATTTAAAAAAGAACGTAAGCGTTGATCATTTATTGTTTTTTTTCTTATGATAACCTACCTACATTTTTATTGCATTAATATTTGTATAATATCGTTAATTTCTATGGCATTTATGTGTGTGTTTTTTTGGTCCTCAAGCTTTTAATATCCATTTTTTTAATGTAGAATCATTACCACCACTAATGATTTCATTTTCATTAATCCATTCCACTGTATTAACACCATCTTTATGAGCACCTAAGAATTTAAAATTTTTAATTGGTTTATCAACTTGATAAACAATAATATTTGTATCTAATGATCCACTAACAACTTTATTATTGTCTTTATTCCATGAAATGGAATTTATACGACCTGTATGGAAAACCCATCTTGAAGTTTGAATTTCCCTTTTGGTAACGTTATACAAGATAATCTTACCTGAAACATCACCAACTGCTAAAGATTCACCGTTTGGTGAAAATGATAAATAACTTGGTGAAGCTCTTGTTGGTGGTAAGTCAAATTCTTTTGAACCTATTGATGAGTTAAATAAAATAATGTTATTATTTTGGAATCCAACTGCAATATACTCTTGTGAAACACCAACTGAAGTTGCAGTTGATGGTAATGAAACTTTAAAAATTTCTGAACCTTTTGAAAACCCAACAAGTTCTTCTTCAGTGACAATAGCAACAAGATTCTCTGATGATGAAACACCTTTTGGTTGACCTGGTAATGATGATGATTTAGATCCATCTAATGATTTTATAGTATCATCCCAACCAACTGAATAAACTGAATCATTATCAACATTAGCGAAACCTGCAATTAAATTTGAATGACCTGGTTCATAAGTTGCTGAACTTGTTTTTAAATCCCATTTACTAATTCTACCATCATAGCTACCAGTTATTAATCCATTAGATGTTAAAGTTGAAGCAGTAATCGATTTTTGATGACCTTGAATAGTTTTAACAGGTGTTTCTGAATCTTCAGTGAAATAATTTAAATCACCAGAAAAGGATAATCCAATAATATATTTTTCAGTGGCAATAACACCAACTTGTTGATTTTCTAATTTTCTATCTAATGTCCAAGTTTTCAATAATTCACCATCTTTAACATTCCATAATTTAATTGTAGCATCTGCTGAAGATGTAACAAATTTTTCTTCATTAATCCAACTTATAGCAAAAATACCACCATCATGTTTACCTTCACCAATTTTTTTAACAAATTCACCAGTTTTACCATCATAAACAACAATATTTCTATCAGCACCAACACTTACCAAAAATTCCCCATTTGGTGAATACTTAACATCTCTAACAAAATTTGTATGATTACCTCTTGAACTTGAATCAAATCTGAAAGGTGGGCCTTGAAAGAAAACCAATGAAGAATCATCACCCACAGTAGCAGCTCTATAAGGTCTATTTGGTTTAATAGTAACGGCATTAATTTGTGCACTATGACCAGAAATTTCACCAACGGTATTACCAGAATCCCAAGTGAATGCATGACCATAACGTTCTTTACCATTACCCACAGCGATGATTCTTTGAGAATCAGCATCCCATGCAATATCATTAATACGACCATTGATGATTTGATATTCACCTTTAACGATTAAATCTTCACCTACGGTATCCCAAATCTTGACATTACCAGATTCATCACCTGAAGCAATATAAAAACCTGAAGGTGAAAATTTTGCCACTGAAGTGTTATAAGTATGGTTTGTGAATTGAACGGATTCTTCTGGATTTTCAACAGATCTTATAAAGATTGATTTCCCAGACTATTGATCAAAAGTTAGTTTCAATTATCATTTATTTGACACATCATAGAGGACTTACCGCATACGCAATTCTATCTGATTTTTTATCATAGGATAAGTGTGTTGTCACTGCTCTGGTGGTGTTAGGCAATGGTGCCCATATAGCTTCTCTTTCAATTGACATTGTCCCTGTGAAATGGTGATAATTGATCAGATTCTGTGTTTCTTCAATGGCGTAATTTTGTTGTTGTTGATTATGTTGATTATCCAAATCGAGTTCCGGCCGTCAACACAATTTCCGACTTTCAAATTTTCTGTCAATTTTCGTCGTGTCGCTGATGATTTTTCAAAATTTTTTTATTATGCTTATACACTTTTCAGGCGATGAGATATCATAGGAGTTTTACACAGGAAAGGAGATTGAAGTTGTTCTTTGTTGTTTTACTTATTATAAGAAAAAATTAGATCCACATGTCATCCAATAAGCAAAGAGTCGCAGTGGTGAAGAACCCTGTCCTACCAGCCCAAACCACTCCGGAACAACGTTATTGGAGAGGTTATACAAATACTCAAATTGTTAAAGAACATAATGCAGTCAGTCATATTGCTTTCAATCCAATAAGCCCGCATGATTTTGCCATTACAAGTAGTACAAGAATTCAAGTGTTCTCTTCAAGAACTAGAGAAGTTGTCAAGACTTTTTCAAGATTTAAAGATACAGTATACAGTGGTGAATATAGATTTGATGGTAAATTATTTGTTGCAGGTGATGCTTCTGGTCTTGTACAAATATTTGATGCTTTACAACCAAGAACCCTTTTGGTTAGTATCAACCCTTCAACACATCCAACTCATGTTACAAAATTTCATCCAACTTTATCAACAAATTTACTTACTGCATCTGATGATAGAGTTGCAAGATTATATGATATTTCAAATTCAGCATCTCCAATAATATCTTTTGATGATCATGAAGATTATATTCGTACTGCTGGGTTCATTCCAGGCTCTAATTTAATAACGACTGGTTGTTATGATGGATTTGTTAGAATCTTTGATGCAAGAGTTGGTTCAGATCCAGTTGCTAAATATAAACAAAATTCTCCAGTTGAAGATATATTACCATTAACTCCAACTTCAATGGTCACTGCTGGTGGTCCATCAATTAAAATATGGGATTTAGCTGCAGGTAAATTAGTTAATGAAATGTCAAATTTCCAAAAAACAGTTACATGTCTTGCAGATGCTGGTGATAATAGAGGTATATTAACAGGTTCATTAGATGGTCATGTTAAAGTATTTGATTTAGTTAATTGGGATGTTAAATTTGGTTGGAAATTCGGTGGTGGTGTCTTAAGTTGTGGTGTTTCACCAAATTCAAAACATTTTGTTGCAGGTTTAACTTCAGGTTTATTATCAATTAGAACTAGAAAAACTGAACCAAAAGTTAAACAAGGTGTTAAACAAGTTAAATCAAATGCCTTCAAGAAAATGCTTAGAGGTGCTGAATATCAAGGTGAAGAAGAACATCGTATTATTAGTGATAAACCAAAACAATCTAAAAAATTAAAACAATATGAAAGATATTTAAATGCATTCAGATGGAGTGAAGCTTTAGATGCTGCTTTCATTCCAGGTGTTTCAAAAGAAATCACCGTGACTGTTTTAGAAGAATTGAAAAAAAGAGGTAAAGTTAGAGCTTCATTGTCAGGTCGTGATGAAACAAGTCTTGAACCAATTTTAACTTGGTCATTAAAAGCTATTGAAGATGTTAGAAGTGTAAATATAGTTGCTGATTGGGTTGCTGTTATAATAGAACTTTATGGTGGTATGATTGATAAAGCTCCAGTTTTAGAAGAATTAATTTTAACATTACGTAAAAAAATTTCTCAAGAAGTTGAAAAGGCAAGAGAAGCTCAAAAAATTGAAGGTATGCTTCAATTATTAACTGCTAATTAAATTATTCTTTCATACTACAATATATAGAAATCATTCATAATTTTTAATGCATTAGTTTTTTGTTTTTCATGATTATAAAATATTACTTTTTTAGTAACCTCTACTACGTCTACCAAAATTACGTTTTGAACCTGCTTTATCACGAATTTTAAGTCTTTTGAAATTATTACCTTGTGCAACTCTTTTCTGTCCATCTTCAACTGAACGAGCTTTGGGTATAAATTCATCAGGTCCATCTGACCATTCTTCAGATTCTTCAGATTCAACTTCTTCATTCTTTGTTTTTTCAATTTTTTCCATTTCAGCTCTAATATCTTTCCCATTCATTAAATCTTGATCAGTATTTGGACGTGATTTAATAACATATCTTCTTGTTGTTCTTTTTTGTGTTTTCTTCTTCTTATATACACGTTTTGGTTGATTTTCATCTTCTTCTTCCTCATTTTCTTCACCTTCTTCATCTATATCTGCAAGTGGTCCTATATCTAATTCATCTTCATCAAAGTCACCATATTTTAGTTCAGCCTGTATATCACGGAACTCATTAATTATTGTTGATAACCCTTTTCTAATCCTTTGTGATGCTAATGGAGATGGTGAAGCAGTTATATCTTTTGAACCACCAGGTTTCAAATATGCAGGAGTTTGTTGTATGTTATTTACAGGTGAAACCTTGGGTTTCTGTGGTGTTTTAAAGTCATCATTAAAATTTTGCTCCTCTTCTTCTTCTTCGTCTTCCATATCAACAGCTTTGGAGAAATCAAGAGTTTTCTTTGCTGGTGTTAATGTAATATTTTCCTTTTTAACTGTGGTTTGAGCCTGAGGTGTTGTTTTGGGACTTGTTATAACTTCAAATAATCCAAGTACACGACCATTCATTTGTGGTGTTGGTCCCAATTCATCAACATCTAATGGAGTTTCAGGTTCTTTCATTGGTGATGAAGTCTTGTGAGGTGTATGAAATTGTGGAATCACTTTAACTCTTTTCTTTGTTGGTGTAGAATATTTTGGTTCTTTCTTCTTGGGTATACCATACTTCAAATTTTTGTATTGTTTGTATTTAGCAGCTTTTAAAGGTATTAGTACCTATAATAAAGATAATGAACAAATGTATAATACTTACAAATCTCTGGATTCTTCTTTATATCATCTTTATCAGGATTTCTCCCATTTTGTTTCTTGAAGCCATACTCCCAAGCCTTAAGCTCGAGTTTAATCTCTGTCTCTAACGTACTCATTGTCTGATATCCTATGGTTCTTAATCAATTAACCTATGATTTAATTTGAAAAGTTGAATTTTGGCCTGTGAAAAGACGCGTCGCTTATATTTTTTATTTACACGCGTTTTCTTGACAGTACAATTCAAGATTATGTAATCAGAATCTGCCAAAAAGGTGAAAAACTTCGAATTTTTGCACTGTTAAACCATCATTTAAATGCGTTTTGTATTGAAAGTTAGTCGTTGTGGTTTATTGTTCACTGTTGGCTGTTTGATTATAGGAGATGTTTAGAAGGATCACATGCTCAGCTTTGAAGGCCAATTTGGTGCGCTCAAAAGCTCCAAATTTGAGTGCTAGACTTGCTACAAGATCATTTACTTCATGTCACATACTTCGAAATGAACAAAATGGTGAAAAATCTATAATAGGAGATATAATTATAAACCAAGATAAACAATTAGAAGATGGCTGTATGGAAAGATCATTGGAAAATGGTGAAAAAGTGATATATGACCCAAATTTTGCAACAAAGATTGAAGATCCAGAGATAATAAAAGAACAAGAACAAATTAGTAAAGAAATGGGTATTGATCCTGAAAGTTTTAAAGCTGTGGAAGCTGAAGAATTTGAAACTAATGAAGAACTCTTGCAAATTGATGAAGTCAACGAAACTGTTGAAACTGCTGAAGCTGTAGAAGAATCAGAAGAAATCCCATGGTATATGCGTGGAGATGAAGCTTCTGAACTTGATAAACCAATTTTCAAAGCAGAAATTCCTGATATTCCACAAGGTGCACCAGAATCTGTTGAACCATTATTAAAATTTTGCTCAGATAAATTAGGTCTTGATGATTTGAAAATTTTTGATATTAGAAATAGAGATGATTTACCAATTAGTACATATATTGATTTTATGATTATAACATCTGGTAAGAGTGAAAAACATATTCAAACTGCTACAGATGAATTAACCTCTTATATTAAGCATAATATGGATTCTATTCCTTATGTTGAAGGTTTATTAAAAGCTAATAGTGCTCAAAGACAAAAAAGAAGAATTAAAAAAAATGTTAGAAAAGGTGGTGCTTCTGATAATGAATTCGGTGTTGGGCCAAATAGTTGGGTTATGGTTGATCCTCAAACTGATGATTTTGTTATTCATGTTTTAACACCAGAAAGAAGAACAGATGTTAATTTAGAATATATGTGGTGTAAACCTGAAGAAAAGAAATTATATGAACAAAAACAAGAAGAATTCAACCGTTTTGAAGATGTTGATAATATTTTCTTTGGTTTACAAAGAAGAGAATATAGTACAAAGATTGAACCTGATTTAAGTTCGAAAATTTTACAACAATTTGAAATTGGTGATAAAGAAGGATTATCAAAATCATTGGAAAAAATTGTTATTGAAAATGATGCTTCATTAGAACTTTTGAAATCTATAAATAATACAATTGGCTCCTTATCTATCCATCAAGCAGTTGAAGAATTATCTGAACCATCAAATAAATACATTCATTTGTTTGAATCATCATTTCCAAACATCCCATATTTTGAACATTGGACTATAAGATATCAATTATATTCAACATTAAATAGAATCTTACCAGATGTTTATCCAATTGAAAATTTAACGAATTGTTTATTAGATCAATCTGCTGCGGGTGATAAAATCACCAAAGAGCAATATGACCAATATTTCCAAGATTTATTATCAACTCCACAATTTGGTTTAGAATTAATAACAACTCGTGAGTTAATGAATAAAATATTTAAAGTAAAATTTGATAATTTAAGTAAAATTTTGAGAGTGCTAAGAATTCAAAATGATATTAAAGTTGATAATGAATTAATCAAAAACTTATTACTATTATCTTCACAATACACTACAGGTCCTAAAGATGGACCAATTGTTGCATCTAAATATTTCAAAATCATAATAGAACTATATCAAGATGATATTGAATTTGATCAAAATGTTTTATTCTTAAGTTTAAACAATTTAGCTCGTGCACATGATGAATGGTTTTGGCCATTTTGGAATCAATTAGGTTCATATGAAACTGATTTGAAAAGTGTATCATATGATTCAAGACCATGGAATATTTTAATTAAAGTTATTTCAGATTCACAAAATGGGAAATTAATTGATGATTTCATTGTTCAATATACTCCAATTATGATTAATAATAAAATTGAATTAAATGATGATATGAAACATGATATTTTATCAATTATTCAACAACATGGTGGTGATATTGGTGCTTACCAAGAATTAGTTAAGTATATTCAATCGCAACAATAAGCATTGAGATGGATCATGTACATATAAAATATTCACTATAATGTAAATATAGGCATAATTAGCATTAATTGAGTAATCTTGATATATTATGTATGATGCATATTAATCATCTCTATTTATATTACTATCCAAATAATCCACAAATAATGGAACAATTCTATCAACATCTAAACTTCTAACTCTATTCAAGGTAACAAAAGTTCTTCTAATTCTTTGTAATTTAGCATTTGAAACACCTTGAGGTGGTAAATCCAAAAATAAATCTTCATCAATTTTTATACGACTTGTTTTCAAATCTTCAAATTCAATAACTTTATTTATAACAAATTGAGTTGATTTATCTAGTTCTTGTAAATAATTTGTTGCTGTGGCAGGTTTCATCATTGTGGCAGCATTTGCTTGTGGAGCTTTTTGATGAACTAAAGTATTCCAAATATCATCAAATGGGATTGAAACATCATCAAATGCAATTGGAATTAATGGAGAATCCCATCTTGAATTCCCATCAGGTTCTTCATATCTCATACTTAATTGTTTCAATAATTCAGGATCCCATTGATCATCTTTAGATCTTTCAGAATTCCAATTTAAACAAGTTTCTAAAGAGGCTAAAACATGTATAACACAACACGAAGTTGATAATGCTTTTGCTTCACAATGTAATTGATATCTAAAACCTTTAATATAAGCTGGTGAATCCAATATAACGATATTTGATCTTGATATATCTCTTTTAACAGCACTCATTTGTAGCCCTCTAAGGGATTTTTCAGTTCTTGATTCACGATATTCTTCTTTTGTTATACCTAGTGATTCATCTGTATGTAATATAACTTTTAAATTGGCACCTGGTTGGCCTTGTTCTAAAGAGGAGATTTTGGATTCTAACTGTTGCTTTAGATCTCTGGCACGAGTAGATTTACCAGAAGATGGTAAACCTGAGAATATCACAAGAGGCATGGTGTATGGTGTGAGTTTTTTGGTGTTTTGGTTGATTTAGCACTATATATCTACGAGACACAAATATTTTTTTTTCGGGTATAATAAATTTTCAAAAGGTGAAAAATATAAAGTATGAGCATCACCAAAATATTAACTAAATAAGATATAAATCATGACTTCTTTGGTGAGGAAATTCATACCCAGAACCTCGTTCCCGGATTATAGAGTCTCCTTGACAGATTTTAAAGGTCACCACGTGAAAGCTCTGAACAAGTTGACCCAAATCGCTCCACAATTGGATTTGGTGTTTGAAGTTAGAGATGCACGAGCACCTTTAAGTACAAGAAATGTACTTTTTGAAAAAATACTGGGTAATAAACCAAAAGTTGTGTTATATTCCAAGAAGGATTTGAGTACTATAGATGTTGAATTATTGACAAAATGGCATAAAGATGAAAAATTCATGTTTGTTAATTGTAAAAGTCGAACAGATGCTACCAATATAATTGAAATTGCTAAAGCACATTATGAAGAAATGGAACCAAGACCACCATTAGGACTAAGAATGATTATAACTGGTATGCCTAATGTTGGTAAAAGTACACTTGTGAATACTTTAAGAGCTGTTGGATTAAATTCTACTAGAAAAGTTGCTAAAACTGGTGGTCAACCTGGTGTTACAAGATCAACAAGTTCAATTATTAAAATTAATGAAAATCCAGAAATTTTATTATATGATACACCAGGTGTTTTCATTCCAAGAGTTGAGAATAGTGAAAGAATGATTGTATTGTCATTAGTTGGTGCAGTTAGTCCAACTATTGTTGATCCAGTCATTCAAGCAGATTATTTATTATATTTAATAAATTTACAAAATCCAACTTTATATTCACAATATTTGAAAACTCCAACAAATGATGTTTATACTCTATTAAGAGCAATTTCCAAAAAAATTAAGAAATATAATTCAAGAACTAAAGATTTTGATGAAAAAGGTACTGCATTGCATTGGATTGATGGATTTAAACAAGGTAAAACTGGTCGTTTAAAATTTGATGTTGATAGTATAGTTAAATCAGATATATTTGATTATCAAGCACATCAAAAACAAGAAATAGAAAGATTATCACAAATGGATAATGTTTTAAATAAGAAGAAGAATACAGATGGTAAAAGATCTTTAGCTGAAAAGGTTTCACGGAATGTAAATAAATTATTTTAATGATATTATGATCTGATGTTAGAACTTAGTACCGTAGTATAATTATTACTAGCTGGGTAGCACTTAATTTAATTATGGTAGTCTCTTAGTTTTTTAGCCCAGACACCAAATACCTTAAGTCTCCCGGTTAAGCTTCCCCAGACGCCGAAGGCAAAGTTCAAAAGCCTGTTAAAAACGAAGAATAGTAAAATACGCGCTAAACAAGTGAAAATCATTTTTGAATTTTTAACGTGTCCAAATTCTTAGTCCATTGATTTGGGGACTAGCCCCTATATCGACGGAACCTGAGGAACTTACCTTTGTAACCGATGAGTGATGAGAGGCTAAAAATACCGATGCCCTTTTCAATTTTTAGGCTAGGCACGTACACAGGCTAGGTGAGCTTGTTGGTGTGTGGATGTTTACATTTTACGCGTATCCGATTTGCTGGATTTATGCCAATTCTGAAAAAAATTGCGTTTCTTTTGTCGATGCAACCGATGTGTAATTGGCCAAATCGGGCAAATTCTGCAAAAAAACACTGCAAATAAGAGTGATTGTTTTTCTTCATGAAACGTAATAAGCATACATGAAAGAATTCAAGAAGGACGTAAATTGATATCAAAGTGGTGAGCAATTAAGATATCTTTCCCCACTCATAACGTTAGATTAATGGCACCATGTTCTCCATATTTTCAAATCAATTGTAATCGTATATATACTGTCCAAGTCAAACCAAGTTTTTCCAGGGTTTTACAATACAAACAATCAAACACAAATCAGTTGAAAAATTCAAGATTCGAACAGATTTTTGAAAATTAATAGATTGGGAGATTGGCCCAAAACATGTAGGAAAAGTTCTAAATGCTTCTTTCCGCGACTTAAAACATACTTTGGACTTTAAGACTCAAACTTGCAAAGAGTCTTGAATCTCTGGGAATAAATATTATAAAACAACCAATTTTCCTATTAATCCATTAAGGCATAAAGGAAGTTTGATAATTGATTCAATATATATAAGAAATTGAAATTCTTGTTTTAGTGATAGATTTATACATTTATAAACTTATAATCAATTTTCATCAAATGCTTAGAATATAACATTAACATATCGGTTCAATATGGATTTAAGTATGTGTGCTTATATTATACTCATCGTTTCTCGAGACATAATGATCGGACTTCAAATACTAACAACTTTGGAAGAACGTCAAAATAATCATATTGATATCAATCATTTACAATCAATTAAACAACCAACAATGATTAAAACTTCTAAAAATTGGGTTCTTCCACCAAGACCGAGACCAGGTCGTAAACCAAATTCATCATCACCTCAACCAAAGCAAACTCAATCTAAAAAGAAGCAACAAAAACAACAGCAACAAGCTAATATTGATACCACAGCTACTACTATCACATCTACTCCTACTACACAACAACCTATTCAATCTATACAGAAGCAATCTCAAAATGTCAATATTGAAAATACTTTACAAAAAATTAAAGATGAAAATCAATACTTGAAGATTGAATTATCAAAATTAGTTTCAGATTTAAAGTCTTTACAACAATTACAAAAAGATAATGAAAAACAAGAATTACATAAAAAAAGATGTCATAGTGAAATTGAAGAAGAATTACATTCATATAAATCATTAGTTATGGATGAAAGTGATGATGATAATTCTTCACAAATTTCTACACCATCATTAATGTCAAATTCTTCATCAACTGCAAGTTCAGTTTATTCATCATTATCATCAATTCAAGAAGAACAACAACAAACTCTTAAATTAGAAGATTTCTTGAATGTTTCATTTTTTGAAAATTCAAATTCAAATAATATTAATATCAAGAATGAAGAATTTGAAATTATGGAATTACCAAAAATTGAACCATTAGAATCAAAATCAAATATTGAATTTCAATTCTTAAAAAATCAGAATCAAAATGAACAATTAAATAATTCAGATTTAAAAATTTTCAAAGATGAAAATAATATCGATTCTTTTTTCCAAATTGCAAATCATGATGTTGAAGAATTGATTGAATGGTGAATATCACACATGGCTTGAAGTCAGACCCCAAAGAAAGAATAACCATTTACACGAACGAACGAACCTTTTATTATTATTATTATTCATGAGATCACGAACGAGATATATTTAAACTTTATTCTCATTTTTTACCCCTAACTTATCTTTTACTTTTTACTTATTTTTTTTTACCTTAAATGAATTTTTATGATCTATGAAATTGGTTATTATTTAATCTTTTACGAAATTATTATTTTTACATACAAACTTTATAATTATTTAGTTGTTATGAATATTACGTTGTATGAAAAGTTTTTATAAGAACAGTAGTGCTTTTGATCAGATCTTGCAATGATAGATAATCTAAAATTTAGATCAAACGTAACTATGTAATGCGAGTTGGAGATCATGTCTCGTTTGATAATCTGGAGTACGATAGCAATCAATCATAGTCCCCTTTTACTCCATACTTTTCACATAAAAAGAGACTTTGATCAAAAAAAATCGAACCATATAATGTTATAATCGAATGATTTTTAGTGTGGATGATGTAATCACCGAGAATGAAATGTTTTATACCAATGATAACGTCATAAAGTACTCTTAATTTGTTGAGACTCGAGGAATCATCTCTAGTTATCAATCTCTGTTTAGATTATACTTTCACTAGTGTCTCTGATGTCATTCTTGTACTTTATTATCCATAGCTTCAATTGATTCATACTAAAATATACGCGAATTTTCATTTATATAGCATTTTCGCGTTTTTCCAATATTGACGCGTTTGTTGATGATTTGAATAAATTTATTTCAGTAGAATACACAACTTAGTATTAGATCAGGTATAAAGACAACAAAAATGTCACAAGCACAATCACAATCACAGGGTAAACAAAAAGATATCGATATAGATGACTTTTTAGGTGTCAATCTAGATCCCAATGGTTCAACTTCAGAATTACCAATTCCTAAGCGTAAAAAAGTTAATAATTTAAATGAATCTCATTTCTTACAACAGAAAGGTTTACCATATTTAAGGAAAAATTGTGCAAAAGCTTTGAAACCAAGGATACAACATAAAGATGATTATAAAAACTTAACAAATTTTTTAAATTTTTATCAATTATGGGGGCATTCAATTTATCCAAAATCAAATTTTAAAGATTTTTTAGAAATGACTACAAAAGTTGGTATCAAATCACAAGCTGTGAAAACAATGAGACAAGGTTTCATCTCTGAAGATATGGATAAAGAAAGAGAATCACTTGCTGTACATCTACCTGGTGGTGATGAAGAAGTTGAAGGAGGAAATAAAGATAATGATGATGAGCTGTTTGGTCCAGAGTTAGATCATCAACAAAGTAATAACCATAATGATGATGATGAAGATGATGATCAAATAACTAAAACTACACAGAGGAAAAGAAATAATATGTTTGTTGATGAAGATGATGAAGAAAATTATGAAAATGATGATTTATATTCTGTTCCAAAGAAGGTTGATGAAGATAAAGAGAAAGAGAAAGAACCTGAAAAGGAAGTGGAAAAGGAAGCTGAAAAAGAACCTGAACTTACAAAAGAACCAACTACCAAACCACCAACATCCACAACTCCAGATGGTTTCGATGATGATTTCGATGATGATGATCTTGATGATTTATTATCAAAACCTAAACCATCACAATCACAACCAAAATCACAATCACAACAAGATGATGAAATTCCACCAGAATTTCTCAATAAACCATCACAAACCTCATCCAAACCTGGAGAAATCAACTATGAAGAAGAATATCAAGATGAATGGGACATTTTAGAAGAAATTGGTCAATAAATGAATCATAATATATTGGCTGACTCAGCACATGTGTAGTGCTTACATAACCTCCAAACTGTGGATACATAAATAAGTATTATAAACTGTGGATACTTTTAATTTTGCACAATTTGGTAATAAGTCCGGGTTTTTTCAAACACAGTTTATGTGTATTATGTATTATTAATTATGTTTTTGAAAAAGAAGTGGTTTTTTGTTGCTTATTGTGGTGTTGGAATTCGGTTGTTTTGCTGTACTAGGTTCTTGGTTCTTGGGTGTATTATTGAGTGATGAGACATAAGTTTTGATATAAATATTTTGAATGATCCTGTTTTATAAGTTTGTTCTTTATGTTGAAGATGGTTAATATTATTAAAAAACTATAGAACCTATATACATATTCATAATGACTCAAAGTACTAAAATTGAAACTACAAAAAATATAGAGATTAAAGATATAAATACAAATAAATCAATTTCTAAACAATTATTGAAAAGAAAATTAAGTGATTTAAAAGATTCAGATCAATCAACAATTTTGAAAAATTTAAATGATCGTACTTTAAGTATTAGTTCTACAGATTCAGAAGATCTTGGTGATAGATTAGATCAAAATTCTTCATCATCATCATCAGATGAAGAAGATGATCAAGTTGAACAAAAGAGAAAATTAGAAACTGATGAAGAAGAACCATCATCTAAAAAATTAAAAAGATCAGATTCACAAACTGCAGTAGTGATAAAATCTTTTGATGAACCATTTTTCATTGATAATAATTATCCAATTCCAAAATTAAATGATTATGAAGTTCTTATTGAAAATAAATATATTGGATTAAATCCTGTTGATTGGAAAGGTAAAAAATATAGATTTGGTGTTTATTCATTCCCATGGATTCAAGGTCGTGAATCTTCTGGGGTTGTTCATCAATTAGGTCCAAAAGTTGACAACGTTTCAAAAGGTGATGAAGTATTTATTGCATCAACTTCTTATAGAGATCTTAGAACTTCAACTTTCCAAAATTTTACTATATTTGATTCAAGATTAATTTGGAAATTACCTGAAGTATTATCATTAAAAGAAAGTTGTGCCATTGGGGTTGGATTAATTACTGCAGGTTCAGTTATTGAAGAATTAAATGTTAATTTATTTGATGATAAAGATTTTGATCAAGAAAAATTATTGAAAAAAAGAGATTCTATATTAATTTGGGGTGGTTCAAGTGGTGTTGGATCTTATATTATTCAATTAGCTAAAGTTGCAGGTTTTAAAAAAATTATAACTGTTGCCTCTGAAAAACATAATGAATTTTTAACAGATTTAGGTGCTACACATATTTTGGATAGATTTAAATCTAAAGATGAATTGATTAAAGAATTAACTGATATTGTTCCTGAAGGTTTACAAATTGGTGTTGATGTTGTTGGGAAACAAACTACTGATATCGTATTAGAATTTTTAAATATTAATAGATCTAATCCAAAAGAATCACCAAAAACTTTTGTTGGTGTTGTTTCTAAACCATCAAAAGATATTGATGAATCATTATTGGAAAATATTGAATTAAAAGAAGTTTTCATAAAGAAATTTCATGAAAATGTTAAATTTGGTGAAGGTTTAGTATCCAAGACATGGGAATTATTATCACAAGAAAAAATTAAACCACAAAGAAATTTAAAAATTTATAAAGGTTTTGAAGGGATTTTAGATGGATTAAAAGATTTAGAAAAATTTGGGGCAAGTAATGAAAAGTATATAGTTGAATTATAATCAAATTTACAGGTTGATTATGAGTATATTTTTATTCATTTTAATTTATTACAGGGGGATACAGGTTTTAATACAAGGCATATAACATAATAATCAAACTAGTAGTACTATGTACACCTATTCAAGTATAACTAGCTATCCACCATTTCATGTGACTTTTGGAAACTTTCAAAGATTTGATGAAATGTGATTAGAATGCCACAATAAATCGGTTCGGAGCTGTTTCCCAATTTGTATTGTGGCATATTTTCAACACTTTAAAGAAATTGCGAATATGATAAGCAAAATTAGGAGGAAGGAAGTTTTGTAAAAGAGTTGAATATTGGCAATTGGATGGAAGGATTGAATTTAGAGGCTTTGACTGGGCGTAGATTAGGTTCAGGTTGTGCTTTTTGAGTTTGATATCGGCTGAGATTGATGGGATTATGGTTCACCCGAAACACATTTGATATACTCATTTTACTCAGATTTGACTCGAAACTTGACAATCAGATGATTGTGTGATTGTGTGATATACTTTGGAGAATTTGATGATTAAAATGACAGGTTTTCTTTGTACCTTCTTATCTTTCATATGATCATAGTCAAATTATACCACACATAATGTCACAACCAACAAAGAAACAAAAAACTAGAAAACCATTAATCATCAATGCTTTCCTCATGGGATCATCAGGTCATCAAAGTGCAGGTATTTGGTCTCATCCAAGAGATAAATCACCTGAATTATATACTTCAATAGAATATTGGCAAAATTTAGCAAAATTATTAGAAAAGGGTAAATTCCATTCATGTTTCATTGCAGATGTCTTAGGTCCTTATGATGTTTATAATGGTCCAAGAAATTATGATGCTGTTGCTTTAACTGGTGCTCAATGGCCAATAAGTGATCCTTCATATTTCATACCTTTAATGGCTAGTGTTACTGAAAATTTAAATTTTGGTATGACTTTTAGTACTATATCTGAAGAACCATATCATTTAGCTAGAAGATTAGGTACATTGGATTTAATTACAAATGGTAGAATTGGTTGGAATATTGTTACTAGTTATTTAGAAAGTGGTGCTAGAAATTTACTTGGTGGTAAAGCATTACCTTCACATGAAGAAAGATATGAAAGATGTGATGAATATACTAAAGTGATTTATAAATTATTATTATCATCATGGAGAGATGATGCAGTTAAATTAGATAAATTAAACAGAATTTTCACAGATCCTAAGGCATTACGTGAAATAAATCATAAGGGGAAATATTTTGATGTAACAGGTCCTTCAATTACTCAACCTTCAAAACAAAGATTACCAATTATTATTCAAGCTGGTACTTCATCAAAAGGAATGGAATTTGCAGCTGAAAATGCAGAAGTTGTATTTTTATCAGGTTTTTCACCAGAATTATTAGCACCACGTATTGCTAAAATTCGTCAATTATCAATTGAAAAATTTAATAGACCTTCAGATTCTATTAAATTCTTAAGTTTAATTACATTAGTTGTTGGTGAGACTGAAGAGGAAGCCGCAGCAAAATTTGAAGAATATAAATCATATACAAATCCTGAAGGTTCACAAGCTCTGTTCAGTGGCTGGTCAGGATTTGATATTGGTACAATAGATCCAAATGATGAATTACATGATGTTAAATCAAATGCTATATCATCATTTATTGAAAATTGGACTAAAGCTGTACCAGGTATAAATAAATGGACAAGAGAAGTTATAGCTGATCAATTAAGAATAGGTGGTTCAGGTCCTAAATTCATTGGAACTCCCGAGCAAATTGCAGATGAATTAGAAAGATGGGTTGATATTGCTAAAGTTGATGGGTTCAATTTTGCTTATACTGTTTTACCTGAATCTTATGAAGATATTGTGGAATTAGTTATCCCTGAATTACAAAAAAGAGGTTTGGCTCAAACTGAATATCAAGTTCCTGGTGGTTCATTTAGAGAACAATTATATGGTGATGGAGTTTTATATCCTAGAGAAGATCATCCAGGTTTCAAATATCAATGGAGGCAAGATTTTACAAAAGAAGAATTTGAAAAACATTTAAATAATAATGGTATATAAGCTGACATTCATGATTCTGTATTTAGATGATTTATATTTTTCTTGAATTCACCTTTATCTGAAAGATATTGAATAACTTTTTGTAAATTTTTGAAAGTTGATTCAGGTTTAAAACCTAATAATTTAAAAGTATAATCATTATTAACGTTTGTATTTAAATCAATAGCTTCTTTTCTAACTTCACCTTTTGGTATCAAATTTTGTAAACCCAATACAGTATTACCAACTTCTAATACATCTTGATGAGTTATTCTATTTCCTGTAACTAATAATCTTCCATTTGAAATTTTAGAATCAATACCTGATTGGAAATGAGCTTTTGCAACATCTTCCACTGTAACAGTTATATAATTCAATGGTTCAACATGTTCAATACTTTCAGCTTGTAAAGGTTTTAATAATAATTTAGCAGCATTATTGATTGGATCATTATTGAAAAAAGGTGTCCCTAAAACCATTGATAATCCAATAATAACATATTTAAAATGTATTGGTTCTTCGTTTTGGAAAAATTCAATTATAGCTAATTCACTATATTTTTTAGAAGCTGCATAACCATAAAATCCATTTAATTTCCCTTGGTCATATGTAATATTTGACCAAGTTTTTTCATCGATATAATCAGGTCCAAATACAGATGTATTGAATGATGAAAGTGATGAAGTATAAATAAATTTCTCCAGATTTGGTGAATTTTCCTTAAGACTTTTCAAAATTAATTTTGTTGATTCAATATTTGGTATAAGTATATCCTCTTCAGATTTTTGAGTGAATAAATTTGATGATGAAGCAGTATGAATGAAAATTTTTAAATCTTGATGCTTGATTAATACTGATGAAATTTCTTCATAATTTGTTAATGATTTAATAACTTCAGTTTGGAAATTATCATTTTGGAATTTTTTTTCCAATTCTTCACCTTTTATAGCTGATCTAACTGTACCTATAACCTGATAACCTTTTGTTAAAAACTCATTAATAACATATTGTGCAATATAACCATTTGCACCAGTAACTAAAACTTTTGACATTGTTGCTATTTTAATAGTACTGAAAATTTCCTCGAGGGACCTATGATTTTGACAAATATTGATAAGAGCTTGGATCAAATAATGGGGATCAATGATATCCTTTATGGTATATTTATGGTATAGTAAAGGTAATTGAACTTTTTCAAGCAATACAAATATAGTTTATGTCAAAAATATAAATGGATTTAAGCAATTTAAGTACAATATCGTATTACCGAAATTTCGGAGTTATTATATAATGAATTATATAAGCAAATGATATTTAAAACCTGAATTAATTTAAAACTTTTAATGACAAAGATATTGATTAAATACATTCTTATAACCATTGGAGCTAAAATTTATTATTAATGTCTTCATTTCTGCACAACTCAAAGAAAAAAAAATAGATTTTTGAGTTTTCGAAAATGAATATAACCTTATAAATTTTAATTTAACTTTGAATTTGAAAATAATTAAAAAACCTAAAATTTAAACCTTAAAATTTGCACTTTTAAATACATCGCCAATAATATACTGTCATTTTATACCCATTAAACCATCAACCTCTGCTCAAATCAATCAATTAACCCAATTATAATCAAGAAAACTGAAATTTACCCTACCTCCCCTAATCCAGCAAAACTTAAAAAACAGCTCGAAAAATTTCGTTTGATCGGGGTTGCGTAGTGTAGAGGTTATCACTGTGGATTCTGATGATTTTTAACATCGCAAGTACAGAACATTCCACTAACCCCGGTTCGAATCCGGGCGCGACCGCATATTAATTTTTGCTTAAAATGCGTTTAAAGGGTTTTGGAGTGAATTGAAGTGATTTTTTTTTTATTAAGGTGTTATTAGGTGGTATATAAGATGTTTAGTTTGACTTATGGTATTTAGTTTACTGTTTTTGTTGTGGGTTGTTTGTTTAATAAGTGAATTTTTAGAGTTGTTTTAATGAGAAGTGTTTACCATATTAAATCCGATGATCAATTTTTGTGTCAATTTTGCATCAAGAAACTTTGAATAACCATTGTGCATTGAAGTGGGATATATCATATGTATATTATACTACAAGGTACTGTACTTAAAGATTCATGTTATATTTTGATAAATGGAGTGATTGAATATAGTTGTTATGCCTTTATCTTATCTATAATAACATCTTTTTTCAATATCTGTTTACACTGTTATGAAAAGGTGAGTTATTTAAATGCACCATTTTAATTAACAAATAATTATATCAACTCATTTAATAAATTTGAACAGATAATAAATGTAACAGATAATACCTCAAGGAAACGATAAATCGAATCAAATTCCTGATTATCCTAAACTTTCTTCTTCACTTTTTCCTTTCTTCATCATATTTAACTTATAGAAACTTTATCAAACAACTATATATATTTAACAATATGAGCCAACTTCAAAACATTGCCTTAAACACTGAACAACAATTCACCAATAAACATAACATCAATAATCATACCAACCAATCACAAGATATTAGAATCATGCCTAAAATGTATGGTTTATCAAACCCATCAACATCAATCTTAAGTGATGAAGAAACTATTATTGAATCAGATGAAGAACCAACAATTCTTAATAATTCTTTAATTGAACATAAACCAATCCCAAAGATTTTACCAGATGATACAACAAAATATTCTGAGTCATCAACCGAAGATTTATTTAATCAACAATTTCAAGCATTATCAAAAATCAGAGCTAAATTACCAAAACTAAATTTAAGATTAGTTAGACAACCTAGATATCAATATTATAGACCAAAATTATATTATAATATTTGGGATCAATATATTGAACATCATGAAGATTATTATGATGAAGAATTAGGTTGTATTGTTTTTGTTATACCTGATCGAATTTTTGAAAGTGGGTTTGGTAGAATTAGTTATATTAATTTAGCTGATGATTGATTACTCCAGGTGTTTATATCTTTTAATGAATTGTATTTTTGATTAACTGTGTAGTTTAACTTTTATATTGATTAACTTTCTACACATGTATTCATAATTATTTATTTATTTCTTTGTCTTCTCTATATTACATAAAATCAATCTAAACATAAATTTCTAATTTCCATACAATAAAACTTCAAATTTAAAAATCACACAACTTCTCAACTTCCCAACTTCATATTAAAACTTAACAGCAAATATTTATAATAGTCTTTTAAAGGTTGTCTAACACAGAAATGAATTGAAAATAAGACAAAAGGGGTTCTATAAGGGGGGACATAAACTCATAACAATATTAAATAAATGGAATTCTTTCTAACTTGTTAATTTATTTTTTCTTCTATTAATTATAGTTGAAGTATCTAATTTTAATTCAAAAGGATTTGAATTTAATGTTTCATGTTGTAAAGAAACTTTAGAAACTTTAGGTTCAGTTTTCAATACTCTACCACTTCTTGTTTCTAATTCAGGATTAAATTGTGTTTGATTAATATTTGATTCTTCCTCCTCGATAATTTCATTAGTATTTAATTTATTTTTTTTAAACTTCTTGTTGTTTAATAATTTTTCTTCACCAATTCTATGAACAGCATTTGAAATATCAAAAGCATCCTTCATAGCTCTAGCAGCAGGAGAATAAACTTGTTCATTTGATAAATGACTAAAAGATCTTTGTAATTGAGTAATCTTTGTTGGTTTTGGTTTTTGAAATTCAAATTTATTCAACCATGGATCATTCAAGAATTCATCTATAGTATATCTTTTTGTTGGATCAACAGTTAATAAATTCTCAACACATTTCTTTGCACCCGGTGAGATTTCATCCCACCAAGGTTTCAGGAATTTATATTCACCTCTAGCAACTTTTTCAGTCAATACATCAATTTTTTCATCATAAAATGGTGGAAATCCACACAACAAGGTATACAAAACACAACCTAATGCCCACATATCAACTTCTTTTGAATAATGTTCATCTTTAACAATTTCAGGAGCAGTATAACCAACAGTACCACATGGAGTTTTGGTATCATCATACCAAATTTGTTTTGATAATCCAAAATCAGCTAATTTAACAAGACCAATACCACCACCACCAACACCTTTCAAGAATTCACCTTCATCAACCTTGTTTGGATCATCTGATTTTCTTAATTTTCTAGTTTTGGAAGGGATTAGGGGGATTGGTTGAAATAATAAATTTTCAGGTTTAATATCTCTATGAACAACACCAATTTCTTCATGTAAATAACGAATAGATTGACCAACTTGTTTTATAACATGTCTTGTTAAATCTTCAGAAAAATAAGTAAATTTTACAATTTCATTAAAAATTTCACCACCGGGAACTAATTCTTGTATAATATAATAATAATCATCAACTTCTTTAAATTCTTTAAATTCTACTATATTATCATGTTTTAATTGTCTCATTATTGTTGCTTCCTTGAGGACTGATTTTTTTTGATTATTATCTAATTGTTGTTTCTTGATAATTTTTATAGCAACAAATTCTTTGGTTATTAAATGTTGAGCTTTAAGGACAATGGAAAAGGCACCTTCACCTAATTTTTCAAAAATTTTATAATTTTGTAAACCTGGATAAGGATTTTGATTTTGTTGAATTTCTTGTTGTTGTTTTAATTTAATTTCTTCTTTAACTAATTCATTTGCTAATTCGTTGTAGTTGTAGTAGTTTCTCTTTCTTTCATAAGCTTGCTGTTGTTGAGCCTGAGCCTGAGCCTGGGCTTGGGCTTGTTCATAAGCTTGTTGTTGAACTTGTTGATATTGTTGTTCATTTAAACCATTAATTAATTCAGTACTATCATCACTTATCGAATTTGTTTGAATTTGATCTAAATTTTTTGAATCAATATAATAATCCACATTTTCAAAAGGTACATCATTTGATAAGTCATGAGCTTGTTTACCATGACGGATAAAGTTTTTGAAATTCTGAGTATTCATTAGTATGTGTTGTTGTTGGTGATTATAATGATATTGGTACATACTTTAAACATTGGAATTGTATTTTTATTTATAATAATGTTTAAAGTTTTGTTAAATTTGTAGTAATCAATTTTTAATACTAAATTTTTAATTGCTATGGGAAATTTTCTTTTTTATCGCGGGTTTAGCAATAAAGTGATATCACTAATTAGTAAAAGGGATGGTATTAAGTGGTATAAAGAGTTGTTATTTGTTTAATATTATTTGTTTATTGAAATATTTGGTATTTGTTTTATATATATACTAAATTTCCCAGTGGCATTGCTTTGAAATTAGTAGTTGTTGATTATCAGTATTTGATTATGTATTTGATTATGTATTTGATGTAATAGCAATTGAATAAGTAGTGTTATTAAATCATTGTACGTTGATGATCAGGAACATTGTGTACTAATATAAATAGTATGGTAGTAGTTTATTATATAGTTAGATTATGTAGAGTATAGTAAGTATAGTGAATAGAGTGATATTGAGTATTATGTTATTATCTATTACTTATTACCTATTGTATTGTATTGTATGGAGTAAAGTAATGTTCTCATTTTTTATTAAAATTCACGTGATTAAAAAGTCACATGACTGTGTTCAAATCTTCGCGAATCCAATTTATCAGCGGTTAATTGACTTTTCATTATATTATATTATATTATTATATTCAGTATATTGTTATAGGATAGTATCACCATGAATCTACACACTCAAATATCATTCATAGATATACAACATATACTCAAGTACAACCAACTACCAACTATACAGAAAAAACAACGCAAAAGAAGTTTTAATGAGTCAAATAATACTACATCCCCATCTTCTGACTTGGGTATAGATAATCCTTCTTATATATCATTATCAAATACTATACTCCAGGGGGAAACTAGTGTGGATACACATAATATAGATATTAGTCAACCAATTAAGATCCATGATGTCAAATTATCATTACAAAATAATACAATAACAATCAAAACTAAAGCAAGAACTAAATTAAAATCTCAAATTATACTAGTATTAGAACTACCGTCTGATATAAATAATAATGACATACAAAAATTATCAATTGAAAGCAAGATCCTTAACAAATGTCATTTTAAACAAAATTATTTCCAATTTGAATTACCATATCTAATATTAACCCTAGATAACAATGATCAAGGGATATCAATTTCAATTCAATTATCATACAACATTCAAATGCTTGAAACTTTATATTTCAACATCCCTTCAAATGATATCTCCACTTATATCAAAGATATAATACCATTAATTTCAAATTATTCAGAAATTGAACAACAAAATAATTTACCCACTGTTTCAATGGAAAATTTTTATAATATGATTTGTGAAAAAACTTTAGAATTTCCTGAATTTAATAAACAACCATTCATATCTGAATTAGATACTGATTTATTAAAATTTCAAATTAAAACTGTTCATTGGTTATTAAATAGAGAAAATAAATATTATGATGATGATGAAAAAACTGTGAAATTATTAGATAAATGGGATAAATCTTATGAGCATAATGATTTAAAAATCTTGGAATTTTTGAATAAATTATCATTTGGTTTTAAGATCATCACTATTGGAACCCAAAAAATCTGGTATAATCCTTATACTCAAAACATTTGTTCACATGAAAAATTATTAGATTTTTTCAATAATTCAATAAAATTCCCACCAAATGGGTTTGGTTTATTATCTGAAGAAATGGGGTTAGGTAAAACTGTGGAAATAATTTCATTAATCCTATTAAACCAACGTGAACACCATGAATTAAATCAAACCATCTGGTCCCCAGAATTAGAAAGATCAATTACAAAAACCAAAGCAACTTTAATTATATGTCCTGATTCAATAATACATCAATGGATTGATGAATTAGAATTACATTCCCCTAATTTAAAAATTTATGTATACCAAGGGATAAATAAATCAAATAAATCTTCTTTAGAAATTTCAAAAGATTTTTCACAAAATGATGTTGTTATAACTACTTATTCCACAATTTCCCGGGAAATTCATAATGCATTATTTAATCCATCATCAAGACCCAAGAGATCCAAGAGAGATACCAATACAATGATTAATATTGATAACTTAGATTTAGATGATCCCACCATAGAAAAAGAAGCTTTGGAAACAATAAAAGAAATGTATAAAACTGTGGAAAAAAATGATGGGATCTTGAGAGATCGTGAAGATTATTCATCACCTTTAGTTATGGTAGAATTTTGGAGAATTATTCTAGATGAAGTACAAATGATTGGTACTACAATGTCAAATATTTGTAAAATTGCTACATTAATCCCTCGGGTTCATTCATGGGGTGTCTCGGGGACTCCTATTAAATCTGATTTAAATGATTTAAAATCATTATTATCTTTTTTACAAATCCATCCATTCCAAGGTTCAAAACAAAATTGGAATCAATTGGTTTCAAATAGATATGATTTTATTGAATTATTCAAGGAAATTTCATTTAGACATACAAAAGAAATGGTTAAACAAGATATCCAGATCCCTAAACAAAATAAATATTTATTAAGTGTACCATTTGGACCAATCGAACAAAATAATTATGAAGAATTATATAAAAATTTCCTTAAGGATGTTGGTCTTGATCATGAGGGGAATCCAGTGGTACCTGATTGGGAACCATCACAATCTTATTACGAATATATGTCATATTGGTTAAAAAAATTAAGAAGAGTTTGTTGTCATGCAAATATTTTGGAACCACAGGGGAATAATAATCAGATACAAAGTTTGAAAACTATGGATAAAGTTTTGGAATCAATGATTAAGCAGACCTTGGATAAGATTAATTATATTGAAAGAGAAATTACAAATTCTTATTTAGAAATTGGACAAATTTATGAATTTGAAAAAAAACCTGGGAAAGCATTGGAGATTTGGTCCCAGGAATTACCAAATGTTTTAGAAAAATTAGAAACTTTAAGAACCCAGTCACAACAAGGTGATAATGAATCCAAAGGGGCTGATATATACATCAGATTAACATTAAATTTACTACATCGTTTATATTATTTCATCGCTTCAGCTCATTATCAATTATATACACCTCCATTAGAAGAACTTGTCCCAGGTTTAAACCTTGATAAATCAATTTATGAAGAAATTGATCCATCATTAACAAACCCACAACAAGGACAACAGCAAGGTCCACCAGTTGATGAATCTTCAATCACGGTTTATAGAGTTTTGAATCAAGATGAACAATTACATCAAGATAAAGAAGTTGAATATTATTCATTAGCTCAGGATATAAGAAGAGAATTATTATCTGAACCTATAAAGCAAGTTAATTTGTTTGTTGAAAAATCATTGAATAAAGATTTTAGGTTTGAATATATTAATGATGATCAATTAATCATTGGTACTGGATTCTCCACCCAGGACTTGGAAATTCAAAGTTTTATGACCAGAGTCCAATCTGTCTTGATTCAATTGAATTCCCAGGCAACTATTTTAAATTCATGGATTGAAGATACCATCTCGACGATTCAAAGACCATTATTTGATTCAGTTACAGATCCAAGTGGTGATGAATATATTGGTTCTTTGGATGATCAAGAAAAATTTATAAATTATTTGGATTTTTTACAAAGATCTATTTATGATAGATCTGGTTTAATCTTGGGGAAATCTGATTCTTTGCTTGTGGGAAGTTTTGAGAATAATAATAATGGTGATTCTGAATTTAAAAATAAATTGGAAATGGAATATCCGAAATTAAATTTAACTGTTTCGTTAAGAGGATTGATTATTAATACGAAAGTTATATTATCCAAGATCCCACTGGTGGAAGATATGAAAACATTTGCAAAAATTATAGTGGATTTGAAAAAAATTTTTGAAATTCAAAAGGAAAATATCGAGAATTCCAAAAAGATTTTCAGGAATTTAAATGATTGTTTTAATTTAAGAATTAATTATTTTAAACAATTACAAGAATTAAGTGATAATGTTAAACCATTTGATGAAATAACTCATGGGAATTTACAAACAACAAATAGAGAAACAAAATTATTTTCCAAAATTGATGATTTGAAAAAAGAATTAAATTCTATAAATTCAAGAATTCGTTATTTAAAATCTCTTTCATCATCTGCAAATGACCAGAATGGTAATACAGGCTCAGATGATGAAAAAATTTGTTCTATATGTCGGTATCCAATAACAATTGGTTCTTTAACAAAATGTGGTCATCAATATTGTAAAGATTGTTTAAATCATTGGTTAGCAAGACATCGTGGTTGTCCTATTTGTAAATCTCATATAACAAAATCAGATGTTTATAATTTTACTTATAATAGAGAAGAAATTAATGTTAGGATGATTACTGAAGCAACAAGAGGTGAAGATGATGAAATTTTTAAAATTTATTCCAAAATTGATGAAAATTCATTGAAGGAGATTAATTCTATCAAGATTAATAATAATTATGGATCAAAGATTAATACTATTATTAAACAAGTTCTTTGGTTAAAAAAGCAAAACCCCCAGGTTCAAATTGTTATATATTCTCAATGGTCACAATTATTATCCATAATAGGACAAGCTTTTAATCAAAATGGTATAAAATTTCTTGGTTCAAAAAATTCATTATATAAGACAGGTTCAGGTGGGAAATCAAAAATTAAGACAGATATTTCAAATTTCAAAAAAGATTCAAGGATAACTTGTTTTTTACTAAATGCAAAAGCTGAAGCATCAGGTCTTACTTTGATTAATGCACAACATGTTTTTATATGTGAACCTTTTGTTAATTCTGCATTAGAATTACAAGCTATAAATCGGATTCATAGAATTGGACAAAAATTTGAAACTTCAGTATGGATGTTTTCTATCACGGGGAGTGTTGAAGAAAGTATTATTCTGTTATCAACAAGGAAATTCCAATCCAAGATGGAAAAATTTAATACAGAAAATTTTCAAAAAAATTTTAGTAAATTAGTGGAAAAAAATGGTGAAAGTGTTGATTCTAAAGATTTATGGAATTCTTTTTTTAGTTCTAAGATTGATAGAATTGTATAATATTATTGATCTTATACTTTCTCATGATAATATAATGATGTTATTAATTAAGAGTTTGTCCTTTTTAAATCTTGTAATCAGTTGTTAAATACACTTAAAATGCAAGGGACCAGGTCCCCAGGTACAAATTTCAAAAAATTGCTGTTCTTTTTTGAGAAATTTCGCGAATGAAATTGATTTTCATAAATTTCCTTCCAAAGTTCAAAAAAACAATAACAAACGAGAATTGTTTAAAGAGGCTTAAATTCACCTGGTTATTTTAAGAATTGTGGTTTAACTGTTGATAGCAATTGATAATTGGCGGTTGCTTAAATCTAATATTGTGGATTGTGGATTGAGGATACCGCTACGTTGAAGAGGCTATATAATACTTTGAGTAGTGTGTTAATGGTAAGAGAGGTTGAATACGTTAGATTGCTTAAAACTGAGTGGAAACGTGAGTTGATTGTTTATTCAAGAAAAACATTGAAAACACAAAACAATAAGGAAATTTTTCTTTTTATTAACATTAGATATAATCTTAGTAAGATAGTTATTGGGAGATATTGATAACAGTGGTCATAGATTAAGAATCCACAAAGTATGCTTGAGTCTCTCTTTGGTGGGTCTAATGTTAACCAGAGGAGTGAGAATGAAGGTGTTAATGGCACAACAAATGGTACTATAAATGGGAATTCAAAACAACAAAAAGGACAAGGACAGTCCCAGGGGAAAGAATACAGTGGTATAAATGATGAGAATGAAGATTATATTAATGGAACTACAAAGAATCAAAAGAATGTAGAAAATGTTGAAAAAGAAAATGCTCAAGGTGATGTTTTCAAACCTGAAGAAATACCAAATAAATTTGAATTTACTGATAATGATTTACAAGAACGTTTAATGGAAAATGTTTATCAATCAAGAGATGATGATTCAAATAATCAACCTCAAAAAGCTGATGAATCTTTAGAAAATTTTGATAAAAGACCTATTCGTATGGGTGAAGCTGGTTATAATAAACCAAATGATTATATACAAGCTGATGAACCAATAAGTTCTCAACAGATACCTCATAGTGTTGAGGGTAATGAATTATCTGAAAATGATACAAGTGAAATTTTACAACCTTCAAGTGCACCTCAACAAGGACAAGGACAAGCACAAGCACAACAATATTTACCTTCACAACCTTCAACACAAGATGGTGAAATGCCAACTCAACGACTTGGTGAAAGTCCTACTTGGTATAAAAGAATTCCATTGATTGGTACTCCTTCAAGTGCTCCTTCAACTCCTTTAGATGATTCAAATAGATGGAAAGATTTAAAACAAGTTTTAAGATTTGGTAAAAAAAGAGATTCTGAAGTTCAATTACCAAATCAACAATCTCAAGCTAAAAAACATGTATTAGATGAAACTGAAGAACAAACAAGAATGAGAGCTTCAAATTTAATTACATCTTTAATTTCAGGTTCACCTGCTGCACTTTTCGCAGGTGCTTCATTTATTCAAGATGAACATGGAAGTAGAAGAGCTCCTTTATTACTTTCTCTATTGGGACTTACTGTTCAAGATATTACAATTCCAGGTAGTAATAATAAGAAATATAAAATTAATTTAGAATATGGTGTTGGACCAAATCGTGTTAGATGGTTTGTTGTTAAAGATCTTCGAGACTTAGTTGGTTTACATTCAAGATTAAAAGTTGTTTTTTTCCAATCTTTAGGGTTTAGAGGATTTAAACCTGTTGAATTACCAAGATTTCCAAGAGCAAAAGAAGATATAAAAGAAACTAATACTTTTAATAATACTTATTTATCAGCTCAATTACCCCAAAATGATGAATTACCTTCACATAATCTTCGTCAACAATTACAAAATAATTTAGATTCTCAGGGTAATGGAACTATAAATGGTCAACATGTTACACATGGAAGATTGGATCCTGATGCTGGTGAATTACCATCAAGATCTGGTGGTCGTGATTCAGTTGAAACTGATGATATTACATCAATTAATTCAAGAACAAGTTTAAGATCTCATCTTCAAAATTTAGCTTCAAGAATTTCATCAATTGGTGAAGCTGATGGTCCAGGTGTCGGTAGTGATGCATCTCAACATGAACAATATAGATTGAAAATTGAAAATTATTTAAGACAATTATGTCTTTCTCTATCTCTTAGACCACAAGCTAATAGATTATTTCAATTTTTTGAATTATCTCCATTAAGTGTCTTGTTAAGTTATGAACAAGGTTATCAAGGTAAACAAGGTTATATGATTGTTAGATCAAGTGCTAAAGCTCAAGGTTGGAGAGTTGGACATTTAAAATATAGTGATATTAAAGGTATGGTTAGTAGACATACAAACAAATGGTTTTTGGTTAGAAATTCTTATATTATGTATACTTCAGATATTTATTCAACAACTCCATTAGAAGTCTTTTTGGTTGATTCAAGTTTTAAAATGACTTATTCAGGTGAAGATGAAAAACTTCAATTAAGAGGTAATTCTGGTGGTAGTGGCAGTGGTAGAGATAATAATTCATTATATGATGAAAATAATTCATTAAAAGATGAAGCTTTTGAAGAAGATTCAGATGGTAAACTGCCAACTCATCTTTCAATTAAATTAGAAAATAGTGAAAGATCAATGAAAATTTTAGCAACTTCAAGATATCAATTAGGTTTATGGGTTAAATCTATTGAAACTATGCAAAGTAATACCATTTGGGCTAAACCTCATAGATTTGATAGTTTTGCACCTGTTAGACAAGATGCTTTCGCTCAATGGTTTGTTGATGCAAGAGATCATTTCTGGGCTGTTAGTTCAGCAATGGAAATGGCTAAAGATGTCATTTATATTCATGATTGGTGGTTAAGTCCAGAATTATATATGAGACGTCCTGCAAATGGTAATCAAGAATGGAGATTAGATCGTATCTTGAAAAGAAAAGCTGAACAAGGTGTTAAAATTTTTGTCATTGTTTATAGAAATGTTGGTACTACTGTTGTTACAGATTCATTATGGACAAAACATTCATTAATTGATTTACATCCAAATATTCATGTTTTACGTTCACCAAATCAATGGTTACAAAATACTTATTTTTGGGCTCATCATGAAAAATTATGTATTATTGATCATACTGTTGCATTTTTAGGTGGTATTGATTTATGTTATGGTAGATATGATACACCAGATCATGTTTTAGTTGATGATTCACCACATGATTTTGCAACAAAACAAAATGCAAATGAAGAATCAATTAAATATCAAAAATTCCCTGGTAAAGATTATTCAAATCCAAGAGTTTTAGATTTCTTTGAATTAGAAAAACCTTATGAGTCAATGTATGATAGAGATTCAGTTCCTCGTATGCCATGGCATGATGTTCATATGGTTACTGCTGGTCAACCTGCTAGTGATTTAGCTAGACATTTTGTTCAAAGATGGAATTATTTGTTGAGACAAAAAAGACCATCAAGACCAACACCAATTTTAACACCACCATCTGAATATTCACCAATTGATTTGAAAAGATTTAATTTAACTGGTAATTGTGAAGTTCAATTATTAAGATCATCAGGTAATTGGTCATTAGGTTTGAAAAAAACTGAACATTCAATTCAAAATGCTTATTTAAAATTAATTGAAACTTCAGAACATTATGTTTATCTTGAAAATCAATTTTTTGTTACTGCAACAGCATTTGATGGTACTATTATTGAAAATAGAATTGGTGATGCATTAGTTGATAGAATTATTCGTGCTCATAATGAAAAGAAAAAATGGAAGGCAATTATTATGATTCCGTTAATGCCAGGTTTCCCTGGTCAATTAGATGAAGCTGATGGTTCATCTGTTAGAGTTATTATGCAATGTCAGTATATGTCAATCTCAAGAGGTTCAACTTCAATTTTTGGTAAATTGAAAAAAATGAAGATTAATCCATATGATTATATTCAATTCTTTTCATTAAGAAAATGGGGTAGAATTGGTCCAAATCGTAAGATTGTTAGTGAACAACTTTATATTCATGCCAAAACTATGGTTGTTGATGATAGAGTTGCAATCATCGGTTCTGCTAACATTAATGAAAGATCTCAAAGAGGTAATAGAGATTCAGAAATTGCTGCATGTGTTAGAGACACTGAAACTGTTAATACTACTATGAATGGTAAACCATATAAAGCAGGTAGATTTGCTCATACTTTAAGAATGAGATTAATGAGAGAACATCTTGGTATTGATGTTGATATTGTGGAAATTGTTGAAAGAAGATTTAGTAAATTAGAAGAATTAGCTAAAGCTACTAAAACTGGTCAAGATTCTAAAACTCATCAATTTCAAAGTAAAGATAATGAAGTTGCTTCTGCAATGGTTGAATTAGCTTCAAGAGATGTTTTAAATTTACCAAATGGTACACAAAAATGGCAAACTTTTAAAAAGAGAGCTGGTAAACCAACTGTTCCAAAAGTTGATGAAGAATTTTTCAAAAATATTGATAAAGATGATGGTGAAGATAAAGGTTTACCACCTCATTTGAAAGAAAAAGCTCATGAACCAGCTCCATTATTTTATCATTCATTTAATAATCGTGCTAGAGAAGAAAATACTGGTATTAGAGATAAAAAACAATTTAGTACTGATTCAAGAGTTTCAAATACTTCAAAACATAAAAATGATATTGATGGGAAAGGTCAAGATAGAATGGAATCTAAAGAATATCAAGTTTATAAATTAAATGCTGCTAAAACTTTAAAAAGATGGGCAAAAGAATCTTTAGTTAATGATACAACTGATGTGTTTTTACCAAATGTTGAACAAGTTTTAGAATTTTTAGAAAATGATGATTTTGTTGAAGATCCAACTAAATTAACAGATCAAGAAGAAATCGTTCTAGCTGAAAGAAATCAAGAAAGATGGGATTTATTAAAAAGAATTGCATATTTACAAAGAGTTGCAGCAAAACAAAAAACTCAAAATGATGATGAAAATGATAAACGTTATAAAATTGGTATTCCAACTTTAAGTAATGCATTTGCTAGACAAGAAAAACAAAATGGTGGTCAATCAGCTGTTGATAAAGTTCCAAAACAAAAAACTAATCAATATCTGGAAGCTAAACAAATGGAAAAAAATGGTAATCCTGATTCTCAAGCTCAAATTTCTGCTGAATTTCAAGAAATTGAAGAACTTCCAGGTGATAATATTCCAGTTGTTGCATTGGATTCTAAGGGTATTCGTGAAGTTTTAGATAATTTAGGAGATGCTTCTAATAATGGTGAAAGTAATTTCAATAAATTTATTGATCCATATTGTTTTGGTGATCCAATTGATGATGCATTTTATGAAGATGTATGGTTTGATAATGCATTGAGAAATTCCAAGATTTTTAGAGAAGTGTTCCATTGTCAACCAGATGATGCTGTTACAAGTTGGAAAGATTACAAAGAATTCACAAGATTAAGTACAGCTTTCAATTTAGCTCAAGATCAAGAAGTTCGTCGCAGAGAAGCTTTATTTAAATCTTATTCACATTCGGATGTTGGTGAAAATGATTCAGAAGATTTGAAACAAGTTCGTGAACGTATGCAAGAATCAAGTTCAATTTCAGCACAAGATGTTACCAAAGAAGATGTTTCAGAATCTTCAAGTGATAAACCTCAAGGCAGAAGAAGTCAAAATACTGCTATTGCTGATGAAGATGAGTATTCACCAAGAGGTAAGAGTGGTTCTTATGGTTTAAGAAGTAGATTAATGGGTGAAAGAGTCTTCGATCGTGAAACTGCTGATAGATTATTAAGTGAGATTCAAGGTCACTTGGTTTTATTCCCAGTTGATTGGTTATATAAAGAAGTTGATAGTGGTAATTGGTTTTACAATATGGATAGATTACCTCCAATTGATATTTACGATTAGTTTATTTATTTTAATTACAGGTTTGTTTTAATATGTGAATGTTTATATATATATTAAATATATTATATTATGATATATAATACAATTCATTATATAAGAATATGTACGCATGCACACTCAAATATTAATAGCATATCATGTAATCGTACCGTACATACGTGACGTATATATATATTATATAGATATATATTTACGATCGCGGATGATCCATTAAACGCATGAACTAAATATTATCAAATATATAATAATTAATTTATGTTTCATAATTTCTATTGATTGTGATTAGCTCTGGGCCCAAATATACAGTATAAAATATGTTCGTGAAATTGATTGGATCATTTAACTTTTTTGTTTGGATACCTACAATCATTATTGAACAATTAGAGTTAGTACCTTCCAAGAAAGAGCTAATAATCTCATCAACATATTCTGCGAGTTCTCCTTTGTTTTTTAAATAACTCCTATCTCCAATTGATATATCTGATTTATGATGAATATCGTCACATCTTGAAAATCTTGAAGTTAATCCAACGCCTTTTTCTGATGGTGCAGCTCTGGCTCTGGGTGGTGGATTGAGCATGGAGTAAATACCAAGATCTACGATATTATTTTCTCTCATATTCTTCACTTTGCTCCTCAATCCGTTGATTGAGATGTCCACGATCTTATTGAAAAGGTCCAAATCCGCTGTATAGTTTTGCTTTGCAAATACAAGTGCAGTTTCATTATTAGGCTCAATTGTATCCTCTTCCATTATCTGAAAAACGTGCTGGTTTTCAGTAGTATTATGACACTTTGGTCCCAAATATTCTTCTTGTTTTCTCCTGTCCTTGACATGATCAAACTCGTTTATATGAACTAATGCAGATCGTGCCATCGCTAACTTGGTCTGTAAAACTTTAATTTCGTTGTCTTTATGATTTTTTTTTACTAAGGTACCAACTCTTTCTTTAACTTCTTTACTGCCTTCAGCAGTCATCCAATCAGAAGGCGCAAACACATCTAAGGAGATATTCTTTAGATATTTCTTCATGATACTATTCTTGGTATTCAATGTTCTTACCAATTTGAGTAATGATTTGTGATTCAAGACAATTGAAATTGAAGATTGATCTACACGATCTGAGGTTTTCGTATTAATTAAATTTTCCATCCTTTCTTTTGAAGATGGATAGAGATCCAAGACTTCAAACTCGTGATCTTCCACTTTGTTCAATCTTGCATACTTGTTGTAATCGCTATATCCATAATCAACCAAAGTTGGACCATTGTAAACGAAATCGTGATCCGTGATTCTCAACATCGATGTATTTCTAATGGATAGGAAACAATGGATGTTGGTATATAATATTGGAGCTATAAGATCTATCCACATGGAATTATAAAACATATCAACTGCTTTTTTCTTATCAATGTTTGATTGTTCAATGATTTTTAACCAGATCTCTATCGGGAAAGGTCCTAACAATGATGGTGTATCACCAAGACTGAAAAGGCGAAACTTTGTTTTAGGCGGTGTGAGTCTTTTCAACACAAAAGAAGCATCATTGAGCGTTTTTTCTAAAAAATTATTGATGTTTTCATAGATATGATCTTTGATAAGCCTTAAAGGATAAACACAGTTCACTCTAGATTTCCAATAAATGTGTCTAATCTTAATGCGTATACTGGCGATAAGCGACGCTATAATTAGCTTTGAACGATTGATTAAAAACTTAGTTGAATACCTCTCATAAGGCAATAGCCCAAACCACCAACTCGGTTTTGGAACAACCTTATCCACGGAATATTTAATGCTAAAACCTTTTATATTTGCGTTCTCCCCAATGATCTTTCGAGCTATTATAAGATCAGAACGTCTAGGAGGCCAATGGGTAGATTTTAAGCCAGGACAACTTGATAACGACTTTAACATTGCTCCATTTGTTAAAGTATCGAAATTTGAGTGTAATACACCTGGAGGATAATCACTTTGGTCAAACACTTTATGTTTACCCTCAGCATATGTGTCTGATATACCATAAAGGAACCATGGATCAAAGAGTTGTGATCCCTCAACATCAATATCAAGTTCAGTTTGGTTTTCAAAATTCATAATTGATATCTTATCTACTGCTTATTAGGCTGATGTTCTTTCAATGGTATTATCAATAATTAGAAACCGAAAGATTTTCAAGTACACTAGCTTTGAATCCACGTATATAGAAACTGGAAAGCTACTTATATATTAATTTCTCGAGTTTAAATGAGATGTTTTTTAACTAGATAATTAACTGTTAGCAGAAAACAAAATGATCTCATGGGATTGAGTATTTCTAATTCTATTATTCTATTCTTCTCGTTTATCTCACGCATATATAATCGCTCAACGTCTTACAATTATATGATATAAAGAGCTCCTATATATAGCTTTTATAACGCCGGAGACATTTAGTCATATATTACACGTAAACTTCATTAGCTTATCATTTGTGTGTGATCATGATGTATTCAAATTTGAATATGGAGCTGTTAATTATAATTTATACATGGTCAGCTAGTTTCGGAAATTAGCGGTATCAATACGAGAGCATAATTTAACTCAAGTGCAAGCTGAGCTAACTTAAACTTTATATCCACTACAATTTGACTGATACCATGTTAGTTTATTCTCTCAACTTCATTTTGTTATATACATTTAAAAAAAAATTGATTAGCCCTCGAGCTCTTTGGGGTTTAGTGGTTTAGTAAAGGTTCTGGTATTGTAGTATATTTATTCAACAGGCGAACAGTTTTGATTGATTTCAATTATATTGGTTTTTTTATAACAAGTATCATCAACATTACCTTTGAAATTTTCAAAACTAATCTTCCTTCTTTTCAATTGCGTCAATAAAATACATTTTAATTGATTTGGTAACTCTCTTGTTATATTGCTTAGATCTCAAAAGCAATTTTAGAGAATTTTGTGACAGGACGTACTTACTTTCATTATCTTCAATTGTTACTCCTTTTTATTATTCCAATTGTGCAACTTTGTCTTTTTCTTTCTCTTCATTTATAGCTTGGACCGATTTTCCTCTTAGGAACTTCATTTCCAAATTTTTCATCAACATTCATCTCATCTTATTTTTTTCCTTAATTCTGAGATTTTATGGAGGTTACTTTTTTGTCTTAACCGCTGTTGAATATACTGTAGCCCCAACAGTAATTTAATGAACTAGATTGTGTATAGTTTTTAATTAATCAAATAATATAGAATTCTTGGAATGACGATAAGTTTTGAATATTAAAACTTCTAAATCTTCACCAATACCATGATTGTCGCAGGTAAGAATATTAAAAGGTGTGATAACCTCTAGTACCACAATCGTGTCATAACAGCTAAACCAACATTAGCATCAGTGTATGAAATACCAGTTAAATCAATTTCGGTTTGAATTGTATTATGACCAGCAGCATCTACTATGCCTTGAGGTAGATTCCAAAAAAGCTCAAACTTGTTGTAAGATATTGCACACGATTAAATCCCATTTTATAATGAGATTATTCATATGGTTATTGATCTAATTACCTATATGTAATAGTCAAAAAAAAAAAAAATCATTTGAATTTTTCAAAGTCAGAATAAGAGACAGAGATGAACCATATACTTAATGGTATCACAACGTAATAAAAATTTTTGACTCTTATGTAGTTCAATTTAGATGCCTTAGGTAACTTTAACTTGAAAACGAACAAATCAGTAAAGATCAACAGCAACAAAAGTATCATTTTCATGTTGATTAAAGTTTTTAAATCCAACTTGTGGTTATTAAGCAACGCTAATCATTGAATACTTTTCAAGTAACATATCCGATTCTTAAACTGCACCAACAGGATCTCTTTATAGCCTTTAGAAGTATTACAATTTTGGTTCTTGGTGATATAAGCAGAGTTATGAGAGTAAGAAGCAAGTCATGTTTATGTTAGAATTTCCTTAATAAAAATTCATTGATCATTCTTGTATCAGCTTATTTCAATCTTAAACCTTTGAGCACAAATACAAATAAAAATTGGAGAACTAACACATTAATTGAATAATATACAATACGTTCAAATCTTCAACAGCACATGATACAATAAGCTCCATAACTTTAAGCCTTTCCAAAACATATGAATGATCACATGAATTCAAATCATGATGTTCAATTAATGTCAAACAATTAGGACATTTGAATATTTTCTTCCCGGTAATCTATGTCAACTTTTATGAAACCATTATTATAAATTCCCCTGAGTCATATATGTAAGATTGATTCTCTCTTATTTGATGACATCTTGAAACAATTGGTGTGAACAAATCTCTCAAATATTTCAGTTAACAAACGTGTTTAACTCTTTTGCTTTAACTTTTGCTTCAAAGTAACCCAATAGCTTTAGATATCTATTCAATTTAATAATTTAATGGGTTATTGAGACTTTTTCTGATTAAAGTAAGACTAAGTCCAGGATAAGTTGAGACTCGAGACTCAAGACCCCTAATGCCTTCAAATCGCGGTCTTATCAGCTTATCTCAAGCACCTTATCAAGACCAATGCCGAAAAGCTGAACCAACAACAAAGCATCGACGACTGTTCCAGTTCGAAGATCAAGGAGATGTTTATTGTTTCTCGTTGAAAATGAAGACACATAAGTTCTACTAGGCTTCTATACTCTTGGAACATACCTTCACCAAAACCACGCTCGTTAACAGAAACAAGAACAAAATCGTTCATAGACAGATCATAGTTAATCATCTCTAGCTCATCAAGCAGGTACGTCAAAGGCGCCATTATTATTTTTGACAGGGGAAGATCAATTTAAAATTACACGAGACATAATAGGTTTATGATCTCAGTATAATCAAAGATGAGACCACAAGTTTCTCGAACTCAAAGTGAACAAAGAGGTCGTTCATCAACAAAGAAGGCAAGTACAAAAGGTGAGCTAAAATGGGATTATCAATTTAGACCTACTGAAGTTGTTAAAAACATTCAAAAATCTTCAGGCCATTCAAGTCTTTTAGAAAAATCAAGATCAAGAGAGGGATCTATAGTTCGTTTGAAAGAATTTGATCCTTATAATGATAAGAAAAGATCATCAAGTCTTGCTACAATAAGCTATAAACGTCCAGGTCCATCAAGAGTAAATAGTGGAATTAGATCATCAAATAATTATAAGAACCCAATGTCTGCTTATGCAAGTAATGAGGAAATTGATACAATAATACCCAATCATTCAAGTATCTTATATCAGAAATATCTTAGACCATCAACTTTAGTCCACAGCAGTGAACCTACTACGAAGTCAAATACAACACAAAATACACCAAGGAATACCAAAAATTCAGTTGCATTACCACATGATTTATTACCGGCTTTTGAAAATGTTAATATTGATCTTGATGATGAAGATCATAGGGAGCAGGAAGATGAGGATGAAGATGAATTTAATGCTCTTGATTTATCAGAATTTGATAATAAATTTACAGATTCAAACCCCAACAGTATCAAAATAGATTCTGAAAGATCAAGTCTTAACTCTACAGAAACCAAGAAGTCAAAAGAAGATAAGTTATTGAAGATTTCAACAGCACAACAGAAACCAATAGAAAAGCATGGTAGAATTCAACAACGTTTAAATTATATGAAGGAATTAAATGAAGAGAATTATCAAAATTCAAACCAAAAATGGCTAACACATGAAAATTTCCATCAGAAATTATTCTTGGAATCTTTAAATAATGATTTAAGAAGTTTGAAGAGATCAAATCACAATCCATTATACAAGTCATTGAAAAGAACACAAGATATTGATCATAAGCTTCAAGACTCTTCAGCTTCAATATCAAGTCAAAGTCTCTTAAAATCATTAGATTCAAATACAAAATCAATGAAAAAGGAAACAAATTTCACTTCTATCAAGAAGAATAAATATCCAGATATTCAAAAACTTAAAGATCTTTTACCAAAATGTCATGACATAACATCTCAACTTTGGACAAATTCAGCTAAAACTTCTGTTTCTGATATAATCACAACGAAGAAACCTTCTGGTGATACAATAGTTTCATCATATGATTCCGGAGGAATCAACTTAATTACACATACTTATCAACCAAAAGAAACAAATGTTATACATGAAAATCTTGATAATTATTCATTTGAACCAGTACCAGCAAATGATGAGACATATATTAGAGTTAGGAACTCAAAAGGGCATAGTCCCTTATCACAGAGGATTACGAATGTTTAATGACCAGTATATTTAATCACTTAATTATTTAATGAATGACTACTTCGAATATAGAAATCTGTAGTATATACACAGGATTAATCATTACTCTTGTGTTTGAACTACATAAAAGCTTGAAACATAATTTATTAAAACACATTTTAAACGCCTATACCCTAGAAAAGCACACCAACAATAAGAAAAAATCAAAACCAAAATCAAATTTGTAATTAGCTTTATAATTCGATATAATACCCAGAATCATGATGCAAATTAATCTAATACATATGAAATTCATTATTTTCAAAACCATAATAACTTTCTATATTTAAATACTCGCGAGTATATTCTTCCATGAATAGAGCATGTGATTCTGCATCTTGAATAGCTTGAATAGCTTGTTCAATTATTTGAAGTCTTTGAGCTTCGTCAAGGTCAGGAATTGGTAATGGAGGTAATTCATACTCAATTGCTTGATCTATTTGAGGGATTTGTTGAGGTTGATCAAACAAATCAGGCATTGGTAATGGTGGAAATTCCGAATCAATTGTTTGAGCTGACCCAAGTTGAGGGATTTGTTGAGGTTGATCAAACAAATCAGGTATTGGCAATGGTGGGAATTCAGGTTCTTGTAAACAATCATTTGGTTGAATTTGAGGGATTGGATTATATCCAACCATTCCAATTTCAACACCTGATGAAGAATGATTAGAAACTGATGGACCGATTTCTAATGGTCTAGTTTCAGTAACAGATTCAATATCATAATCATTAATGATTGATGTTGGTGATTCAGTTAATCCATAGATGTGTGGAATGGTTCTAACATTTGATGATGATTCTTGAGAATGATCATTAATGTTATGTTGATTGGTGAATTGTTGTTTACTGCTTGAAGCAGTGTTAGATTGTTTGCTAAGCATGTAGTTGTAGTAAGCTGAATGGCTCATATTGTTGTATATAGTTGTTGATTTATGTTAAATATGACGATGAGAGGAAAGAAAGGGGAGAAGAAAGTTTAGAAATAATTGGGAACTTGATTAGTTATATACTTTTCTTTGGAGAGTTTATTGTAAAACATGAGCTTATATTAATCTAGCATTGTTTAAAATAATACTCTTTTAAAGAACTCATCTGTGTAAACTCAAAGAAAAGACTCAAAATGATGAGAAAAGCTGCACTTATATAGTGAGAAATTTGAATAATGACTAGCTCAGCTTCACATTTCGTATGATAAGTATCTTAATACATATCACAGTACAGCTTATACATCCCACTTCTCTTTGTAAAACTAGCTTATTCAAAGTTATATAGTGTGAATTTAGTTTAGTTTATAAAAAATTTATGCCCATCTGTCATCAAATCGGGTCAGTAATATTTGTATGCGACCCAAACCGGTAAAATCCGATTTTTTTGTTGATTAATTATGGAAAGAACAATTGATGTCTAATAAATTGAACAGCCATTTCTTTGGGATTAGCAAAGATATATCAGATACTTTTCATTATAATGTCTACACAAACTTTTAATTTCTCAAACTCATGTGATCTTGAGGTACATACCTCTCCTTTTGGGATTTCTGGGATATATATAAAAGTTGAAAATAGTGATTCAGTTGGGATTGGTTCCACAATGGGTAGATTAACAGGTCATACCAGTGGGAAATTACATTATAATAAAAATGAAGATCTTGTGAATACAAAATTCAAATTATATGGATTGATTGAAGATAAGGATATTCTAAGGATTGATTTTGTGAAGATTTTAGATCCAAGAAATGGTACAAATAATGAAGGTGATAAAACTAATGATGGGAAAAAAGAAGGTGAAGTTAAGAAAGAAGAAGATTCAGATGAGAAACCCACAGAAGTTAAGAGTGAAAACCCAGGAGATGAGGGGTATGAAGTTCCGGATTTGGTTTTTAGAGGTAAAGCACCAGTTGGTAGACCAGATGTTGTGGAACCATTTATTGGTATCTTTAGTTTTGAAAAATCATCATAATCATACACTAGGGAATGGTTTCAATAATTAGTGGAAAAAAGATTGGTTTGAGTTTTGGTTTCAATTTGTTTATTTCTTGGTTTGTGTTAAGGCAACTTCTGTATTATATATTTAGAGTATAAACTACAATATTATGTTTAAGATATGTGTGTACATTTTCTTTTTATTTATTGTATGCAAATTTTGTAAGGAATTATATAATTTATAGTTTGTAGTAATTTTTGATTAACTAAAATAATTTGAAGTCATAGCTTTAGCAACATTAAATCCAAATAAACTAATAAAATATAAAACTGAAAAAATTCCAATTGGGAATAAAATTAATTGTGTATGCTCCAAGAATGGTAATGCATTATAACCATAAAAAGTTATGATAAAGTAATAACTTATACTTATGAAGTATAATGTATTACCCAAGAATAATCCAAACCAATTTGACATTGTTAATAATGGTAATAAAATGAATTGAATCATATATAATAATACCCAAATGACCAAGAATGAATTACAATGAACATCAAAACAATAAGCCCATTCTAAATCACCTTCAGTTACAGCACCAATTGTATTATTTGTGTTTCTTTTTCTAAAGAATCTATTTGCTAAAAACCAACCTAATGTTGATATAAATACACCAACAATGAAAAAATCAATGAAAACCATATAAAGAATTAATTTTAATATTGAAATAATATTTGGTGAATATGCAACACCCCATGCAATCGCACTTAATGTTAAAAACCCAACTAATAATATCATGAATGAAGGATCATCTCTTGCCCATCTATTTTTGGTCTGTTTATGATAATATAAAGATTTATAAACTCTCTTTGGTGAAACAATAAGATAAAAAATCTCCCATATTGCAGTTTCAAAATCCAATGTTGGAGGTTTGAAAAATCTTTTAATGAAAATGGGTATTTTGAAATTTGATCTTGATGGAGAGAATCTATCTGTTCTAGATCCAAACACCCTACTTCTATTAGTTCCATTTGAAGTTGAACTTCTTCCCGATCTAAATGATGCCAGATCATCTTGTGAAAGATCGTTAATAGTGGTTGGTAGGATTGAACTATGGGAAGATGACCCCATTGTACCTAGGTTTGGAGTATACGATCTCTTGGACATTGGTCAATTCTCCTTATTCCTTAGAGTAACTCTGTTGTGTGTCAAAAGAGCTCTGGAGTCTTTGTACTCTTGCTGATATTGTTGATTGTTTTGTTTTCGCTAATTGTTAGTTGTTAATAACCGGGAAAAGATGGTTAGGGCAACACGCAAATAGTCATCTGACTGGTCACATGATAAAATTTATAAGCATTTCGATTGAAATTTAATACAAAAGTATTGATTTCTTTATTTACTACAGGTTATTGGAAGTTCTCAATATAAATATCGATTGTACATTACTATTATCCCTTTTATCCATAGCAATTTGACGGTCTATTATACAAGTTTTATGAGCATTTTCTATAATTAATAAACATCAATTTAACCCAAGTATCTATCTAATGGTTCACCAAGAACATCTTCAATAACTTTGACTAATCCAGTACGGACTTCTAATTCAACATCTTCATCATCATCTTCCAACAATTCAGCAATGATTGGAACTAATTGAGGTAATAATGTTAACCATTGATCACCAACTTTTTGATAAACAGCTTTTAATGATCTAATAGCCCATAATTTTTCTCTTGGTTTACAGTCAGCCTTCATATGTGAAATAAATAATTGATTCAATTGTTTGTTATGTTCATCTGATGATGCATTTTGACCTAAAGCACCAATAGCTTTGACTAAATATTTACCAATTGAATCTTCAATGTTTTTCAATTGGGACAATAAAGTTTCAGATGCAAGATCAAATCTTGCTTGTGCTTGCCAATATTCATCTTGATCAAATTTGAAAGATGAAGTTAATGCATTCAAAATAATACGACGTAAATTAATATCATCCAATTCTGATGAAACATATCTGTTCAAAACTTTGATTGTTGATTCAAAGAAATAAGTGAAATATGTGGTAACAATTGATCTTAAACTTTCTTGTAATTTGTTAAAGAATCTAAAGAATGAAGTTAATCTTTCAACTTCAGTAATATTGGTATTTGTTACACCTTCACCATCAAAAGCCCAACGAACTAATAATGCAAATGATGGTCTAAATGTTTTATCATTTAATTTCAAAACATATTTGTTGGCAATACCATGGAAGAAAGCTTCAATACGATGAATAGCATTATTATCAAATTCACTTTCTGATCTAAATTCAAATAATCTGATTAATAAACCAAAGAATTTTGGTGCTTGTGAAGTTGCAGTCTTCTTTTCAATAACATCAACAGTTGATTCTAAAGTGTTTAAGTATAAACCAATTGAAGTAGCATCTAATTTAGATGTTTCATTCCAAATATTAGACAAGACCTTCATTAAAGCTGTATGTTCCATATTTTGAGCAATAACTTGAACAATAGAACCTCTAACTTGTTCTGAAACTCCATCAGCTTTATAAACAGCTCTTAAAATATCTTGAAGATTGGTAGTAACAAAAGCTGGAATACGTTTAACGTAACTTGCTAATAATAATAAAACAGATAACTGTAAAGTACCTCTTGATTCTTCATCTTCAATTTCTAATGATTGATTGAAAATTTTTAATGATGGAGGAACAATCTTTGGGAAAAATGCAATTGATTTAATACCTAATGCTGAAACAATGTTTGTGATAACACTTAATGAAGAAACAATAGTTTCACCATCTGTACTTAATAAACCAGATTCTGAAACACTTAATTTCAAAGTTTCAATTAATAATTCATCACCTAATTGTGGTCCGAATTTTTGAGTTAATGAACTTAAACCATCTAATGAAACTTGAGCAAGTTCTTTATTAGATTTAATAATATCAAACCAAACTTCAATTAATGATCTAGCAGCTTCCAATGCTTCTTCATTTTCTGATGATTCCAAATCAAATTTTTCTAATGACAATAATGTTAAACTTTGAAGAACAGTAACATCAATAGATGAATCTGAAAGTAAATTGGTAATTGATTCAACAAATCTTCTAATAGATAACAATGCTAAAACATCACTTAAGAATTTTAATAATTGGACACCAATTTCACCTTTATAACTATCACCGATTAATTGTAATAATGATTTAACTAATGAACCGAAAGATCTAGTAATTGCACTGGATTCAGTTTCAGCTTTAGATTCATCATAAATAATAGTAGCTAATTTCAATTGTAATTGAGGAACAGTGACTTCATCACCGCCTGAAATAGAAGAATCGATGAATTTCAACATGTTAGCTTTCAATGAAATCAATTCTTCAGTATTTGCTGAAACAACAGTTGAGTTGAAAATTGGACTCTTATAATAAACATCAGAGTTTGGTGAATCTCTAGTAACTTGTTCTAATGGAATATTTTTCCAAATTTCAATAAATGAGTTTAATGAAGATAATTGTTCAACAGCAGTAAATTGTTTCAATAATGATGCTGCAAATTCGATTAATGATTTAGCTTCAGCTGAACGGTTCTTCAAACTAGCATTTGAGTATTGAGCACCAATCAAGAAAAGAATGATATGTAAGGATAATTCTGAACCAAGAGTTGAAGCTAAAGTTGTGAAAATTCTAACTCTTCTATGTCTTGGAATATGAGCAAAAGCAGATGCGAAACTTGTTAATAAAAATTCAATTTCATCAGATTTTTTATCATTTGATGCATTAGCTAAGGCTGGAATAACATGAACAACAGTTTGTTCAACAACATGAACAGAAAATTCATCATCTTGACGGACAGTATGAGCACCCATGAATGTGAAAATTGGCATAACAGAATGCAAAACAATTTCTGGAGCTAATGCAGCTAATTCAGCAACAACAAGTAATAATCTGTTTTGAACTTGTGGAGATGGTGATGATCTAATAGTAGCAACAACGATATCAGTTCTAACAGAGTTAGATTCTAGTTGAGCATTTTCTGTCTTCAAGTATCTAATGATTTTAACCATTGTAACAGCTAAAGTTTCCTGAGTATACAAGACTGGTAAACCAGCATCACCACCTAAAGTTTCCAAATCAGCTAATAAGTTGAATAAAGAACTTAATAATTGTGAAGTTGGTTTTAATGAACCTAAGCTCTTATCTAAAGTTTCTAAAACAACAGTAATTTTTTGTAAATGATGTTCGGCAATTTTAGCAAGTTCACCATTGTTTAAAGCTTGTCTAGTTGAAGCAGATGATCTTCTTCTTCTTTTTGGAACACCTGGATCTTCTTGAGGTTTATTAATTTGTGAATCTTTTAATAATTCAACAATGATTTCACTTGTTAATGGTAATGATTGTAAAGTAGCAACTGTATCATATGAATTATCACCTTCAGTAGCTAATGAATCAACAATAGCCTTGGATAATTTCAATTTGTATTCATATTTCAAACTATCAAAAATAGTAATAACTCTAGCAGCTGCTAATTCACCTAATTGTTCATATGATGAGTTTAATGCATTAATCAAAAATTGTATAGCAAATTGATGTTTTTCCTTTGGAGCAACAATACCAACGATTTCACTTTCAAATTCTTTAAAATCAGCTTTGTTAACTTGAGAATTTAAATACCAGGTATCTCTATTAGAAACATAATTTTCAAGTAAAGATTGGAAAATTTGTGATAAAGAAGCACCTTTGATACTTGGAATTGATGCCTTAATAACTCTGATTAAAGTTAATTTAACTGATGGAATTGAAACAATGTTGGCTTGATTAGCTAAAAATACCAAAAATAATTGAGCATGTTTTTTAGCATTTGATAAAACATTAGTGACACCTGAACTTTCAATGAAATGGCTTTCTAAGATTGAGTTCAATAATGCAGTACCGTCTTTTGGTGAAATTAATTGTAAATCTTTAGAATCTGATCCATAAATTGTATCAGCTTGATAGAAATTATCAGATGCTTTTCTTTTAGAAATTGTTTTCAAAATATCAGAAGCTAAAATTCTAACAGAACGACGTGTATCATATAAAGCTGCAAGTAAAGATGGGACTAATGTTAAAAGATTTGATTTTTCATCAAGTTTGACAATTAAGCTTTTCAATGTAGTTAATGCATTAACTTTAGCAAACCCTGGAGCAGATTGTGAAACACCAGCTCTTACAAGGAATGTCAAATAACCATCTTGTGATTTGAATGATGACTTGAATTCTTCAACGGCTTTCAATTGTAATGATTTGATGTATAAAGCTAAGTATTCATTGAATGAAGCATTTAAGCCTGACGCTAAGAATGAGACAGTATCTGTTTGTTTTGATGAGAATGTTTCAATCAATTGTTTCTTTTGTTGTTGATCATCAATTTGAACAACTTCTTTTGTAACAGTTTCTTCAGTGTCATCTGAAGATTCTAAAGATAATGAAGTTTGTAATTTGGCTTCTAACATATCATTATTCAATTTCAAATCTTCCAAAGATTTCAAAAATAATTCTTTATTGTTCTTGATGTAAAATTCAATCAATTCTGTGATATCAGATTTATCTTGTTCAACATTATCAATGGCATTAATAGAATCTTTGATGATAAATGATAATTCGTATTCTGGTAATTGGACCTTTTTCAAAATTGATAAAACTAATTGAATTCTGTTATCAAATTCATAAGCTAAAATAGTTTTGACTAAAACAGTAACTAATTTTTCTGATCTGATACTTTTATCAGTTAAAATATCATTAAAACGTTCTTCATCACTAACAACCAATTTTATCAATAATCTATAAATTCTAACTGGAATGTTTTCATAACGTGCTGTATTTAAAGATTGGAACAGTTTGGTGATACAGATCAAAGCAGAGTTTTCAACCTTTTTTGGAATTTTAGCTAAGATTGTTTCAGTAGCAGCATAAATGATTTCTGGTGATAATGGAACCGCTGCTGATAAAACAGCTAAGATTGTATGACTTGAAACGTGAGCGTCAGAGTTGGCAGTTGAAAGGAACTTAGCGGACACTTCTAATAACAATGGAATCAATTCATCAATTTTCTTTGTATCCTTTGAGTAAACCGCAATGACATTGATGGCGGTACAGGTGAAAAACAACAATTGGTTTGTGTATAAGATATTTTTAGAAGCAATATCTTGTAAATATTTGCTGTAAAGATTCAAAAGGTCTAAGTCAGTAAAGATTTTAATCATAGAAGTGTTTGTTGGTGATCTTTCATTGTTTTTGAATCCATTTAAACCTGAAAATAATGGTGGTAATTTAGTAATATCCAAAATTCTCTTGAAAACAGGACTTTGATAGTAGTTGATAGTACTTAACAACAAGTTTTCAGCATTATGAACATGAATTTGGAAACGACGAACCAACCATTCAGTAGCATGGATAGCTGGGGCCAAGTTCCATCTTGGTGATATCAATGAAAGATATGCATTAACGGCATTGTCTAAATCCTTGTTTTGTTCAGCAGTTTGGACGTTTCTATCAACAGAGACTGAGGTTTCACTGAATAAAGAGTTTTTAAAAAAGGCAAATCTTTTATCAACAGTAATTAACTCTTCTAAAGCTTCATAAGCATTTGAATAAATGATTTCATAATCTTGTGTAGCTGCAACTTTTGAGGTATAGATCAAAGAGACGGAGTGTAATTTTTGTCTCTTTTTACGATCAAAGGCAACAGTGCTATTAGCAGCAGCAATGTTACTTAACTGAGAAGCTAAAGACATGGCCCTGTGTTCTATAATCTGGTGATTTGGTGAATATTGATGTTTATAGTAGTACTACAATTCTTTTTTTTTGTTATATAAAAACATGAAAAAAAAATTTTGGCCTGCAGGAATTTTGATAAGCGCAACATTTTTGACATCAAATGTATAAACTTTCGAGGAATTCAAGAAACTACAGCGGTAGATCTGTCAGGTCTACTGTTTATCGAATGATATACACTCAGAGATACAATACGGAGTTGAATTTAATTCTGATTAAAATATATTAAGTTTATATCTTTTAATTACTGTAAATGTAAAATGAACTTTTTTGTATAATTTGTTAATCTTTGCAAAAGTAAATCACAAAGTAAAAACACTTGTAGATTTCTTACCAAATGGATAAACAAAGATTGTTGATGCAAATAAACCAACTGAGATACCAATAGCAACTTCCACCATGGTAACCCCGAAACTTAAACTTGATCCAGTTGCTGAAGAAGAAGAAGAAGTGGTACTATTACGGGTTAATGAATTAGCATTTTGAACACCAGATAATAAAGAAGCTTGAGATGCAATACCTGAAGGAACTTGGACGAAAATTGCAGGTAACATGGCAGAAACAGCAAGACCTTTCCAGATTCTTGAGTATAAATTACCTAAAACACCAATAACAAAAGCACCAACTGCAGCTGTGAATTCTGTTGAATTTTTGAAATGTTTACCTGCAAAGAAATTAACAACATAACCTGCACATGAGATGAAAAGCATGACTGGTAATTGGAACCATTTGGCTTGATTAATTAAGCATAACCCAATTGTAAACATTGGAACGAAAAGAAATTTATACCAATCACTAATTTGTTCATGACAAACTGTTTCAGAAGTTGCATTCTTATCAATCCAACCATAAAGAGCTGCACCTAATGTAATACCAAACCCTAAGAATAAAGAGTATATAATAGCATAAAACATACGAACAGCACCTGCAACCAAATTTCTAGATTGTAATTCTAATGAACCACATAAAATAATATAACCTGGTAAAATTAAAGCTAATGAACCCTGGACAACTGATGAAAAACAAATACCTGAACCTTCAATTGAACCTAACGCACGACCAACAAAAGAAACAACAATAGCAGCTGTAACTTCGAAAACATTTGAATATAAATTAGATCTTGGTGCGATTAAAAATTGTAAAGACCCAACACAACCACCAATTAAGAATGAAACTGGTAAATTAACCCAACCACCACCAAAGGCAAATGGTGTAACCATAGATGATGCGAAAGCATATAATAAAGCACATAACCATGGTGGGAATGCAGGTTTCATTGATAACAAATCATCCAAATCGTTTGAAGCTTCTTCGACACCAACTAAGTCATGAATAACTTGCTTATAGATTCTATGAACACGATGTAATTTATAAAGATTCAAACCTTGAGGACATCTAACCAATTGAACTTCTGAAGTTCTTGTTGTAGCATCACCAAATGAAACAATCATACAACCTGGGAAATAAATAAATTGACCATCAATTTCTAAAACTCTTGCGGTCATTGTTAAATATTCTTCTAATCTATGAGTTGGTGCACCATAAAGCATTAATGCCTTACACATACGTAAAACAAAACGTTGTCTTTGTAAAATATCTGCAATATGAACAGTAATTCTTGCTTGAGCTTGTTCTTTTTTGAATTTTAAATTTGAAGCACCTTTTTTCAGTTTTGGTCTTGTTTTTTCAAAACTTGGTAAATAATTACTTGATGCACTTGCAGCATTTGCAGCTGTGTTTGCAGCTGTTGAAACCCCTGAGTAAGCGGTATTACCAACAAATGAAGCACCCGAATAAGCTGTATTACCAACATTTTTAACACCACTTTTCAATTTGCCTAATGCAGTCTTAGAACCTTTTTGAGATGATGATGAACCTTCACCTAAATCAGTAGTACTTTGATTTTTACTATTTAAAGCACTTTGAGATTCACTTTCATCAATTGCAACTTTTCTTTTACCTAAACCTTTCAAACGACCAGCTAAAGTTTCACCACCACCACTGTGAGGTGGATATTCTTCTGTTGGTGTAACAGCACCAGAATTTGGTTGGAAAGGATCAGTTTCAGAAATACCTCCAAGACTTTGTTGAGATTTAGAAGCTTCCATTGGATTTTGATACATTTTTAATAATGATGATAAAACACCACCACGAACTCTTTCAGGTGGAGCAATATATTGATCACCACTTGAATCCAAATTCATTTCAAAGATACCATCTTCATCTCTCAAGTATAAATCTGGATTTGGCGCTTTAAAACTTTCAGAGTGTGAATGAATTGATGCATTATCTCTTAATGTTGCTTCATCTGCATTCAAAAAACTTGAAGCACCAGCAGCACCACGACGACCACCATGAGCACCAACAATACCGCTAGCTTCATTTTTAAATAATTCAGGATCTAAAGTTTGCATTTCAACACCTTCATCACTAACGATTTTTCTTTGAGCTTCTTCATCATCTTGTTTCTTTTTTGCTTCTTCTCTTGAAGCACCTGGTGCAAGACCACCACCACTTATATTAACAAATTTTGAGAAAAAATTATCTTCAGGTGGTTTATTTCTATTAAAATCTTCATCTTCATCATCTGAACTATAATTTTCTGGATTAACTAATTTTTTAAAAGCATTTTTTAATTTTTTGACACCAATTTTTTCACCATCATTTGAAGAATTTGAAGAATTTGAAGAATTTGTTGAAGTTTGAGTATTTGATCTTTGAGGTTTTTCTAATTTTACATCTTTACTCTTTGTAGATTTTGATCTTTTGACATTTGATGGATCATCATTTGAATCAGAATTAATATCAACATCACTTCCATCATCATCACTATTATAAAATTCAACATTTTTCTTACGCTGATTTTTTTCTTCATTTAATTTTGTTAATTTATCATTATATTGTTTATCTAATTCAGGATCAAATGTATCATTGTTTTCTGCAAGATCTGTACTTGACATGAATTCTCTTTTAAAAGTTTGATCTGCATCATCTTGAAATTCTTGAGCTCTTGCAGTTCTTCTATCGAAAATTTTTGAAGAACTTAAATTTGGTGAAACATGAGTTTGTTGAGAACTATCACTATAAGAACCATTACCACCTTGAGTAGCACTAATATGTTGTTGAGTTTGAGCAATCAAATTTTCATGACCTTCATCAGCTGGTGGAGTTCCAATATTTTCCATTCTTTGGAAAGTTGGTAATTTAACAGCACCTGGTGAACCAGCACTACCTTGACCTTGATTAGCTTCTAATTGAGAATTTGGAGAACCTGGAGAACCATTAGATTTTTGTGATTTTGTAGAAAAATAATCATCTTTCAATGAACCACCAGATAAAACACGACGATGTAATTTTTTATTTTGTTGAGAAGCTGAAGGTTTCGGTAGGAATGATGATGGTTTTGGACTATGTAAACGATGTGAATGAGCTGGATGATTACCTGGAGAAATTTGATTTTTTGGAGCTGAATAACCACCGCCAGCGCTTAAAGTTGAAGAACCATGGATACTACCTTCATCTTGTTGTTGTTGATATAATTTTGACATTGTCAAGATTGAAGAACTTGATTTTTGTAATGGTGATTGTGGTCTTACTGGAGGTTTTGAAGACGCATTTTCATAATGAGAATTCCCAGAACCAGGAGAAGATGGTGGTGACATTATTAAATGAGACTATGTGATTTGAATGTATTGTATAAGTTTTGTTTTTGAGCGAAAGTATTGATATGACGCGTGTATGATGGTTTGTTGTTATTTTAGAATAGCAATATCACTTTTGATATTGTGATGTTTATTTCTGGTAGAAAATTCGTGTCTATTTTGTCTTTTTGTGATGTTTTGAAGACCTGAGATCAGCTAAAAGCTTTATGAGTTGTTGATGAGTAGAACACCCAAGTCTCTTTTGCACACAATCGAAAGTTCCCAGCTTCAAAGATTTCAATCAGGGATTCGTGATGTTTTATATTCGTTCAGTTTGCAATTGCAATATTTTACGCTTCGGTCTTGACGTATTGAAAATCATCTTCACAAACGTCAGACAGCTCAGTACAGCGTACAGCCATTCTCGATTCTCCCGCCAAACACAAAACAATAGAAGGAGACCCCTGCCTACGCTACACAGACTACACAGAAACATGAGAAAAGATTAATAGAAAATGGAGGTTCTTTATCATTATTATAGACTCAATTGAAATAACCAATATATAGGTCTTGATCTTATTTTTCATCATTGAATGTTGTTCTTTGTGATACAACTTTGCAATTCCTAGACAGCGCTAAAAGAAATGATTCCGCACCAGACAGATCGAGCCCTTCTGCCTAGCCTTCTGCCTAGCCTGCTCTCAGTATATCCCCGATTCCCACTAAGGTTCTGCCGTTCTTGCTTAAATCCATAGCAAGTCTAGAAGGAATATGAAACAATTTTGGCTGAAACAACTATTTTTAGTGCACTGGAGTTAAACTTTAGTAGAATTGAACAAATTTATTAGGAAACTTTACCTTTGATATTTATAATTTTAGTGCTTGATTGAATCATCGATAGCATTGATTCTGTAAGTTATTACAAGGGAATCCCCTTCCCATACAGTAAGGCATCTAGATCTAATCAGCCCTTGGTGGAATTCTCATCAGATCACTATACCAACATTCCTTCTGTATGAGAAATTAACGTTGATCAGAGGAGAGTAAGTAAGAATTTATGGATTGTCGCAGTATGATACGTATAGATCAACAGGATTATAGAGGGCTTATATGCTATGTAATTAATTCTGATGTAAACGTGGAAGGTTTCACAAGTTCAAAGCTGATATCAAGATATATATAATCGATTGACTAGTATCCATTTGATGAAGGAACAACTTCAATGGAATATACTATATACTCTCTGATACTGCTTATGAGATCCTTCTTCGATGATGAATCTATGCATTGATTATATAAAAGCCGTGATAATTTGTTCGTATTTTGCACTCCTTTGAAAAATATTAATTAACTCAGGCACAAAAGGATCGAAGAATTTTTAACTTTAATTGATCAAGCTGGTACATACTAATTTAATTACTTCTGAAAATCTAAAATGTTTAAACTTTAAACAGTGCATATATATTGGACCTTGATTGGCCCAGCTCTTATATGAAATTAAAATTATGATCTTTGAAAGAAGCTAGAACTTGCTTCTCGAATGTTGAAGTTATAACTAGACTGTGATATACAGCAATATATTGAAGCTCGGATGTACCTAATACTTTAGTTGTTGTGTCGTTGTTCAGATCTGTTGAAATAATACATAATACTACTTTTGTGTAATTGCTTGCGACTCGCGAGAAAAAAAAATGAAAATCAACTTCAAAGTTCAAACTTCAACTCGCGGTCAAATTTTTCATTAGTATATAGCTGTACCGATGATTTCGCGGTAGTTACTAGTAATTGATTTATATAATAGAATTTTCAACAACGACGCTTTATAATCCATGTATTAAACAGTTCCAGGAGAATATCTCTATTTAAAGTAACTTTTTATATCTCAAGCATATCGGGTGTCTTTTCATTACTGTAATAAAATAATAAGATATAGATTTTAGATTGATATATATACCAAGAAATTCGCGATAATTTTTCATACTAATAAATAATTCGCGCAGAATTTTATAATGATCAAGCGTTTATATCAAATCTTTTGTAAAATTTGAGCCAAAATCTTATACCATCACACGAGATCACTATAAAAAAGCGCTCTTTGCCAAAGTCATACAATGCATTGCTAAATTTCAACTCACACGTGTGATTCATTACCTACAAAACCATATAGCTCATAATTAATGTCGTTTATTTGGATATTCTTATATTGACTAGTTTAGGTGATAGCCTTAACGAATATCCGCTCAAAAAATTTTCCCCAACAAATTATATTAGACATACTGCAGGGACCCCACTGATGATACAGTATACTCGAGTGCAAATTGAGCTGATTCCCATGATTGAAAATTTTCAATTTCTATCTTTACTTGTTGATGAATTAGTTCAATTTTGTTTTACATTTCGCGGGCTTGCTATATTTCTTACCCAAATCTACTTAATCATCACAAGTTAATAACTTTAAAAAGATGCAACTCGTACTTCAACAACTTGTCTGATATTGCTTAGTGGATATAGGCAGACCCTAGTACTCCATTTTTCAAAATATAACCCCAGATAGACCCCACGCTGTATACTTTTTATAAAGTGTTTATACATTAGAGACCCAAAATCTTACAAGTCCGCTATTTATTTGATATTGGCTATTACTTTAATTGATAAATTACATACCAGAGTTACAATTAATCATGTTATAATATAACTTGTCTCATCATCAGAACTGCAATATGTGAAAATTCTCTCATATATAAATTGGGTACGATGGCCTTTTAATTAATCAAGCTTTCCAATTTTGAAAATTTCAATTATCATTGATCATCACAATCACAACTGTGAATATTTTACTATTCAAGTCAATTCTAACTTATAATCATAATGTGGTGTATGAACGTTTATAAATTGATTGGTTTAGTCACTTTTTTCTTGGGATTTTCATTGGCTGAAGAATTGATAACTATTGATTCCGATGTTAAGACTCTTTCAAGTACCCCAGGGAATTTTGATTACCAATTTTTTTCAACAGGACATAGTAATTATGAAGAATCTGGATTTCAAGCTGCTTATGTTATCACAGGGGATGCTAATCCATATGATGTATCTGAATCAAGAACTTTCCATTTAGAATGGTGGTTTGAATTTGATGATGATTATAATGGAGAGTATTCATCTCTTTCACCAATGGATCCAAACTTTATTAATTATTATGGTGAAGTTAATCTTAAACGTGGTTCTGCTTATATTTCTCATGAGTTTACTGCATTTTGTCCTGATGATATATCAGAAATTCCTTCATTTTGTAAAATGCCAGGATATCAATTAAATTTTGAAAGAAATGAGGTTGGTTGTGAAATTTAAACGATTCCTACTTATGATGGTCATTTTTCTGAAGGTCATATTGTTAATTGGGATTGCTTAAAATTTGTGAAAAATATCTGTATACCAGGTCCAGCACCACCAGAACCAGAACCATCTTTTTCCTCTTCATCATCATCATCTTCATCATTATCTTCAAGTTATAGCTCATCTGAAATATCATCAAGTTCTTCAATAGAATCATCAAGTTCTTCAGTGTCCTCAAGCTCTTCAATATTATCATCTAGTTCTTCAATTTCATCACTAAGCTCCTCGCTTTCATGGAGCTCTTCAATTACATCCACATCATCAACTTTATCAAGTTCTTCTATTTCATCATGGTCTTCCACTTCAGATATACTATCTTCAAGCGATTCAGAATCTTCATCAGAACTTCCATACACCTCATCATTATTTCCTGATACTTCTTCTTCAACATTATCCTCATCATCATCATCATCCTCCTCCTCATCATCATCATCATCCTCATCCTCCTCCTCCTCATCATCATCATCATTATCATCCTCATCTTCATCATTTGACCCCTTCTGGCCAACTTTCTCCCCGGCATCATCATCAACAAGTTCTGAAGAAAGTTCACTCTTTACAACACAAACCGATGAGTTTGAATTCAGTTCTATTATACCAATTACTTATACCTCATCATCATCATCGTCATTATCATCAGTATCATCATCACCGTTATCAACATCAACATCAATATCAACATCATTATCTTCTTCTTATTCTTCTTTTGATTCTCTATCAACCTCATCACAACTGTCTTCAAGTTTTATCTCATCATGTGATTCATCATCTTCAAGTTTTATCTCATCATGGGATTCATCATCTTCAAGAGCCTCTGAAGTTACATCAACCTCAGAGGTCTTTACATCTACTCAAGTCTCCACAATTTCTTCAAGTTTATCATCATCATCATCTCTAGAAAATTCTACAATATTTTCATACTCAAGTATAACAACTGAAACCACAATAATAGATTATAGGGATCAAACTATTGAAAGAAGCTCTACAACCCCAGAAACTATTACACAAGCTTCCAATACCATAATCACAGATTTTATTACCTTCTCCCCATTATCAGAAACAACTAGAGAAGAATTGATTACACAGGTTACGATTACTACAGCTACATACGATGATGATTTACAGGGGGGCGAAATGAATCATGAAAGCACACAGTCAGATGATCAACTTACCGCTGGAGATTCAAACTTAATTGATACAGAACAATTCACTTCAGGAATTTTATCAAAAGGTGATTTTAAGGATTCAGATGACTCAAATAATAATAATAATTATAAAACTATTGATTACCCAGAGAATAGCCGCTCTAATGAAGATTATTCATCGATAAGTGAAAATATTTCAACAGCACTTGATCCTGCCAAAACTTCACAACCAGATTCAGTTATACCCAGATCATCCAAATACTCCACTAGTACATTAGAATCAATCTCTTCACAGAGTATTTCAGATCTCTCAACTACAACTTCATCAACTAATTTACAAACAAGTTCAGGCTCAAATAATTCAAGAATTTCAAATTCTATGGAATCAGTAGAGCAATATGAAGGTATTGGGCCTATAAAGATTATTAACTGGCCGGCGCTCGCATTCACCTCAGCAATCTTTATTGTTTTATTATAAGAGATATCTACTTGGATATCATTATCACTAATTCAGTTCTATCATACCCTTGCAGAAGTTGCAGTACATGTTTTTCTTAAATACATGTTAATTAATATTTTCGCATAATTATACTATCTAGTATTCAGACAGTACAGTATATTGATCAGATTTACAATATCCTTAATTTTTAATAAATGATTGACGTTATATCTTATTCTTGAATTGTATGATAAGTTATAGTAGCTATAGATCGGATTCAAATGACATATATAAGTGGATTATTTCTGATCAAATCTAACGAGCTGAAATATAGCTCCAAAGTTCATTCGCTGAAATTAAAATACATGACCCATTGTACAATAATAATACATATTTTAAGGCTCACTTTATAGAGCACCGAGGACAGCGGCTAGGAGTACTCTGTATGAAAGGAATCGTATTAAACGGATGTACAGCTTACTGTTTAAAAAATCATTTTACAAGAGAAAAGAGGCTTCAAAACTTTTATCATTGCGTAGCGCCCGGATCTTTAGCTTGATTTTCTTATATGATGTTTGTTTCTCAATTTCAAGCGTTAAATGTGTTCTGTTGGGTACAATATTATCTAAGATCTTTCGTTTATAAGAGAAGAAATTTTAGGTAGGGGACATAACCACACCCAAATACGAGGGCAAAAAATCACGTGTAGATCCTCGAAGCTCATAAATATCGCGACATTTTTAGTACAATTCATACGCGCGAATCTAAAAGTATCAACAGCCAATATATGTGAAATGCACACTAAAATCAACGTATAAACAATAAGGAGAACTAAAGCCAATTAGCTACATCACACTTAATAAGTCAAAATGCCACCAATAATATATTAATACTCCTCTTTTGGTTACCTACGCAGTACGGGGTAGTACTAGCCGCTGTAAATAAGGATTTGGAACGCTATGTCATTCTCATCACATACATTATTGTTTTAACCGCTGTCACAAAATCGGATAATTTATACCAACTTCCATTTTTTGCATCAACAAATTTGTTTCAAAATACCAACAAAATGAAATTTTTAAAACATTTATATATAGAAGATTTGAACGATTTGAAACTTGACCTTTTACATATTCATCATCACGGCGGCTAAGGCAATTAAACTGATCAAATTCAATACAACAAGGAAAATGTAAAGAAGAAACCAGTATCATTTTGATATCCATTATGACTTTCATCTCAAGTGCTACAGAAAACTAACATTTTTTTGTCTCAAAAGAAGATTTCTATTCCCATCTCCAGGTTAACAACGAAATCTAATTTTATTTCCAAATTTGGTCCTGATTTTTAGCGCGCTTTCAAGATTTAAGGATATAATTCTCATTTAAACTGGTTTTGTGTCATTGACTTTATATTAAAGAGGTTTCTATCTTTCTACTTGTTTCCATTCAGCTCTTATTATACAGGGCGGTTGAGTTCTTCATTCATCACTATTATCATATTTGGTCTTTTAATCGTTATCTGTGCTCAAGATATTGTTGGTTTACAATTAGATGTCCATTTGCCGCCTATTAGTTGATTCTATAAGTTGGGTTTTATTTCATCTCTTTTTCATTAAGGAGTACTATTTCAGAAATTAAGAAGCTTCAGTTCAAGTCAAATTGTTTCTAAGTTATTCAATAGAGGTTAGTGCATTGAGTCTGGTTCTTTTTGGTTTACTTTATCAATATTTCGACGAGAATAAGATGGGCGCCAATGGTAGAAACTCACCAAAGAAGATCAAGGTTCCAGCAGATGTCAATAATCCACCGTTTTATTTGCCGCTCAAGTCATTGTCAAGATATAAACTTGTTAGCAATTTGGGTAATGGTAGTTTTGGGAGTGTCCAGCTAGCAAAATCAACTGTTGATCTTTATGATGTTTCCAAATTCACAGCTTTCAATAACACATTAATGGAAAGGACTGAGAAGTTTAATAATGAAAACCATTTCAATAAGAAAGTTGGTCTTGTTGCCATCAAAACAATGACTAAAAAATTGAACTTGATTAATGACTATGCCAAAATCAAAGAAATCAGGTTCATATTATCTATTCCATATCATTTAAATCTTGTTCAAATGTATGAAATGTTCATTGATAATAGAGACTACAAATTACACATCGTTATGGAATGTTTAGATCAAAATCTTTATCAATTAATGAAGGCTAGAAGATATAACAATTTTTCTCAAACAACTTTAAGATCCATCTTGTCTCAAATTTTAAATGGTATTCGTCATATCCATAAGTGTGAATATTTTCATAGAGATATCAAACCGGAAAACATTTTGGTGACACCATCTAATAGATTTTATGACCAAAATTATATTAACTCTTCAAACTTTAAATATCATGATAGTTTTATTGTTAAAATTGCTGACTATGGGTTGGCTCGTCATGTTGATAATAAAAGACCATATACTTCATATGTCTCAACAAGATGGTATAGGTCTCCAGAGATTTTATTGAGAAAAAATTGGTATTCAAAGCCTGTTGATATCTGGGCTTTCGGGTCTGTTGCTTGTGAAGTTGCAACATTTAGACCTTTATTTCCAGGATCTGATGAACTTGATCAAATCTGGAAAGTTTTTGATGTTTTGGGTACCCCATACTCCAAGAATCCACTTCCAAATTATTATCCATCTTATGGATATTGGGATGAAGTCCAAACATTATCATCTCAATTGAAACTCGAATTTTCTAGAGTTCAACAAAGTGTTGATATATCATTCTTCCTTCCTAGTCCTGAATTGGCACCTCTTTGTGATGTCATTAGAGCTTGTTTAACATGGGATCCTAATACAAGAGCCACTGTTGATGACCTTTGCTCGATGCCTTACTTCAAAGGAACTTGTGTTGATGATTCACCAACTCTTCCACTTCCAATTCCAGTACCAGCACACTTGAAATCTTCAAAGAACAATATCTTGACCGAGGCTGTTGGTAACTCATACGTTTCGAAAGCTGGAATATTGGCTGGGATTCCAAATATGCAAAATAATGGGCTTTCAAAGGGTAAATTGGTTGACACAGGTAAAAGTTGGAATGATAGTACTAATATTATTGACAATAAGATCACCAAGCTGTCTAATCAAGTCAGTGGTACAAATGAATCATTCGTTACCAAGTGCTTAGACGATCAAGCTTCATCTGATCCATTTACTCTTGATTTGGATACCCAAGAAAATCTTGTTAATTCTTCAAATGATGAAAATCAAAATGCATTCAATAATAATGGTTTCCATAATGTCAACAATATTAGCCAAAATTTCACATATACAAGTTACAACTCTACCAAACCAAGGACAACACTCAAACCTTCAACTGATGATTATAATTTATTGCACTATACAGGTGGTAATAATATGTATCCTTTTAGCCCTAATATTGATCCAAACTATGTTTATAACCCACATAATAATCAACACCACAACCATCAACAGGGTCAACAGATACACTTCAACTACACACATGGAGATCTTTTCACCAATTCTAACGATTTGGTCAGCATAAAGCCTAATACAATAGATGAAAATTTTTCACATAATTCACCAAAAAACAATAATCGTCAATATGGAGTTGATGGCTCAAGTTTAAATATTGATGAAATAATTGATACTCCGATTGACGAAATAGAGGATAAGCTTTTATTTCAAGGAACAACAACAAATGGAAGTATTCAAGGGTTGTATCCAAATGATTATCAGCAAAATCAAAGAAATGATAATGCTGAGGTTGGTAATGATTCAACTCATTCGAATTTACCTTTATTTACTGGAGAATTGCTATCAAAGTTCAATTTACGCAGAACTAACAATGAAGTCTCTACAGATTCTTCATTTCCAGATATTCAAGACCCATATGATGTTTACCAATAGATTATATTGGTTAATTTTTTTGCTTTGAAAAAGTGAACGTCACGTTCAATATTTATGATTGCAGAGATTATAGTAAGAAAAAATCAAGTGTTAAATTAAGAAGAATTCAAAAATATATCAATAATATACAAGAAATGTGCATATTGTATGCATATTCCATCTTCAATTTGAACTGGATCTTATTAAATGTAGCTACATATATTTGCTAATGCGTATAGATCATCAATGAAAAGCAATCATAAATTATATTATTAATATTAGTGAACTGTATAATCAACCATGATTTAAAATGAAGCGAATTGAACGTGCAAACGAATCCAAAAAAAAAAAAATCAAACAAACAAACGAATGACAAATATGAATGCAAAAACTCTTTAAAGGCAAAAAAAAAACACAAAATAACTTCTGAAAATTGAAAGATAAATAAATAATACCAATCAAGTTGGTTTCTTCTTTTTAACATAATCTGCAAAACTTAATTTCTTCTTCGGCTGTGGGGGTTCTTTATTAATTGTTGTTGGCGATATAATATTATTGACATTAGGTTTCACGTCTTGAGTTATTAGTTCAATTGGGATAGGTAAATATTGGAATTGTTGTTTTTCTTGTTGTGTTTGAGGTGGAAGTTGAGGTTGTGTTTGAGGGTTTGAAGGATCTCCAAGCCTTCTCTTTTTACTGAAATATTTATAAATGTATGGTCTTATTCCTATATCTTCTTCTTCTGTTGGATCAGATTGTCTATTTGATCCTGTTGGTATGGAAGACTTAACTTGAGCATATGAATCTCTCATATTTGAAGTTTCTCTTGCTATTAAACGACTTTGAATTGATGAATATTGAGCTTCTTTTTGTAATAATTTTAATCCACTTGTATTATTCCCCTTACGTGTTGCTCTATAAATATGTGCACTTGCCTTTTTAACCTTTGATAATGAACATTCATTTACTTGAGTACAACCACATTCTGTGAATGATAATATAGATTCCACTGAAAGGACTAATGAAGGTTTCACTGCATCACTTGTTTGATCAAATGGTCTACCTTCTTCAATGGATTTAATTGGATGATTAACATCCCAATTCCAATTTAATGTTAATTCAGCACCAGGCTTAATTAATTTAATTGCTCTTAAAACAAATTTAACTTTTTCCTTTGAAATAATAACAGTTTGTAATTCACAATTTGCATTACAACTTCTTCTTATAAATCTTGTTAAATTACCAGAATTTCTTGCATCAATAACTAATGGAAATCCAGGTATAAATTGAACTTGTGGTTTTTCAACACCCCATATTCTATAATGATTACGAGAATCTGTAATGTATTTATCTTTATTACCAATTTCACCAAGATATTCACCAATTAAATCACCAATTGAAATAGTTGATTCTGTGAAAAGTCCTAATCTTGAAAGACCATTAAATTTTTTATTATTGATTTCTGAATATGGTTTAATATTCAATTGAGGGAAATTTGTTGATTCATATTCTTTTTGAGAAATTTGATAAAATAATGGATTATCTAATTTTTTCAAATTATCTGTAAAATTATAAATCGATTCATCTTGATAATCATAATCATTTAATGCAAAATAAATGGTTTGATAAGCATCTTTAACATCTAAAACTTGAATGTCATCATCTTCTAAATTTTTACCATATGCATTTTGTTTTGGTTTTGGTCTTGTTGGTTTATTTGATTGATTTGATTGTTCATTCTTCAATTTATCATCACTTGAATCTTGACCTGAACCTTCTTTTGGATCGTTACCACCAACATTATTATTATTATTATTATTTGAACCATCACCTTCAGAATTACGACTTCTTCTTTCTTTTCTTCTTCTTATTGAATTTAATCTTTGAGTTTGTAGTGCTTTAGCCTTTTTAACATCAATTTTTCTTGGTGAACAAACATTACATAAATAATCATCTGGTACATTATCCATAGAGCTTATACCCATACAAACAGCATGTTGCCATCTATAACAATTATCACATTGGATTGTAAATCCATCATCATCTTCAAAACTACAAACACATGTGATTAAACCAGAATCTGGATCAACAATTCGATCTTTTGGTACACTGAAACTTTCAGTACGTGGTTTCTTTTTAGCTTGTTTTCTTTGTCTTTTAGGTTTTGGTTCATTATCAGCTTCATGTTCTGTACTTGATTCTGGTTGTTTTGAAGTAGGTTTTGATTCTTCTTTTGATGGTAATGGTTGTTCTTCTTCTGTTTCATTATTATATTGTGTATCATCAGTGGACGTGTGCTCTTTGATTATAGTAGTATCATCATTATCTTTGGATTCAACATCTGTTTCATTTGCATCATGTTTAGAAATATCACTTTCAACAGAAGTTTCATCATCTTGTTTTAGTGGAATTTGATCTGGGGTTGTAGCTTTTTCATCATTAACTTTATTATCATTTTGTAATTCTTGTCTAATAATTTCAGCTCTTTCTTGTAATGCACCTAATTGTTCTTTACTAACTTGTTTTTGAGCGTTCTTTAAAATTTCATCCGAAGATTTGGAACCTTTTTCTTTTAATTTTTCAATAATTTGTTGATTTAAACTATTTTGATCATTATGATTAATTAGAGGTAATGGAACACCAGCAGCAGCAGCTAATGCAGCAGCAGCAACCATTGCCTTTTGAGATTTATCAGGTTCACCTTCATTATCAGAATCAGCTAAAGCTGCGATTGCAGGACCTGGTGAAGCCAAATTATTTATTCTCGGGCTTCGTATAGCTGTTGGATTTGGAGTTGAAGATGGTCTTGAAGAATTTGGAGCAATGGGAGTTGGTTTCACAGTATGACTTGGTAGCAATGAAGTAGTTGATGATTTAGGTAAAGATGGTGCTTCTTTTGATTCTTGTGGTAAAGTTTGTTTTGGTAATGGGGGTGATTCATTAGTTATAGCAGCATTATGAAACATTAGCAAAGTTGAAGCATCTTCCAGCAACGAGTTACTAGCGCCTGGATTAGGAGCACCAGCCACGGGTTGGTTTTCTGACATATGTAATCACCTTGATTCACTTCTTTATAATAATTGTTTTGGTATTTTTTGCTGTTGTTGATGAAGCTGAGAATAAAAGTAAAATATTTCAAAATTTCAGTGATGCTCGTTTATGTCTCACCAAAAGTATATATAGATCACAACAAACACGATTCAGCAGCCAAAGATGAAAGGAAGACAGCGACTTTATATTGATTCCTCAGTACCAATGTACTTATGAGCAAGATCCAGCTTTGAAAGGTGTTTAAACGAGTCCTGATGGTGTGATTGCCAGTCGTATCTGTTATTTTCTCTGTTCTTTCTAGTTAAACGAAGCTGTTTTGAGATAAAATCATCAAAAAATATACGCGAGAACCGAGGGCAAAGAAGCTTTGAGAAAATTTGTATGTACAGTCACGTGAACGCCTCCTCGGAATTCTTTTGTGAGTGTGACCCGGTTATTAGGAAATCGATTTTGCCCACCAATTTTTTGAATGCCATCTAATATTGAAAGAGTAATTGGAGTTGGAGTTTGGTATCAGTTTACCAAGTGGTTGATCTAGTTGAGTTTGTTAAATAGACTGGTTAATCTCTAATTGAATATTCGTAATGGTATGTATATACTATGTCGTCTTTTTTCTGGATTGGAAATGACTTGTGGAACCATAAATACTAACAATTGATTAAGGCTCATAGATTAATAGTTCAAGTTATATTTACAGGTGCTCAAGTGTTTGGTAGAGCATTCACTGAGGCTTATCGTCAAGCTGCTACACAAACAGCCAAACAATCATCAAGTTCGACTGCAAAAGCTGCTCGTGATTTTGGTATAACATTAGATGAATCATCAAAAATTTTAGATGTTGATTTAAAAAATGTTACATTAGATAAAATTGATGAAAAATATAATTATTTATTTGATGTTAATGGTAAAGAGAAGGCAAATTCATTTTATTTACAATCAAAAGTTTATTGGGCTGCTGAACGTCTAAAGGGTGAATTAAAAGCTAAAGAAGAAGCGAAAAATGCAAAGAGTGAGACGAAGGAAGAAGGAACGCAAGATCAACCAAAAGCGTGATAATATAGATGGAAGGAAAGAAGAAAGCCATAATGAATACGCATCAAAATACTTGTATATATTATATATTAATGAATTTTAGATAATGAACGGCCATGTAGTATGTAGACCGTAGTGGTAGAAAGTTAATCAGTAAAGAAGTTATAATCAGAACGTAATAGTGTCATAGATGTAATAGATGCAACTACAGAATAATTTTTTGAAACCAATATATGAATTGAAAACACTATACAAAATTTATATAAAGGCATGTAGCATCATGGAAATAGAACAATTTACCATCATCAATCACCTTAAGTGAAGATCATAATTGTCATCTATCAACCTATTTCATAATGCAAAAAGTACATTAATCTAAGAAACAGAAACGAAATTTTTATTGTGACTAATCTGTTAAAAAAGTCAATAAAAATTTAGCTGATACGTATAGAAATCCAATCATATCAAATAACGAACAACTGGACCTATACTAGGTTTCTAAGAAGAGTGATCCCCGAAAGAACCCCCTTCTATAGTGTATATGTTATATATCTTTATATGAGATAGTATAACCACTACTGATGATGGCCTTTTTAAATAAGTAAGGGAGACCTGTAACAGAGGGAAACCTGTTTAATTTATACTTTTCCAAATTTTCATAAAGTTCGCGAAACGTTAAGTTGGAAAAAAGAAAAAATTTTTTTTTCGCATACAATTTGAAAAGTTGCTATAGTGATCTTGAATAAATTCGCGGCTATTAACTTTAGGGCATATTCATGTTCAGTCAGTGAACGGGTTATATTGGGAAATTAGCTATATATCTAAATCTATATAATACACTGTTAAAAAGTGATGTAGTCTTCATTGGTTTCCAAGGCATCATTTTGTGCATTAGAAGTACTAATTGAATCAAGATCATCATCTTCACTATCACTATCATATAAATTAGCTGGATTTTGTTCAATATCTGATCTGATTTGAGCTCTTGGATCCTGGTGTAAATTATCTAATTTAGTCAAGTTTGGTAATTGGAAATTTTCTGGATCTAATGTATTAAATAATAATTTTGCATCTAAATTATCTTGATCTAAATGTGTTAATTTACAATGTTTACCTCTTGGACACTCTCTAAATAATTGATAATCTGGACATTCATAGATATGTCTAAATTTACATGCTTTACCTCTAAAACAATATCCTCCAATGGCAAATGGACGACATATTAATTCTAATTCTGGATATGAATGTAAAAATAAACAATCTGGATTTTTACATGATCCATTAATATAGAAATGACATAATGGAACTGTGTGTTCATTTGGTTCATGTGATAATGCACATTCACCTTGACATATACCTCTAACATATCTTTTACAAAGTGCAATTTTTGCTTTATTATGAGTATATCTGCATGTGCTTTCACGAGTACAAACACCTTTGAAAAAAGTGTGGTTAGTATTTTCCTGGAAAGTCTCTTTAAATTAGGACTCACCTGTCTTTTGGTAATAACGACATTGTTCTTTCAAAAAACTATTTTTAATTCTTTGTTAGTATTATTCTCTATCTTGTATACCATAGTGTTGAAACTATACATACACTTTTTGATCTGTTAACTTCAAACTTCCATTCTTTGTTCTTGTATAATCATATCCATTCCATTGTAACTTCATTGGTTTAATACCAGTTGGGATATCAGTGGGCACCAATCTAGCACCATATTTAGAAATTGCATAAATATCACCATCAATAAGACAACGATCACATAAATCTAATTTAACTCTATTTTTAGAGGCACGAACTTCCAATTTCTTAATTAAAATCTTATATTTGGCATCTTGTAATTTAGCAGCTTTTTCCTCTTTACTTAAATTTTTCTCTTGTAATTCTTTATCATAAATATTCTTGTTAATTAATTTACGACCATTTGAAGACACTGTGGAAACAAACTCTGAATCAGATACTTGGTTATTCACCACCAATGTTCTGTTTCTAATAGGGAAAGTACCTCTCCCACGAGCCCATCCTCTGCCTCTGCCTCTTCCTCTGAATCCACCGCTGCCTCTAGTGGATGGATAAGCGCTGTATGGTGCACTGTTAGATAAATCCTTTTGCTGAGATTGATTTCTCCCTTGATTGATGGCGTCTAAATATTGTTAGCTTTACTCCAATTTGAAAAGCACAAAAAGACTGATACGATACTCACTCCGTAGCCTGGCAATTTCTTCTGATAACCCACCGCTCATTCTTTTCTGTGAAGTTAGTTGGTGATCTTCTTTTGCTCTTCTGAATTGTTTCTTGATTAAAAGTTTTGTTCTGTTGAGAAAATTCGTGGAACTTTTTAATTAGGCGCTGATATTTTCATCAACGCCATCAAAACAATTGAATGTGATAAGCAACAGGTAATAAAAAGACTACGGAATAGAACTACTGAAAACAGCAAGATGAGTATCAAAAACACTGCTGTGAAAGATCTCAGAGACTTACTTCCCATTGATGATGATTCATTGGGTCAAATGGTGGATAATGCCTTAGCACTACCCTCTCAAAGCGCAATTACAGAGTATTGGCTCGGACTATTGGGTGAAGCTCCAGATGCTTTAACTTTTATAGAAAATTTCACCACCAAATTGACAGCTCCAGTTGAACCAAAACCTAGTCCCAAACCTTCTAAACCACAGTTCAAACCAGTTGCAAATACACCTTCGAGACCTCCAAGTGGTAGAAACGATAAGAATCCATGGAATCAACCTGTTGCTGAAAAGAATAAATTGAATAATAAACCAAGATTAAGTAAGAATGTTAGTTCAACTACTTCTCAATTGCTGGATAAACCTCAAGAAAAACCATCAAAACAAAGTGCTAAACGTGAAAAACAGAGGAAAGTTGATAATTTAAACGATTTAGATGAAATTTTAAAACAATTAGAAGTGGAAGATTCAAATAACATTGATCCAAGTGCTAAAGTTGTATGTAACTGTATGGCTACAAGACATCCATTATTTGAAGCTGCGCCAAATTGTTTGAATTGTGGTAAGATCATATGTGTTAAAGAAGGTTATAGACCATGTAGTTTCTGTGGACATGAAATTATTTCATTAGAGGAAAAATTACAAATTATTCAAGTGTTAAGAGGTGAAAAATTACAATTAGAATCACCTTCAAGAACTCCAGAACCTCAATCTTCAAATGAAAAACAAAAAAAGAAAAAAATTACACTAAGTTCAGGTGCTGGTGTAAATTTATGGAATCAACAAGATGCATTATTTAAAAAATTAGAAGCTGAGGATTTGAAAAAAGCTGCATTAGCTAAAAAGCAAGCTGAAGAATCAAAGAAATTAAAAGAACAAGATGAAGAATTAAGTTATTATAGTAATCAAAAGGGTATTGATCCTGATTTATTAAAAGCTCAGAAAAATTTAGAAAATTTATTAAATTTCCAAGCTAATAGTGCAGAAAGAACCAAGATTATTGATCAAGCTTCAGATTTTGAAATACCCACCGGTTCTAATTTAAATATATGGTCAAGTAGTGTTGAAAAGGCACTTCAATTAAAGAAACAACAAAAACAAATGAGAAAAATGGAGAAGAAGCAAAAAGAACTTGATGGTAGAGGTAAAAAAGTTATGGAAATGGTTATTGGTAAAGATGGTAAAGTAATTATGAAAGAACGTAAAATTGATCATGAACCTGAAGATAGTGAAGATGAATTAGATAATGAAGAAATTGCTAAACTTGAAAAAGATATTCAATCAAAGAAAAATCAATCAAGTGAAGAAGCTTCTAAAAATATATATGATTATGAAAAAGAGATCGCCAAATGGGAGAAACCTAAATATCAAGGTACCGAATCATCTAATGAAACTGTTGAAACTAAAGCTACAGAATCATTAGAAAAGGCTAAATGGGATAGAATTCAACTTGGTGGTGATTCAAAAAACATTGAAGATATGTTGGTTGTTATATAAGCTCAATATGAATCTGATACAATGTCATTTCTGGACTATATTTGTAGCAGAACCCCTTCTCTTTTATCTAAATACGACTTTCAAATATTGGTTATACCTGATGATCAACCAATAAATATATTTGAATATAAAATGGATTCGCGTATGATTTCTCGTTTTTCTTCCTTTGAAGCACCCCATATTTTTTTTTCTATGGAATTAGTTTTTTCAAAACAATTATACAAAGAACAACAAGTTCAACAAACTGGACACAGACCATATAGAACTTTGGTATGATAAGACGCTGCTGACGAACGGATTACCACTGTCACTATGACCAAGAAACTACCATTGAACGAGAGACTGAACAGAAGACCCATCGCTAGGGCTTGCGAGTTCTGTCACCAAAAACATTTACAATGTGATTCTAGTGAGTCAAAACAACCAATCGTTGATATTATAAGACCATGGTGTACTAACAACTCATTCATATAGCACGTCCTTGTAAGAATTGTACAAAGAGAGGAGTGGGTCATAATTGTAAAGATGTTGAAAGAAAACGTGCCAAATATCTTGCTGATGATTCTAAAAGTAAACAAACTACAAAAAGAAGGAAATCCACAATTTCAAATTCAGAATCTGCAAACACTTCAACGGATGAGACTACAAGAACACCTTCTGTTTCTACTTCATTACCTATTGATACCAAATTTCAACCTATACTTCCAAATGCTTCCATAAGTGTGAATGAAGGTTCTTTATTTACAAATTATAGTCAAGATTCAACTCCACAGATATCAAATCAGCACCAGCAACACCAACAGCAACAACAACACCAACAAATGAACCAAGCACTTCAAGTACCACCATCCCACTCACATATACAAGGCTATAACGATGCGTTGAATTCCAGGAAAACAAGGGGCGCTTCACCTACAATAAATCGATTAATACAAAGAGAACCATCAATATCAACATCAACTCGTGAATATTCACCACCAGGAGATGTGTTTTCTTCACTATTTGCAAATGAAGAATATTCTCAATTGGCTGATATCATTGATAAATCTGGTGGATTGGGAAATGAAACTCCATTAAGTCAACATAGTCATGGTAATCAATCAATTAATTTTAATTCTGAATTTCAAAGTTCTTTACAAAATGATAATAATACAAGACCTTATATATCACTGAGTGATAATTCCATAAATCATAATCAAAGTTTTTCATATGATTTAGTTCCAGAGGAAGATTATACTTCACCTTTAATTATTAGAAATATGATTCAAATACCTGATGATGTTTATAATGTTCAAATAAATTCATATAATTACCCCAAGGCATATCATGCATTATTAAATTATTTGAAAACAAGATTTAATAAGGAACAATTAATTAAAATTGCCAAATTTATGGCTGATTATAGACCAAGTTTTATAGCTGCAACAAGATCACTTGTTGAATTAGATTTATTATTTGCAGAACGGTCATTCCAAAGATCATTATTAGAATATGAATCAATGTCAAGTCTTTCATCTTCTCCTACAATCATGTGGAGACGAACAGGGGAAATTGTTGCCGTGAGTTCAGAATTTTCATCATTAACATCACATTCAAAATTTGCCCTTTTATCTAAAAGAACATTTATCATTGAGTTGATGAATGAATCATCAGCTTTAGATTATTTTAAATTATTTAGTTCTGTTGCATTTGGTGATTTGAATGGTGTTATTATAACAGAATGTACATTATTAAACCCCAATGGTGAACCCATAAGATGTGCTTCAACTTGGACAGTTAAACGTGATGTTTTCGATATCCCCATGTTGATTGTTGGTCAATTCTTACCAATCTTGCAAGTGAAATGATCTTGTGTTTTATTTATTACTATGTATCAGTATACAACTAATTGCTAATTGATTAATTTAAATGAATTCAAGTAGTTTATATATTTTTCATTTGATCTCGTATAAATAGCCTAGGCCCATGTTTTGAAAATTTATTTCTTTTTATCCCCGGCCAACATATTTGAAGAAAAATTTATATCTAACAAAAAAATTTATTAGATCTCCATAAAGAAAACCAATACTTCAGCTTATTAGTTTATATTCGATTCAATTGATATTCAATTTCAAACCAATATCAACTAATATCCACAATCATGGCTCAAGAATCAGCTACCGATAAAGCTTCATTAGCTTTCAGTGAACAACATTATTTCAGTTCTTATGATCATTTTGGTATTCATGAAGAAATGTTAAAAGATCAAGTTCGTACTTTAAGTTATAGACAAGCTATTTTCAAAAATAAAGATTTGTTTAAAGATAAGGTTGTCTTAGATGTTGGTTGTGGTACTGGTATCTTATCATTATTTGCTGCCCAAGCTGGTGCTAAACATGTTATTGCTGTTGATATGTCAAATATTATTGAAATGGCACAAAAAATTGTTGATTTAAATGGTTATAGTGATAAAATTACTTTAGTTAGAGGTAAATTAGAAGATGTTAAATTACCATATCCAGAAGTTGATATTATCATTAGTGAATGGATGGGTTATTTCCTTTTATATGAATCAATGTTAGATACTGTTTTATATGCAAGAGATCATTATTTGAAAAAAGGTGGTTTAATTTTCCCAGATCGTGCTACAATGAGAATTGCAGGTATTGAAGATGGTGCTTATAAAGATGATAAAATTCATTATTGGGAAAATGTTTATGGATTTGATTATACTCCATTCATTGATATTGCAATGTGTGAACCTTTAGTTGATATTGTGGAAAAAAATGCCGTTGCAACAACAAGTGCAGAATTAATTGATATTGATATAAATACAGTTAAAATTGAAGATTTAGCTTTTTTCAAAAGTTTCAAATTAAAAGCTTTAAGAGATGATCAAATCCATGGTTTAGTTGCTTGGTTTGATATTTGGTTCCCTTCAAATGATCCGAAGAATGAAGTTTATTTCTCAACAGGTCCTCATGCTCATTATACTCATTGGAAACAAACTGTTGTTTACTTAGATCAAGTATTAGATGTTAAAAAAGATGAAGAAATTGAAATAACTTTAGCTAATAGACCAAATGCAACAAATCCAAGAGAATTAGATATTGAAGTTGAATGGAATTTAAAAGTTAATGATGAATATAGAGCTCAAAAGGGTAAATATAACTACTTCATGCGTTAGAAGAATCAATGTATCACAGTACATTGAAATTCTAATGCCTTTATTTCTTGATCATGGTACTTATGTTTTGATATTGCTTTTAGATCTTTATTGCTATAGATTTATGTACGAATTAGTATAAAATTGCATATATGTATAATAGAATATATTGAATTAAATTAATGATATAAAATCAAATGTAGATATAATAGCTTATATTTGATAGCAATTTACTATATATAGCAATTAATATATTAGCTGTACAATACTAATATGGTAGACGTCAATGTAGATCATCTCTTAAATTTTGATCATATACCCAATGATTTTTAACAGCTTTTAATCATGCTGATTGAGTTGAGTATGGACATGCGGTTATAATTTATTTCGATAGCTTATTTTTGATAGCAAATTATTCATTATTTGGATCTTATGATTCTGTTGATTGATCTAAGGTTATTTCAATATAATTGTATAACATCTTTAATTCCAAACTTATACCTTCCATTAGCTTCAACATCAGGTTCTTGAGACGTTCCATCTGTTTTCAAATGTTTGTTGATTAAATCAGATAATGGAATCAATTGATTGACTTCTAATTCTCTCTTTTTGTAAAACCACCAGAAAAGGAATTCTTTAATGGTTGTTGGTTTTGTAGAAATGTTTTCAAGATAGTAGTAGTTGAATTCAATCTTTGTAGCGTCTGCAGATTTCAGCTCAATATACAAGTATTGAAATCCATCAGTGACCAGAATATCGGCTACTCCTAAAAGGATCATGTTCAATAAAAACTTGCTCAACAGTCTGTTCACCTTTGGAAACTCGGATGAGTCTTTTGAAAGCCTACCTTGGAATAATTTAAGAAGGACTTCTATATCTTTTGGTTTTTCAATTTCAATGATCCATCTTCTAGCAGCATCTTCAGTACAACCAATGAAAATATCTGGCTTAATAACCACTTTAGATAATATTGATCTCATTTTATTATTTCCCAAAGGATAATACTCAAAAAGTTCATCTGTTTGAGTTGGAATTCTTTCAAAGC